GGAAGTGGAGGGCCCGTCCACAGGGACCTCACTTTCTTCTTTGGAGGAAGAGGGGGAACTGTCTACGCTGACTCCACCTCCATCTTTGGAGGAAGTGGAGGGCCCGTCCACAGGGACCTCACTTTCTTCTTTGGAGAAAGGGGAGGAACTGTCTACGATGACTTCACCATCTCCAAAAGAAGAGGAGAGATCGGCTTCCTTGACCTCACTTTCGCCTTTTAAGGAAAATGAAGCACCGTCTACAATGATTGATTCTCCCCCTTCGGAGGAATATGAGGTACCGTCTACAGTAGTTTCATCTTCTGCAGAAGAAAAAAAGAATCATCTGCGGTAGCCTCACCTTATCCTTTGGTGGAAGAAAAAGCACCGGTTACAGTGATTTTATCTCCTCGTTCGACGGATGAAGAGGCACCATCTACGGTCGAAAAGGAAATCGGAGATGTTGAAAGGCCTTCAGAACGGCCTATTATAGATGAGGGAGGCGATGACGTTACCTCTCCCTCATTCACCATGGAGAGGGAGGTAGAAGAAAATCAGGAAACTACACAAAGTTTGGAAGGGTTGTATATTACAAGAGATGGATTAGAAGAAGATGAACTTCTTTTTGAGGGCAGGGAATCTACACTTAGTTCTGAAGTAGGTGAAACTGCGGCTCCCTCGAGTCCTTCAAAAGAGAAGGAAATACCTATTACCGAAGAGTCAGAAACAGAAGGCGTGGAAATGAAGACAGATACAATAATTCCTTCCAAGGATGATCAAACATCCCTCTATACAGAAATGTATACGGAAGAAGATAATCCAAACTCCGTAATCACTGATGCGCCACCTAGTACTGGGGAAATTGAAGGGGAGGATGCAGTCACTCATGTGGATGAGGGGAGGGAAGATTTAGGAGTTACAACAGATTCAGACAACAAAGAAGAGGAAATAGACAGGACAACAATTGAAGAGAAGTCGGATATTTCAAAAGGCGATGTAGATGAATTGGTTGAGGGGGAGAAAACTACATCAGATTTAGGTTTGTTCGACAATTCCACTATCACAACGCCGCCACCAGATGATTATTACAAATTACCTGATCCTTATTACGAAGAAGAGAGCATAACAATGTCCTCAGAGGAGAATATTGAGTCCCCAAAGAACGAAGACTTACTGCATGAAGGAAAATCAACAATACCACTTGAGGAAAGAGAGCCTCATCCTGAGGCACTTATTGAGATACCATCTTTTCAAGGTCCTAAGGAAGAAGCAAAGGCTACAGTTACCACGAGGGAGATATATCCCCTCAAGTTTCTGGAAGTGAAGGTCAAGATGAACAAACGAATATAATCCCGTCTGATGAGATTGGTGGGAAAAAGATTCACACCACATCGAGCCTAGAAACGCCTACAGAGTCGCTGACTCCAGAAGAGGGTTTGAAGCAGGAAGAACCGGTAACATCTTGGAAGCATCAGCGTTTTGGTGTTTTGCTTCAATCAAGGCGCTGCTGAATGTGGGGGCTCAGTGTGGTTCAACGCTACTGCATGTGACATTGGGCTTATACACGCTCACGTTATTGTGCATCATACTACTTAGGTGCTCAATCAGTAGGGCTTGCTTTTGCTTGCGCCTTGCATTTGTTAACTGTCCTGTGTGATAATGGCGCACTAAATAATTTTCCCTTTTTTCTCCCTTTATGCTTAAAGAAACATATTGGAGACCAAGGTAAGTAATCAAAGTAAGATTTCAAGAAAAAACCGCTTTATTTTTTGGTAGCTCGTACAATAATACTGTTTTTTCATTGTTGTTTTAGCAGCTCAAGAAATTGTGAGTTTTCATTAATTTAGCCTTCTTTTATTAATTCCATGTAAGGAACCATAAAAAAGCCAAATATTTACTTTGATGAAACGGTAGTTATTCGTTTGCTTTCTTCACTGTGCAGATTAATTTACCATTTCATATAATTGATGAATTTTTACTGGAGTAAGAAATAAGTGGATAGTAAAATGAATGGGTTGCAAGGCTCTAGAAGTCAAAAGTATCTCCTCCGGGATTTCATCGACTATAATTTTTAGAAGTAGACTTTTTTCATATTCACTCACTCCTTTATAGTAACACGACTAATGGGGGTGTGGTGTATTAGACTTATTTCTTTTATCTTAAATAAAAAAAAATCAAAATCCGTATGCTTTAAAGTGTATTAATTAACTATATCCGTTTTTCTGATTGGCTGCCACTGGATGATTATGCCAAGCCAGGCGCCACAGAAGGTCGCCAAATCAATTAGTCAATCTTCTACAACAGTCTACAAATTTTTTCTACATTTAAATTAACAATTTTCTCTTAATCTGCCATAGCTGCAACCCGATTGCCAATGTCTGGAAAGACTTTTAACTCCGGTAGGTAAAATCTTTAGTATTGGTGTGTGACAGAATTCAAGAAGTGACGTATAAATTATCACTTCTTTTTTATTTTACTGTTTCGCAGGAACTTGTTGAAAAACTTCGCAAAAACGAGGTGAGGAACCTGATTTTTTCTTTGAACTAATTTTATCGTAAGGTAACGTGGCTAAAGGCAACGTGCGTAGGAGCATTTAGAGAAAATGAAAGTAGGGAAAATGTACTTGTAGCACTTTGAGTCTGCTAGGATGGTTGAGAGGCCATTGGCTTGGCGGAAGTACAGTGACAGGGCCTTTAGCGCCCTCATAATCAAAACGCAGAGTTAAACTAACAATCAAAGTATTAAAATAGTCTCTCTCTCCAATTGGGCGTCTCCCCCCGATGCTCTCCTCAGTCAACATCCCACATCGCTCTCACAGCAATTGAATTTGCGTGTACCTGAAAAGATACATAACCGCAACCTCACTGAACCCTTTTCGCAATTTTGCTAAATCAGAACTTTCGTCCCACCCAAGAATTGGACTCGGAGGGAGGGGACTGTGATGGCGGCCTCATATGTCCGTAGCTGTTCGTAAGAGCACTGGCTTAAAAGCAGTCATTTAATAAAAGTTTCGCGGAGATAAGCTTTTACATCTATTCCCCCTTGCCTCTTTGCTTTCACTCCAGTGTTGTCCAGACGTATCTCTGGGGTATATTCAAGTATAAGTGAAGTGGGACAGATTTTGCCTGTTCACCTAATTGACATCATACAGATACCGTAGGCATTTTACTAACCAACTTTTTAGATGGTTCAATGCTAGTGTCGTTTCAATTGTTAAGGACGTATCTGCAGAACACAGAAATGGGGGTAATTGTTGAAGGTAGACGTCATTTCCAACCCTTTTGTTAGGAGTCTTCGAAGTTTCGCCCATCAGCTGCATATGCTATCCTTCTGTCACGTTAAGGTTTAGATCTCAGTAATAAACATCAGAATGGGGTTCTTTATGATTGGATTCATTTGCAGCTGCCACTAATGTCGCAATCCGAGTCTTTCAGAGGGGCTGAGGAATTACTGGCATGTACTACGGGCCATGCTAACGAGAGGAAGTCCAGCGCAATCAAAACGCAGAGTTAAGCAGACAGTCAGGAATGTGAAACGGCGTTCGACAGAAATTCTGTCTCTACGAATATCACCTAATTTCAACTGTTCATTAGCATAAAATGATTTGTAAATTTTAATTAACTGAAGCATGTCTTCAAAAACACACATTGACGGTACATTATCCATATTTTTTACTTACCCTTTTCATTTTAGCTCTCCCAAAAGAAACCGGAGGTGAGTTTCAGCCTTTTATTTTGGCTCAAGACTGATCGAACAACTAATAGCCGAGTTTTATAATTTTTCTTCAAATATATAGGAAAAAGTATACGATGAGTTGTTTAAGACGCCTTCATTCCTCCGAGTGGTTAGGGAAGTCATCGATGAGTATTTCGATCGACCGGTCAGTGTGCCATTTCTCAACTTCTTTACTTCTGTCCCATCGTGCACTCCTTCAGAAACCTCTTTACTCCGATTTTAGGGAATTGTAGAGCGTTATAAGCCCAATTGTGACTGTTCCACAAACAACGGAATCAACAATGATTGTCAATGTCCTACACCGGTGACAACTCCTAAGCCTCCCTACAATATTAACCCGTCGTCTCAGCATATTCTTGGGGCTCTCAAGGATATGTCTAATGGAGTGAGTTCTTTTTCCTTCCGGATAAGTGATGCATACCAGAGCGTTAGATCATTCTCCTGTAAAAAAGTGTTTTGACGTGGTGAAATTCCTGTTGATTTGCTTGTTTATTTGATTAGACATAATACGGACGTTGCTGTTCTTGAATACCAGACAAAACAATTAACCAGCATATTTACAAAAAGGTGATAAGATCAAAAGTGGATTGCTTTCACCTTTTCAGATGCATATTCCAAAGTCTGTTCAGGATATCAGTTTTTTGATACAATCTCATGCGACTAGGGGAACACTACTTATGTGGGAGTATGGAAGAAACACCGATTGGCCTGTTTCTATTGGCTAATTTTGATCGACAGGTCAGGTCGCCTGATGAACTTGGGAGCAGTAGCAACTTGGATAAAAACCATCGAATAGGTACAAGAGATGATTTAGGCGATTTGTCATAACTTTGCCTGAGCATTGTGATGTGTCATTTTTCACCCCAACGTTGTTTTGGCGTTGAATTGCACTCCTTTTTTATGGTATTCGAGGATCAGTTAGGCATCACTTTCTTGAAGGTGTTGGGTTGATGCCAGCAAATTTCTTTTCTCATTACTTCTTTTTCAGGAAATCGTTCTTTCTTGTCTTGTTACAGGCAATCATCATGAATAATGAGAGCGTCTTAGCCAAAGTCGCCTACTCTCTGGCACCAGGAAGCATGGTCTACTTAAGCGCCGAAGATATGTTCTTCCTCAAGACTGATGAAAAGAAAAATATTTGGCGAAAAATTGACATGGTATGTTAAGTGTTTTGTGGGAGGAGAAAAGAACGTTATCAGCATTCATCTTTCAGTTGCTAAAATTACCGCGTCGAGCCAACTTTCCACCTTTGCTTTCTGCGAATTCGTAATCCGTTTAACACATCGTGACAACGTTGAAGGTCATGTACATTGATACAAAAAGGATCGTTGGATAAGGCCATTCTCTCTCCTCTTACCATGCTCCCACTTCGGCACTTATGATAAACACGTACTTTGACTTAGGCATCCTTAGGCTTCAGTCTAAATAACATTCTACCCTGAGCCTTTGATTTACAATTAAATACGTGTCTAGACGGATGTCTGGAGACAAAAAGACACTATTTCCTGGTTATTTATTATGCCGGCTTTGTTTGTAGCGGTAGGCACTTGACAGGCGGTCTTTTTAAGATAAATCGTCTATTTGCATAACTTCTTCCATTGCAGAACACACAAAGTCAATCTGTCCGCATTCCTGCCCCTCAAATGGTAAGGAGGTGCAGCTACGAAAGTTGCACGTTTTTGTTTCAAAAATTGTTGAAATGCGAGCCCTACTAGAGTTGTAAAAAATTTTTCCTTGTCTCTAAGCAAAGTAGCTATATTAGGGAAAGGATATTTACAACGAAGATTAGGAACTTGTTGCTGGAAATTCATAAACACAAATGGCATAAAATTTTAAATAAGCAAAAGAATGTTTTTAATTTTTTTTCTAAACCAACTCAAAATAACCCTTAGACATTGGCTTCCTGATTGCCAATGTTCTAAAGTATACTGAAAAAATTTGCTCCAAGACGTTTGTACTTTGCTACTCCAGACAACTACTACAACATCGATACCAGTTTTGGCCGAAAATCTCGTTGGAAAGAGCGTGAGTGATTTGCTACTGATAAATTATAAGCAGAATTTATTTGCTAGCCCTACTATTTGTTTGTTTTGATGGTCTTTGAAGCTCATGCTGATCGCGCATAACGAGCCGTTGAATGGAGAACTGCGATTCGGTGCAAAAATAACCGGTGGTCATTCGAGCGCCATCTTCGCCTGTCAAAGAGCTGCCAGGCGTCATAACATCTCTCACGTCTTCTATCCCCTCATGAGCACTGATATGTTCAACATGGATTATGTTGTGCCACCTATGTACCGCTATGACATGCCTATCATTAATCGCCACGTAAGTTGAAGGTTCGAGCTGAACGAACCTTTTTGTGATGATGGTTGTGAGCTACGCCTAGGTGACTTTAACTTCTTTAGGGGAAAATGCTGTTCGACGACTTCATGCACCTGATTAAGGGTGAACAATCGGCCATGGCCCCGATTCTCACATTTGCAGGAAAGGAGATTGATTCTGATCCAACGTAAGTCCACTTATGTAAAAGTGTCGATTTTTTCATTAAATATTAACAAAGTAAAGAATCTAAAATAATCGCCGGGCATGTAGTAAGTTAGCTTGAATTAAAAACTCCGTTTTCACGGATCCACAAAGTTTCTTGCACTTGACGTGATTGTTCACAGGAGGTAAGAAGCTTGGATAAAGCTGCAATTATAAAGTTTGTCTAATAAACCAGTTGAACACACAAATAAAATCGCGCTTTTTTCAAAGCATTCAAAGTCAACTTTCATCCAAGTTTTTTTAACCATGTTCGAATTTTAACAATCAGCATCTGCTCATTACTCACGGGATTACTTTCCTGTATCTTTATCCAGGCGGATTTAGCGCTCATCAATTTCTTAATAACTGGCTAAGTATTTATTATTCGCAATGTTTGTTGGACATCCTAGCTTTACGTCACGATGTTAGACAACAACTCATGCTAACTAGATGCCTTTTGTTAGTATTTTATGTGCCAACTTGGCTTACCTCAACCAATCAAAAGAAAGAATATTTTTGTAACGCTTTTGTCTTCATGATTCCGAAATGTGAATTTCACATTTTTCTTTCAAATGGTGTAATTGAAAAGGCCTTTACACTTCCGAACGCTTGTTGACTTTAGGGTTCCATGCGCATGGGTTGGAGCCAAGCCGATCTATCAAAACGGCGACTATGAGTATGCTGCACGGTCGAAGTGTCGCAATTGGCAGACCCACAACCCCATGGAGAGCGGATTGGCTGTACACATACCAATGAACGGCAACGCAACTGGTTTCTTGGACCAATCAAATCTGTACAAGGAGTCCTGCGCAAAACGATGTCATGTACTGTGCATCCAAATTTCACCAAATTAGGGAACAATGCAGTAAACTAGATTTTCCTCCACTCCACGAACCTCATTAACCCTGATGTGCTTTGTCGCTCTCGCCCTCAATTTTTTTGTAGCTCCATCTCCACTTCCACTGTCCGGATACATTCACACACTTCTGTGAAAACCACAAGACCTTAACGTACTAATGTTGATGGCTTTTTCAAGTATTAGGATATACCTGTGCGCGTTGTGTTTTATTTTCCTGTCAGAGAGTCTCTAATATGATTTGTTCCTAAAGTTCAGTGCAATGTGCCATTTTTGCGTCCATTCCAATCGGTTGTGAAATGGTTAGTCGGCAGCACCCGAGTCACAGCTGTGGACTTTATAGGAGGTCAGGAGGATCTGTATAATAGACAGTACGAAGAGGCTGGAGGAAAAATGAGATTTCTGAGAGGTCCTTGTAGTCTCTTATTCCTGGTACATACTCCACCCTGTATTGATATTTGCCCCAGCAGTCTCCGTGATCGCTCTTCTACCATGGCCGGCAGAGGTCTTCGAGTGAATTTCCTTCAGTCGTGGGGTTCAGACTGCAGACGTCATACGAGACAGGGAGTAGCCATACCTTTAGCTAATTTAGCTGGGTCCAGTTATAACACCTGGCTTAAAGACTGTGTAATTAGGTTATACTTATGGAACACCCCTGATAGCTACTGCTATCGAGTCCAAAAATCCGACAAGTGTTAGACAAAATCTTCACAACAGATGTATTTATTGACCAAAGTAATGGATACGTAAAGGAGGAGCGGGCAGTATGCACGTCCCTGGCGGCTGTCGAGAAAAAGGGGTTCTATGAGTGTGAGATTGCATATGAAGTTAATTTTCATTTCTTGTAGTTACTAGGTCGGTACATAGATATAAGCCAATCAGGAGGTACTCACGGAAACCACGAATTTTTAAATTATTTGGAGACTGGAAATCACCTAGAACTTTTACGAAGCAAAATGCAAACGTATTTCTGGAGTCGCAGGCCAACTCCATCGGGGGGGTAATGAAAGAATTCCACATCACTGCCTGTAGGGGAGATATAATTAGTCCACGATAGAGATCGGCGAGGCAAAGTACTAACTGGTCTATCATTTTCGAAGCAAGCGCATTGGTAGACTCCAACTTGAAAAAGAGTATTAGGAAATGTGGTAAGTTTCTAGTGGTACTTTGTTTGGTCAAAGAAACATAGTTTCGGAAGATGAGGGTGTGCTATAAACGTGTGTTAAGGCGTATGCAGTTGGATCTTGTCTAGCTCCCAACCATTGCCTAAGCAAGAGGCAAAGCTTTGAGATAGAAGACATTATTTCCCAACAGGCATGATTATGCAACAGGGCACGGCCTGTGTGCATACGGTAGGCAAGTGTCCAAGGGGGAGTGCTAAAGACACACCGTGGTTCCAGTCTCGCCTATTTATACTATCTAATGGACTAAGCTCTTATGATGAGCACTGATACATTTGGAGAACACCTCTTCGCGACTCCAATCAGTCGGGACCGAACGAAAGCCAGACGCTTCAGACTGTTTGGGAATTAGCCACCATGTGGAAACTTTACACAGTCGAAAGAGGATCGGTTTTGTGGCTAGCAGACACCAACAGAATGAAGATGGGATACAGCTTTATCCCATCTCCTAGCCTCTTTCCCTCTCATCGTCCTTCTTTCCTCTCCCACTACCCCAAAATGCAATAGGAAATTGGACCAAAGACAAGCTTTGTAGCGTAAGTTTTGAATATTAAGAACAGCTAGTAAGAACAGCGGTTTGCTACCACTGATTGTCTTGTCCAACCTGTTCCCCAAGAATTCACTTGCACGCGTTCCGGCCGTATCATTCCAAGCTGATAGACAAGTCTCCGTCACATGACTCTAACTTTTGGAAAGAGTCTACATTCTGCTTTACATTAGTTCACGCACTTGTTGGGTTGGGTGGTAATGTTGTTGCTTTAGGATGCTGGATTTTCGAGAGGCTTTTGCATTCGTGACTACAATCGTGGAGATTTGGAAAAAAACCCCATCATTAAAGTATGCCTTCCTTCCTCCTAATTGTCTGACACCATGTTAAGCTGCACTTTAAGCCTGCTAATAATAACTCTCAATATAAGGTCATTTGTTACAGGTACGCAAGACGAAGGTGAACAATGGATTTGGACTCAATGTCGAGGTGAGGTCTTGCCTCGCATTTAGATTTGTAATCAATCTCAGAATCGAAGACGGATTTGGAATTGGAATATGGACTCGGAGGCTCGTAATCAGCCAGCATCTGCTAGTTGGCATTCGGACGTGCGTGCTTCTCAGCACAGAGTTGCTTTATTCAAAAGACTTTTGTTATGAAGTCAAACGACCACCTTTTGATTGTCTGATCTAAAGTTCTATAGGGTCCATAGCGCACACATTTATGAACCTTAGTCTTTAACAGAGGATTCGTGTCTCTGGTAGGAGAGAGAGAGAGTAGTGGTGATTGCTTGACACCACGTTTCTCATTAGGAGTCAGTCAGTCATTCAGACAGTTAGTAAGCAATGCAAATGCATCTCATCGAATAGATACTGTCTGGTACTATTATCTACTCTGCCTCTCATGACACTCAACACTTTAGAATGGATGTATTTAAGGAGATCCTCTCTCCATATCCGGTGATGATATCGTTCAGTCTCCAACGGTCTCATAATGAATGCGACACACAACATTTGAGTGATATGTCCTACTCTCAACTTGCTCAAATTCGATGGCTTCAACTGCAGTTTATGTGCAACAGTAACCGGAGGCAGGTGAAAGCACGCCTACTTGGTAGATTGCCCAATTTTGTCTGATGAAGGTGGGGCTAAGTGAGTTTACAGTCTCGAGAAGGACTCGTAGATGCATCTCAAATGCAAGGAAAATGCAAACTAAGCATGCCACTTTGTAACAGTTCAACTGATAGCCAGGTCAAAACTGTAGAGTAGGTTGTTTGAATGGGTCTTTCTATCTTCTGTCATTGAAGCAGGGCGTAGACCAGTGTTTGATGGATTAGCAAGCTGTGTTAGCAAGAGAGTTGACATTGGTAACCCTCTGAACCTAAGAGAGTTGCATGTACTCTGAACCTCAGCATCCACATGGTGTATAATCGGTTGGAAAAAGAAGAAGAACTCACATCAAACGCAGCGGTAAGATCACTTGCCAACCATTCCCCTGGCCACAAAAGGCCTCACTATCTTGATAAATGGCTCGCCCTCCAGGCTAGTGCGTTTGCGCCTGACGCATAAATATGGGATCAAGCATTACATCGCGCATCCACTTTCCACGGTCAGTGATTGCAGTGAGCAATATCATCTGTTGACGCACCAGCCCAATCATTTGAGAGGTGATGCTAAAGTCACTAACCCCCCTGATGACATCGCATCGTTGAAGTACTCGTCTGCGTATGGAACTTTACTTACTTGAAGAACGTCCTTTCCAATTCTGCTGCTTACAGAAGGTTCTGTAAGCGTGTCGTTGCCAAAGGAGGAGCTGATTTAAAACAAGCCTCTCTTTGTAACCAAACATAGGTAAATCGCCAACTCTTTACAGGACAAGGTCTCTAGAATAGCCTGTGCAGTCATGATAACATCACCACGTCCTTGTGTTATGCCTTGAGTCCATCTTTTACCGCGTGAAGGTGCTTCGCTAATAGCCAGAGTATGTCAGGATTCGTCCAGTAGCCTGATGGTTACTTGGCCTGTAAACACAGACCCTAGTGCATAACGGTACATTCCTTTGGTACTACTTTGTCTCCTTCCTGTGTAGGTCTGGCCCTGAGGTAAACCATTTGGTGCCACATGGTCACACGTGTTATTCGACCGCTCAGTCTAGTAGAACGAGACACCGACAGTGATAAATGGCTCCTAATTTTGTCCTCAGTCGAAGATGGCGAAAGGATAGCTGAAGTAATGCGAAAAGCACTGTTGTTTGGTGATGTCAGTAAAATGGTTGTCCTCAATAATGCCCCGAGGCCGGTGGTAAAGCGGCCACAATCAGACAAAACTGTATCAAACTTTTACAACTGGAGTATGGAAACCAAGCAGGCACTAAGTGCTGAGCAGGTCAGACGGATGGGAAACCCAACAGACGGGGGCTGCTGTCGTATGTTGCTATTCTGAATCACTTCGTAAAGTAGCTTATACAAGATCTTCCTCAAGAAAAACCCAATTTGAAGGTAAGATAGCCCAAGATGATATCACTCATTAAAATGTCTGCCTTCAAGGATTACAATAAACAATGCCTATCTAGGTTATGCCTTGAAGGTGGAAGCCATCACGATGGTGTATAGAAACACACGGTCAGATCTGTACGACGCACTTTACTCTTTCTTCTTATTAATGAATAATTGGCTGATGTACTCACTAGAATTTACTAGGAAGTAAAGTAGATCTTAGACAACTCCAACAACAGAGAAATTCAGACTATCCAGACGACCTATAACCCCAAATCAGCCGCCCCTACTGAGGATTATCCCCACGACCATATAGGAGGGGGTGACAAATATAAGTATGACCAAGAGACGGTAACAGATAATGCCTACCTGGTTCATTCTGCTTGCAGAAATACTTATTGGGGCTCTAAAAGGGGGTATAATATTAGGGTTAGTGAATTAGTTCATCTAGATGCACAGACGTCCGTCAGTGGATATGGCCCAAGGGAATTATGGAAGAGGAGCCTTCTTACTGAGTCCGAATGGTGCTTGTACAAATGTGTGATGAAAATTGAGAAGACGAGAGACAGTTTTGTCTTCAAGACACCGTTGATCAAAGGCAATTTAACAACTTGAGCTACTACGACAATCGAACTCCGAATGATGAGAAACAAAAACATGAGTAGCGCAGAACCTTCGCCCCTCGTTAACACAGGGAGGATATATAAACTTTGATTGCGGTACATGCGTTAACTTCTGCCTGACTGCGGTATAAGTGCACCAAATAGTCACCTTCCTCATATGTCCATTTCGTTTTCGAGTGACCTTGACCCTAACTTGAGTATTAATACACACAGGGTGACCTCAAGTCAAATTGGCCATCAAGGAGAACTCAACAGGAACGCAACTCAATAAATGTACTTGAGTGGTCAAGAATTATCCACGAAGGAAGAGGATTGAAATCCTGAGTATGGGCTCCTAGAGAGTCAGAACTGAAACAATCTTTTTGGACAGAAGAAGGTACCCCCTTGCCCTACCACCTGGGATCTTGGAGCCTCTCGAGCTTGCAGAGTAGTCAGTAGACCTTGAGACAGCCATCTTTGCCTGCTGATGGGCAAGAGTAAACAAAAGTGGTGTAGCGTGTGTACACAGCAAAGTCAGATAGATCGTGAAAACGCCGGTGACGAGAAGTGTGTTTATAGCAATTGATTGACCTTGACCTTAATAGTAATGCGTTGCACGATCAAAGTACATCTCTTCGTACTATTTAGCCAATCAGGAGGGACTGAGCGAAGGGGTGTAACGCTCCAGAGTATTGAGGAATTAGAAGCGTGAAATTGAAATTTCTGGGAGATAGACGTTACAGGCATTCCCAGCACTGGGTGCGAGTGTTGTCTGTAATCGCTGTTACCTTAGAACCACGACTGATATAATGAATCCGATTTTCTGCGTGGAATGCCTTCTAACCGTTTTTGAACTGGACACCCGTCCAGAGTCCAAGCTATCACGGTTTAGCTATCATCCTGAAACCGATTTCATAAGAGCTGGACACCTTGCTCTCATTGTGTAAGAGCATTGTGAGCCACACCTAGCCGCCTTTGGTCTTATCCCATGTTAGTACAAAGAAGAGGCAATAACTTCCATTTGGAGCTTGGAGGGATATCACCAACCAAATGGGGAGAATGAAAAGGCAGTGTCGCTTCACCTCCCTTCTTCTCTCTCCCTACTTTTCCTCTCTGCTCACCCTAAGATGAGATGAGATCTTACGAACCAGTTCTGCGCTGAGTTATGGGTCTTCCATGGTCCTATAGAAAGAGCATTTTCTCCTGACTAAATGAGTAGATCCAAGTGCCTCTGGAGCTTCTGATTTCATGGCGACTTTTAACAGAGATTTTCATAGTTTCAGAACCGACTTGGCTTTACTCCATAAGGTAAAAAAGCCCGAGTTACATCCAATCAGACTCCAAAATAAGGTCGTGGAGAGCACAGCACAGTCTGCCGTCTTAATAGACTGTACTTCAAAAGTGCATGTAGAATAACCAAACGTGTTTGACAGGCATCGGCAACCGGTTATGAGAAGGCAGTATAATGAGCCACTCCGATTATTATGCTCACTTTATCGGACCCCTAATGGAGAGAAGTGGGTTAAAAAATAAAACAAGCCAAGAAAAAAGTGCACCATCACCAGTCACTGATGTACTACAATCCGCTCATATTCTCAAAGGAGTCATTATCTCTCCTTCAGTGTGTACTCACGCCGTTTCTGCAACTTCTCATATTTCAGGTCATTTAGAGATATCAGTATGGTTAAACCACATGGACACTTCACTTCATGCAGATTATGCATCCATCTTGGGAGCACGGCCCTAGAACCACGGTGATAGTCCTCCGGCTCTCCTGGAAGACTTGAAACGTCACAATTAACTCCCTTATTGAAAATAAATTTCAGGGCTAAGATAACGAAATTATTCATCAACAGAATGTGGAAGTAAAGTTTTTAGATCTTCAAAAAATGATGACAGAATTAATAAATTTCCAAATTAGTGGATAAACGTCCTCAACTCATTAAGGTGTCTTTTCAAACATCTCCGACCCCGTAGACTACTCGTTGCACAATGCACGGAGGAGCAGAAAAAAATTCTTTCATATGCATTCTTCTGTCAGCAGAGTGAGTAGTAGAAGGAGAATGCGAAATAAGGTCATCTAATGTATACATTCATACACACACACATGCATGCACATATGGAGGAGGAGGAAAGGCAGAAGTAAGGGTGGGGAGCAAGAGAGGAGGATACTAATGTACACATACACACACGCATACATATGGAGAGGAAGAGGGTGTGGAGGGAGACATTAATAAGAGACTGGTTGCAGTATCTGCGGTGTTGATAGTAATAATAATAGTGATTATCTCTTTTTCTTCTTTTTCCCGACCACTATCACAATAGACAGAAAAATGCAGGGGACGATGTCTCTTGACATCATAATTAATCATCTTCATTCAGCATCATTGTTTACTTCACTTTCTTTTTTGACTCTGGGAAAGACTCTGGCTTCACTGAGGAGAAAAAACGCAACATACGGATAAATTGAAGAGACGGCAAACAAACAAGAACACACGCATACCTAGGCTTCGTGCCTATTGCTGCAAAATAAGTGCATATATGTTGACACGCGAGCGCACGCGACACACGTGTCACCTGTCCGATATAAGTGGAATATAGGGATTGGGAGAAAATGGATTTTATCTCGTGTCAGCAAGGCGTATTTGAAGGGAAAGGGGAAGGGATGGCGGGAACGAGGAGGAACAGGGTGAGTATCGATTTTTCAAGCGGATCTGCCGTCGTTCCTTTGATAGAAGAGAACGTAGGCCTCTGATGATACGGCTTCGGTTTTTCGGATTGGCCTCACTCTATAAAATTAGGAACGACGCATTAAAGATTCCCGACATGATGAAATGTCAAGAGGACATTGACGTATGGTATTGAAAATTAAGTTGTCGGCACCGAAACTGTCAGTATGGTACGAAAGGTATCTCAATGCCTCCATTCCGGTGGTCCCGGGATTAAATATTGCCTAAACGTTGCCAAATTTTTGTGCTTAAAAGTGAATTTTTTTTAGAAAAGAGTTTAAATCCTGCTGGGAGGATCTGACTAGTTGTGAAACAGAGTGGAAAAAGAGGGTTTACTAAACTCTAAATCGAGTGTTGATTAAAGGTGGTGTACCGCTGTTTAATCACCACATTATTCTAAAAAGAAGGAAGGACTCTCTAGCTGTTCTGATCATAACCTCTCTCCCCACACAGACTAATGCATTTGTGGCATCGTCACGATGATTACTGACAATAAGAGAGACACAATGAGGGAAATCTTATGACAAAGAAATAATTACTTAATAAAATAGTATCAAAGTCAAATAGTCGCTTTATTAAACTAGCTCGGGTCATGTGTCACAATCTACTAGCATGCAACCATCGAAATTTGAAAGATCGGTTGACCTCCACTTGTGTACCTTCTCATGCGTCTCTTGCGGTCTAAATGGAAGAAACGGTTACCCAGTGGTATTAAATCTGCTTAATAAAAAGGAGCTATTGTCACTCCACTTCTGCAGTCCGTCTATCGGCTCAGTTTATCACATTTCGGACAATGCCCTGGGAATCCGGAGTAGTAGCTAATTGCAGGTCTTAACGTGGATTTGTTGGTTCCATTTGTTGTTTCCTCTAGAACCTCTTCTGTTTGAAAATAACCAAATGATAGGTCCGAAACAAAGTGATTAATAAATGGGAAAAGTGGGCCAAATAAACATTCTAGAAGGGACCTTCATATGGCACTTCAGTAGCCCGTACCCTCACTCTTCACACAAAACACTTTGGCTTGATGAAACAAGAATTAAAAAACTTATCTTACTCATCTCTGCTTCTGTTTCACATCCATTTCTTAATGGTCTACACTATTTCATAAATGACTGACTAATGCTACTACCAAGAAAAGGTGATCATTTTATTAGGAGCACGGAGTAATATCATAAGGAGAACATAGAGGATAAGACTGAGAAGGAGGTGAGGTGCTATTTCCTACCTTCTCTTTCTCCTCTCATCTTAAAATGCGGTAATAAAAACTTCGCGAAGACAAGTTTTGCAGCGCAAGTTACGTGGTGAATAAATTCTTGTAAATAAGTTGGTCTGCATTTTATCCCACGCACATACAGGCAAGATAGTCTTGTGGGATGGGCGGGATGAGATGGTGCGTGTCTTAGGTATGCAAGCGGGTGGGCAAGTGGGTAGGTATTAAGGGCGGCATAGGATACGGTCATATTCCTTCAGTTAGTCGGTAAACAATAAGTAAATGGCGCGTTTTCATGAAGCACAGGTAAAGTGTGAGGAAAAAACCGGTAGACTTTGAAGGTTGCTCTCATTTTCTAATGCACAAGACATTTTTTGCAGAAGCTTCCGCGATCTCCTCTCCACATGTGATGTAAATGTAAGTAAGCTGTCTCCCCATCACCAAGCCTGATCGTCACCATTCCCTTTTCTGGCAGGTTAATCCACACATTTTTTTATATCAATCCGCACCCTCAAATGATAATATGAATTTGTTGAGAAGTTTTATCAGCATGTGAAGTGAGTTGATCCCCAATTGAGTCCATCATATTTATCTGGCAGCGTATGACATCAGAGGTGCAAAATAAGGAGATATAAAAGATCGTAATAAAGTGTACTGTAATCAAGAGGCCAATGCAAATCTATCCATTTTAATGCTGATGAACAACCAAGTGTATTTTGCAAGTTAGTGAAACGAGATATTAAAAACCGCTCAAAATCTTTTGGCTAACTTGATAATTCCCACAAAATCACATTCTTTGTTATTTCTCTTCTTCTTTCTTACTTTCCACAGCAGCTGTCATGAATGTCAAGTCATTTTGGGAACAAATTTCAGTGACACACTGTCAATTCAGGTTTTTACGCCGCAGAAAGAAGTTGCTTTTGAAACAGAATAAGCAGGCATCTTCTCCTTTTATATCTATTTTGTAATCACCAAAAATAGAAAGTCATTAAACTTCGATTCCTCGGGTGGTCTAGTGTCAAATCAGTAATGTTTTCGGAAAAAGCCTCAGCTCTCCCTAGAGAAAAGAGCTGAGAAAAAAGCTATTACAATGTTAATCGGCTAGAGTTATTATCCACTGGTATCAATAGAATTCAAATTCACTTGTGACTGCTAGAGGTGAAGATGGTATAAATTTGTCATTCAAGAAATTTGTTTCCATCAGAAGTACAACAAAAGTTAAAGGAATATTTCGAGAAGGTATACGTAGGAGATGATCTCGCTCATAAAGAATCCACATCTCGCCGATTCACAACCTGCTTATAATTAACTTAATAATGAAGATAGAAAAGAGTCGCCAAGAAGGTTATGGCAAGGCTGACCCACCTTGTGTCGTTAAATTCAAACCACGTGCCGAGTTTGGGATGCAAGCAGGAGGCGGTGTAGTGGCCACCGAATACGCTACCACTGTGGTTTGACACCGCATAGAGACGATAGGAAGCATTCGTCTCGGGAGCTATAGTAAAAAAAAGCAAAACAATATAGAGAAGTAAAGCAAAACGTGCCTCAAAACACAGCTGACTACCTCACCCAGAACGCACCAAACTATTAGCATCTCATCAATGCCTTGCCTACATGTAGTATGTCAAGTAGACTCTTCAAGTCTGCTTCTATGATGAAACATGATTTCAATAAATTCTTTCACTTTCAGTATTGGAGGAAATTTGCCAAAAAATTTAATATCAAAAAGTGAATAAGAATATTAATTGGAAGTCAGGAATCTAATCATTCATGGATCTATGGAAAACACTGATTTCAATAATTAAGGAGAGATCAATCTTCAATCTTTTGACGAGAGCAAGAGGCTCCAACTTACAACAATACGCAGCATAACGATTAAGGTCGAGGTGTTCGATGGGGTAGTCGATGAATGTGGTGAGTTTGGAGCGCGATCGTTCCCCAGAGAAGCGTTTGAAGTCTACGCCGATGTGGAGTTTAGGCAAACCACTCCAATTACTGTCCCAAACATTGATTCATGCTATTAACCGTAAATCACACTCCGCATCAGGACAGAAACTCGCCTGGAATCTGCTTACTAATTGAAAGTGACAGTAGAATTTAAGAGTGCCGAAATTTCCTAACCAGGTTAATGGCATTAATGATATTGAATGACGCGCTAGTGTAAGAAACATTCCTGGTGGTTCAACATCCGAGCTGACCTTAAGGGTAGTAGAACAGTAGATGTAGTGAATCAAGTGCTTCTCTTGGCCTTCTCTATGGTACAATCAACCTTCCTGTCTGTGTTCATATATGTGAACAAATTTTGTACTGAAATAGACGATCAGTAGCGCGGTACACCTTCCACCCTTATAAAACACACACTACCAAAGTATTTCGAAATTGCACAAAATTAGATTCGTTGATGGACTAACGAGGAAGCTGAACGACGCGTATCCATCAAGAATTTTGAGTGATGGCTGAAAACCTTGACTCATACCTGCTACTGAAATGATTAATGAGTAGTTTAACAGGATTAGAGCTGGATAAATTAATCCGGATTCAAGACTCCCTTCGTCTGGAAAGATGGTATGACAATAGCTGTACCATCTCTAACTCATTGCGAACAAAAAGGACATAATTAAAGCTGATTGGTGAAAAGGATACGAATCACCAGAATCTTGGGGAATCGTTGGATGGAGAGGCTTTTGCGACACGGCTGCCGACGTTTACACCCGCTGCAAGTCTACACAAAAGGAGGAGAGAGAACAGAAAAGAGTTGTGTTTTGTAGAATGCAGTAAAATGGCAAGTATCGTGCTGTTATTGAACACATACGTACAAAGCATTATTGTTTGCAGACGCAGGTGAGTGTTCACCAATAAACAGGGACAGACAAACAGACAGATAAACAGACAGGTTAATGGAAGAACAGACGGACAGGCAACCATCGTGGCTAGCATGTGGCGTAAAACCAGGCTCTTCTCGGTAACTTTCCTTCTTTTATTTGCTAAACTAATGCTTTGAACGCACACAAAGTGATCATTTACCCTACTCGAGTGAGTTATCCGGAGGTTCACTATCAATAACTAGACACTGAACGTACAAAGCATACAGGCAATCAGGAATCAGAGGATGAGCTCGGACCAACTTAGGAAAGGTATGAATTTAAAAATTAGCCACAAAACGCATTTCTCAAACTTTAAGGGGATCAATTTGAATTAGGTTTTAATTTGTCAGTAAGAGGGTATGTTCGGTGTTGGTCCGGATAAAAAAGTAGTTGTTTAGACTGAGTTATAAATCCGAGCAGATACTTTATCAATAGCGTGTAAAAATGATAGAAAATTTTGCTGTGAGACAGATCAGGAAAACTTTCACTTCTCTGCATAACTAGTTAAGGAGCGTATAATTTATTCTGCCTTCTACATTGAATAGTGCAAAGATGCAAGGTGTAACCGAGACCTCAGGTATGTACCTCACTCCACTACACTATGGCCTCGTGGTAATGATGGCAGTGGTGCGATGAGATATGCTAACCTTTGCACGCACGCACGCACGCAAATGACCTGACGCGATGGACAAAACGCTATTGTGTCCGTTTGCATGCGCATACTTCAGCGCTGGCGTGAGTCTGGGTAAGGCTGGTGGATGGTGAAGGGACGAGAAATGCCAAGGTGATGCGCAGCCTGTATACCTCTGGCAATTTCCGGCTGCGCAATTACGTGGCCTCGGGATTATTGGGTGATTGGATAGGCGAGGAGAGGGAGAGAGTGAGAGAGGGAAAGAGGCAACCCAGCACATGCGCTAACTACCACGCTGTGTATGCTAGTACCGGTACTGTTACTACAGCCAATATACATTTTCGATTGACTGCGATATCCAGACATTGTAGCTGTTACTTTCTTATTCACAAAGTGCCGACAATTTACCGACATACACAGGAGTGAGACTCGTCTGTCTCGTTTCGTTTCAGGCCTTAACCACACCAAAATTCGAATTACAAACTCAGAGGAATAAAACAGTTCCATTGCATTTTATAGTCAGATAATATCAGTCTCCGACGGAGGTAATATGCCATGGAAAGTAAACTATTCTCACAAAATAAATTTTCTCATTCAAATATGTTTGCAGGGCTAGTTCAGTAGAAGCGACGATTACTTTCATAAGATTATAACTATAGGGGGGTTTTCGTTAGTGTCTCCATAATTCTGCCCATTCGATGATTTGGCAATAATAAAATTCTTACGGAATTGAGGCACGACGATGAGTCAACTAGCAGGGTATTCATCTGATGAATTGAGAAGTACTTTTTACGATTACTTCATTCAAAAATGTCAAATTGTTGCAAATAAAAGCCATTTCATGTAATCACACCTACTGCCCTCTCAAAGCTAAAGAATATACGAAAAATAATATGGATATATTTTGTGAATAATGATATGGTTCAAATAAAATGAAAATGATGGAACGGATAGTTGTACCGTCTTCCGATAGCTTTTTGAAATGGATGAAGTCAGTAGTTCACGCGAGTACCATAAGGAGACATGGTGTAGCTTGAATTCTTGGAAGCAGAATGGAGATTTAGCATGATGACATGCTTACGTAAAGATCAAAGACTGCAAGGATTATATAATCAACTCGACCCATCAGATTTGTGGTCTATACCAAAATAGGGATGTTACAGAATGCTTGATCTAGAAATTTCATCCAATGTAGTAGTCAGTCGCCCCACATTTGGCATCTCTAAAGCTTTCGCCATTTCTTGTGCTGAGTAAGCAAATCGGTTAAGATAATGTGTTTCCATTAATCATCTAAAATTCGGAGGGTTTATAGGCAAGGTATAGCCAAACAGGGCCTCACAAAATAAGCAGTGTTAGCAGGAGAAACAGTAGCTTACAGTCTACTCAATGTAATTTTTCTTGCAAGTATACGTGCACGGTGAGGGAAGTAAACGACACAATTGAAGGCAGTGTTGACGGTAGTAGCAACGATGAGAATGACAACAACACGCAAAACTATCAGTAAATAAAATACTGTTGTCAAAACACAGTGGCCGAACTCACAGGCAGCGCACTGGTGTGTCGATGCACCTGACAAAGGGAAATGCGAATGCGTGGTTGGTAGAGGGAAAGAGGGAGTAGACACATGCGGTTTAGTGAATGACACAAAACCAAATGCGATGGAATGAAGAAGGGGAATGAGAGAGGGAGAGGTGCGAATAAAGAAATTGGATTTCTAACTTACTGGCTGTTCAGCACCATCCAGAATCTCATTAGAGGTGAAGAGATCGAAACAGTTGTGAATGTCCACCTCGCTACCCTGTAATTAAATAAATCCCTTTTTACAGAATAGAGGAATAGACGGCAATCGGACACGCGGTAGGTGTTTTTAGGCTATCCTATTCCCTCTCAGCACATCATAACGCCGGAGACAATCGGGCGGGCAAGCTGACAGGTGCGCGGATTTTCCACGTGATATCCACCATCACAGTGGAGGTTTTCTTGTGCACCTCTTCTAATATTTGCACTTTTCCTTATTCAAGCTTTGCCTGCATTCAAAGGAGGTCACGTCTGCAGGGACATTTTTGACAATAAAGGTACTACTTTCCATCTCCTTAATTCTTGGTGCATTCAAATGAAATGCTCTGGCAAAAAAAGTAGCCAATTTTTCCAAATGATTTTTTCCAATAAAAACGTTATATTACTGAATTGCAGCGTTTTGCGATCCAACTTGGAAACGGATAGGGTTGATCAACTAAAATAACCTATCATATGATAGCTTGCAGTTGAAAATCATAAATACAAGCTGACAAGATGTCAGAGCAAATACCGTATTTTTAGGAACCAGGTTTGAATTTGAATGTTTTAAAGTAAAGAAAAAGGGTGAATTCAATCTGAGGCGTGACCACTCCAAGCTGTCCCCAAACACAAATTGCAAAACTTCGTGATTTGTTAGATGTCAAGTGAACAATCGAAAACTGTTCACTTGACATGCGTATAGAAAAAATAAAACTTCGTATTCCCAGAACAAACTGATTCATTACACAGTCGAAAAGTTACTTTTTCAAATAAAGGGAAAAGAATAGTGGAAGACTGCGAATGCGAAGGCGTCATTTAAATGACTATTTCGTAAAACTGTTCAAAGTGAACTTGGATAACTGGTAGAAAGGGTCTAAAATATCACTTTGGTTACCACTGGACTGACTAGTAGAGGAAAAGAAGGGACGAACTCCTAAAATGTATGCGTATGAATTATTCGTGTCAAGTGTCCTATTTGATGTTTTCCAAACAAATTTCACCTTAAATCCACACAAGGAACAGTACTTATGGGAAGGTCTAATCTTCCGAGTTGGTTAATCACCATCCTACTCGCAATATCCATCACATCTGTGTGTAGTTAAACAATACCATCAATTTAGCCCAATTTAGGAAAATTATTTGCTCACACATTTGGGAAATGTTTTACTTTCTTTTCTATTTCAAGCAAATCGTACATCAAAAAGATGTGAGGAGCAGTTATTTATGATTTTTGTTTTATTTTTGGAAAAAAGTGTAGAGGATACATAGCAAGGCATGGAAAGAAAGGCAAATGGGTGCATGCTATGGTTGCTGAGAATGGGCCAAAAGCCAAGCCACATGCAAGTGCAACCGCGAACAAATAGGTGGTTGTGGAGGATAATTCTTTCATCCATTTTGTCCCTTTTAACTTGTAGGCTGTGCCTTTGCCTTTATAACTTGACACTGGGTTCAATAACCTGTCGCTTTACCAAAAAATCCCCAAAAGCCTTAGACGAGCTTTTGTGGACTGAAAAGTAGCTCGGAATAAAGGCAAAGGTTATGAATATGTTGACATTTTCTAGTTCAGGCCAACCCTGAAGCATGGCACACCTCCTAAGTTATTGAGATGAATGAGAAAAGTGCACCCTTCGGGCGAATCGAGCCACAAAATTCGTTAGGGCCGACAATCATTTCCCAATCATAAAATTTGTACTCCAATTTGTTAATTTGAATTAAAGGGTAGCAATGCAATCATCAATTTAAAAGAGTATGCGGAAGACGCTGAACATTCCAGAGGATAAAAGAACAGACATTGTATCAAATTAGCAGAAATTTATATTGAAGTAGTATTTAATATTTTAATGAGAAAGCAAGAGCGAACCCACCCGAGGAATAGGAAGACTGAGATCCCAAAAGGGATCGAAAGTGGTCGACTTGTGACCGCAGGACATGCACTCTAGTGTGCTCATCAACTGACCAAGGAATAGATCTACAATCAGAAGGATAAAATCTACTCAAGAAGGCAAGAAATCCGAGGTAAAAATCGCGGCCGTATCGATGTTCACCTGCAATGATGCTATCGTCAATCCGTTTGTAGCGCTGCCAGTAAAGTGCTGCCTTCTTTGAGTCCCTGAAAGCCGCAACATCAAATGCATCAGTATGTCTTAAGATTCCAAGTTTTGCAAAATTTGTGTAACTACTTTTTGAACAGTACAAAAGCGGGATATGGTAAAACACAAAAGAAGATCACTGAAAAAGACACAGAAGAATGAAATACTTAACAAGGGATAAAAACAGAGACATTATTCAGACTATTTTAAAATTGACAAGTAATTCATGGGTGTGTAGACGAAGTGTTAACAAAACAGCAATAATTCTGGCAGATTTTATAGAGGATACGTGACCCAACTTAGTCCACAAAGAGAAGGTCAGTTCCGTTTAAACGTACCAACACAAATGATAATTCAACTAAATGGTCATGTTTTTATTTCCATTTGTTTATACGTCATCATAGGTCCAGACAAACACCTCCAATTTGAGTGTTATGGTAAATTTTTCAGGACTCTAAAGTAAACCCAAACAAATTCCACAGAGATTGCAGGGTAAATCCAAATTTCCATGTAAAACTCATGTGGCTTTCCTTTAATGATTGAACTCTGAAGTAGACACGATACTACTTCGCGAAATACAGCTAAGATAAGTGGCTGCGCTTCGACCTTGAAGTCACAACAACGAACCGTTACGGTAATTTTTTTTAAAACAGGCAAAGTGTTGGAAACTAGTGGGCTATTGGATCTTGAGAAAAAAAACGTAACAGACTATGCACGCAAATGTGCCTATAGGCATGTGTACGCATGTGCGCAAGTAGGAATAATTTGGCACAGGTGCCATTTGGACGCCACCTCGTATATGGCAGACAAAATCGCCGTGAAACAGAAAAAAACGGAAGCGTAAAGATACGAGAAACAGAAGTCGCATTCACCGTGCTCCTCTACTAATCCTATTTCAGCACGGTTGGGGTAGGCAAATATGCCGAAGCTTGCGTACACGTGCCCATGTGTACACGTGATGCCTGTGACCAATCAAGACGCAAAACAAGGTAACCAATAGGGGAAAAGGAGGACTTGGAAAACATATCGCCTCAATGTAGGCAAGGGAGCGAAGTCCTTACTGGAGTTCACTTGAAATGTTAGCCAAAACAAGGGCGTTATACTAAGCTGGTGGATTTGAAATGTCGGCACGCTTTTTCCATACTTATACATCTTTTGTACACCTGGTGGTATCACGTGATGCAAATGTGCTGATTTTAGTGCAACCAAAAGCATGCATATTCATCGCCTTGTAAAATGGCAAATCATTTTGCACAAGACTTATGAATATCGAGAATATTATGCCTGATTTAGGGATGTATCGCAGGTAGTTAAGCAATAAGTAAAGAAGCTGGTCAATAGATGTTTGGGTATTTTTGTCTGGTCTGGTAACTACACTATGCTACGGGGCAACAGGAAAGAGAATCATCCAAATCTCAACAGGAAGTTAGAAGTAGAGGTAGTACCATAACTTTTGATGCTAGCTCCAAATATACTGATGCCTCAGCTGCGGCGATGCTATTTTAAAAAGTGCTTTGAAGTTATTTGCAAGGACCGTCATATTTCGAGTCCTTTCGGTGATTTTAAAGTCCGTAAAATGACCCATTTTAAGTAGGGAGAAAATTATTTGAAATTAGTGTCAATATATTGGTCAAGTTTTGTATCCTTCGCTGAGGTGCCCGACCGCGTTTAGATATTTACAGTGACATTAATTAATTATCCACAGTGTAGAGTTTACAACATAATTAAGGGAATCGTAAATACAATTTATGGTCATGAAGTCTGTCCAACAAAAAATTCGTCAATTGCTCCATCCGCTAAACGACTTACGTGAGTTGAAAAGCAAGCAATGTTTTATCGGGTAGAGTTTAAACTCAACTTTGTCCAGGCAAGTTTCGTCAAAATTGAAAATGACCGAAAGCACATTAAAATTTCCTTTTGAGTATTCATAGTTAACTGACTCACGGCATTCGATCCTCCTTGTCGTAGTCAGGAATTTCTGAGGGTGGCCGTTTAGTCACACGATTGACATCTTCGTGAAGACCCTGAACGAGGTAGCGGAGAAATTCCTGGGCGTCTTGCTGACTTCAAAAAAAGTGGATGATGAGGATATTTAAAGACGGCCAGCGAAAAGGAGAAGGTAAGGCGACCTACGCGTAGCCCATGAAACGCGGCGCGAACTTTTGCACTTGCGACCTGAAGCGCTGCGGACTGACATAGGCGATGGTGGAACTAGACGGCGTCCACATCTGACGCATCAAATCCGCGTAGGCTGCAATTCAGAAGTGTGTACATATTTATGCAGTATTCTCTTTCAAATGGGCAGAGGAAAGGAAGTCACCATTTTAGCGATCTATTCCATCACAGAATGTGAAGAATATAAGGACTTTTAGCACTCATTTAAGCTTGGAAATAAAGCACATGATCGTTCTTAACCAGGAAAGTACATAGAAGTGATTCGATTCACGTTTTTGAAGTTGGAGGGCTGTCACGAATTTTAAGATTCAGGTGAACCGAAATAGGACCGACGCCAAATAACTGATGTCCGATGTAAAGATATTTGAACTTCTGTGATTTCTCTGAATGATAAGAGCATTGAAATGCCCCATACACAAAACAGTAGATGAACGAGTCTGATGCTAACACGATCCAAGAAATAGGGTTTAGAAAAATGCAAAAAAAGGATCTCAGGGTTGCCTCGCGCGTAAGAAATAATACCGTCTTGTGAAGTACACCTCTAAGTGAATTGCCAAGGTGACCTCAAACTAGTTAATGCGGGATGATCTATGGCACTTAAATAATGCATAAATACCCCCAGCTCAAGGCAATTATTCCGAAAGGTCACGTGCCTCATCAGTGGCTTCCGTAAAGCAGTAGTTCTTTCAGAATACTAGACCATTACACTGAATCTATGACCTCCCTGTTTAATTCACTAAACAAAGAACTTGGGCACTGCATTGTTATTTCAGTAAGGCAGATTTGTAGATTCGAGAGAAAGTGTGTGCGGAGTGAGCAGTGAAGTCACGTTTTTGCACAAAAAAACCTCGTTTCAATTTCATTCCAACTGCTTTGTCACTAGTCTCCACTCGAAAGTCACGCATTTCGAGAATTGCATTTTAAAATATGTTTGAATATCACCTACCGCTCATGCTAATATAAGTCATAAAAGCGCATGATTTCCATATCTTCAAGGTGCAATCATTTATTCCTTAGTAAATTTGTTAATTTATTTAAGCGAATTTTAAGACGAACTATAAACATAAAGGAGGTTTAAGTCATGCCACTTTACAACCCCTTCTGAAATGTGATTTTGACTAACCGTGTCAATATGGCGTAAAGAAGAGGGGCTGGAGATAAGGTTACAAAGTTTGGGTCCCACAAATACCAATCTCCGGTTTGATCGAGACATCTAATCAAATAAGGGAGAAGGGACAGAGACAACACTTCACATTATCCCAGGTTGGTAGAAAGAGAATAGCTACCCAACCATTCTGTGTGCATATGGCAGAGTTTGAGAAGTATTTTAAGCGCTACGATGAATCCATTGATGAAGTTGGTCTATCAAGTCACCAGCTATAAGATGTCAATCTTCTGAAGTGCGTATAAGAATATCCTTAAGGCGTGGCGTCATCTCTGTCAAAACTATAAGCTCTCACTTATTACATACAAGTAGTTTAAAACTGTTTTATCGAAGAAATGCCTGTCAAATTTCTCAGCATATTAATGTAAGATCAAATTTCGTTTAGGTGCATGAAATTGATAGGGAGAAGTTGGAAGCCATTTCACTAGGCGAGCGTACGTAAAGGTAGAGTCTAACTTAAATTCTCCTATTTATCTCGATTATTTATCACACAAATCACAATTTTAATGGCTTCTCCTTAAATTGAAGCATTAAAGATGAAATTTGAGGAGTGTAGAAACGAAGGCTGCTGCAATAGAACCCATGTGAGGCAACCATCGTGCTACATGCTTAGGAATCAGTACTTGCATGTGAAGTCAGGTGGTGCGTGTGCGTGTGTATGCATACGAAATGAGAATGGGAGAGTAAAGAAGAATGAATGCAGAAGGAAGGGAAAGAGGAGGCAAAAAAGTAGAGTGAAGATCGCTCGCATACCTGTAAAGAGGTTGCCCTTCATGCTACTGTTCACATTCAACTCGGACTGATAGACGTAGTCCAAACAGACGCGAAGCAGCTCCCTAGTATTGCTGAGACATTGGATGACAGAGTTCATGAAACACTGAAAAAACCCCAAACAACAGCCATGTAAGTGGGCCGCGTGGGAATTCAAAACGTCCGAGATTAGCGGAACATGTAATTACAAAGACTCGTTTTTTTACCGGCTAGGCTATACTTCTATCAAATTTAGGATTCTATGAAAGTTCATAATGCACAAACTGGTCGAGAAATTTACCCGGATCCAGTTTTATTTCACATTTATATCCGTTGGTGTGCATTCTACGAATTGAAAAAAGGTGAAGCAGAATCAGTGATAATAATTTGCTCAATCTGCGCATATCACTAGAAAACCATGAAAAATAACTAATTTCGAAGGTTGTCCATTTGTATTAAATTTTTGAGAGAAAGGTTCAAATATTGCCAAAATTTGGTGGAACAATTCCTTCGTGAAGAATTTTTATCAGAGAGTAGACGAAGTAACGCAACTTAGAGGCTTTTTTTGCCCCAAATAGAGACGTATCCAAATACTTTTTTCCTAACGGTACTCCTTTTGCCATAAAATAACATGACATTTCCCTCTCAACTTTGTCTATGGTGATTATTTAATCCAGTACTTATTTTCAAATCGGAAAAGTTTACTGAAGTTAAATAGTCACACATGAAGAAATTTGACTTTGACTGGTCAAGGTGTCAAAATTCCTTACCGTATTCCCAAGGTTACTGAGTCCAATCAAACCAGCGGTAGAAGTGGGGGAAGCAGAAGAGGAATTAACACCAACAGCGTTGGAGGAGGAAGAAGAAGAAATGGACGCGGTGGAGGAGGTGGCGGTGGTGGTGATGGCACGGCCACCATGGAGACCGGAGGACTTTCGCCTGTAGGCGTCGGAGGAAGTGGAAGCAGAAGCAGAAGAGGTAGGAGAGGTGGTGTTATTTAAGTTAACGTCGGTAGGTGAGGTGCTACGATCACTGCTCGAGCGTGAAACGGTTTTCGCCTCTACCGTCACTGCCACTGCTCGATCCACTCGGATGTCTGGGGAGTCGCAATCGGCTGATATCCCTGCTGCTGTGGATTTCGTTTTTGGCGTTTCTTCGTTTCCAGTCTCCACCTCCACGTGATGTACTCGCCGTGGGTGGAGCTCAGCTATGGAAGAAAAGCTGGAGTTTTCATTAGTTATTTATGACCTTATTTCCCTCCACCAGTCATTTTAAAGGCAATATTTTTCACTCAACTGTATCACATCTTAGACAATTTTTAATGAAAAAAATCAAGACCTCAGGCTTTTAACAGCTAATTAACCAGCTAATTATGGGTTATTCAAATGCACAAGTTGAGTGTTTGACCCTCAGCTACTAAGGCGAAATCGGCATTGCCAAGAATGGGTCCATATATCACGACAATTCCCCATCCATTTCTGCACAATACTATTACAAAGGCAATTAAATTTCCTTGAAATGTGAAACCCAAACCTACACGGATTACTGATGAAGTGATAAAACACATTTCTAAAAAGTTTTATGCGAACAATCACTATATGATTTAGTCTACTACATGCAAATAGGGCCCTTAAAATTGGGCATAATTTACTTGGGCTCCAAGCAATTTATTAATTGGATACAATTGAAAATGGCCCATTAACGAAGTTCCTATCATTTTTACGGTGGCTTATGGCGAAAAGAAAATTTCTCACCCCATTCTTCACTGCGTCCGTTTATCCTTCGAGGATTGCGGCCTGAAGAGAAGGAGGGGAAGAAATTAACCTATTCATGGCATAAAAGGTAGTAAGATTTATTATCAAATACATTTTTGAAAGAGAAATCTCAATGTTGCCCCAAAAAATATTAAACAAAGTAATTAAATAATACACTTAAACTTGCACTACCTCTAATGCGGAGCAAGAATGAATTTGAGATTTCAAGATCGTGACATTAGCGGATTCCGTCAAAGTCGTATCTCTATTCAAAATGATAAATTTTTCAGCAGAGCAATAAACTTATGCGAGTCAATGTGCGTTAGAACCGATTTTTTTATAAAATGGACGAATACTTTATTTGAAAAGAATTTAGAAGAAAAAGTATGCGCAGCACAATGACGATGATAATGATGTGGGAAATGACAAGTTAATGATGCTTTCAATTACCAAGCATCAAAGCTATACGAATCAAGCATAGGAAGGGGGCAGTAAAATATAACCCCTAAATGTGGAAGGTCAGCCAAATTTCCGAAGAGCGCCTTTCATTTGCCTCTGTCCCTTGGGTACTTATATCTACCGCACCCATCCCAAATTACTATATCAATATCCTTTTTGTTCATTTTTCTTTAAATTTGATTGTATAAAACACGAAGAAATGCAATTCCCAAGTAAAGTACTAATTAACCCTCAACAAAGAAATATAAAAGGTAACAAAGTAGTAGTTTAAGATATCCCAAAGGGGTGGAGAAAGAAAAGAGACTTAGCAAACGTAGTCAAAATATTTCTTTTAATGCAAGTTTAAGTAAAGAATTTGAGGAAGTAGTTAAAGTTTGTGACTCGAACTCACCAATCAAGTGGGTGGTCGGAATGGATGTTCACATTTTTCTTGTTCCTAGCATATCTTAAAGTCATTCAAAAATGCAAATTCCGAGATAATAGGATTTGAAAGAAACGAGAGAAAAGCAATGATTGAAGTTAAGGGTAGAACTTTCTAGGGCAGAAAATTTGAAATAAATAGGTGAAAATAAAGTGAAAAGGCTTTATGATAAAAGAAAGGACATCGGCATACCAGCAAGATAAGGGCGATATGAAGAGCAGGGGAGAAATACGAAATTCCAGTGATGTACTATAGAGCAAGGTAGTCTTTAAATTGGTGATAGAAGAAGAATAAGAAAGTGCGTAGAGAAACAGAAAATCTAAAAACTTGAATGTTAAAAAATTACTCTACATGTGGGACGTGTATTTTACAAATATTAGCGCTATCCTTGAATATCTAGAAGTACGCGTTGTTTCCGTAGCCAAATTACAGCTTTTTGTAGTTAATTTCTAATTTACCAACTTCCCTTCCCACAACAAAAGAATAGCATCATAATTGGGTGGAATCCGTCTCCGTATGTGAACTAAAAGGTCACTTGAAGGAAGGAATGTGAAATTGCAGTCAGTCATAAAGCAATACAAGTTCGATTCGTTTACAGAAAAGCTATTGTTACACATTTAGAAAATCTAAATTGATTCGATAATTAAGAAAAGTAGAAAGAAAAAAGTACCAATCTAGAAAAGTGTTCTTTGAGGAGAAAGCAAAACTTCTCAAAAAATATTTCACATTCAACAGAACCTTTATCTAACTAACATCGGACTGGGGAGCTTCCACCCCGCTGATAGTCTTTTCAAGAGAAGTTTAAGCCAACCTGAAGGGTAAGGCGGTGATCGGAAGTCCGTGTCGGTACCGCTGTAATCTGGTGATGGACACACAGACAAATGGGAGAAGTTTTTAACCTCCTCGTAGCTTGCACGCTTGACAGGTGACCCATTCCGTCGCGACATTTGAGATGGCAATAGGCTGTAAGAGTATTTGAAGCGGTGATTGTTTGAATAGTTGGAGTTCGAGTATTCGGTGAAATAATTGCTCAGGGATCTAGAGTCATTGTAGGGGAAAGTATGAGGCGTAGGAGAGGCCTGCTGCTGAGCGAATTTGGAGAGGGAGCTAGAGCGCGACAGAGATGGACGGGAAGATATAAAAGCAGAGCGCTCGGTGGTGCGATAGCGAGAGCCGGGTGTGGAGGCTGATGGCGGAAGGAAGAGGGCAGAGCGATTAGACATCGCATTGACTGAGGAATAGCAGTGAGACGAGCCGCGGTAGGATATGGGGTGGTGGTGCAGCACAGCCGGAGGCTGACAACTGCCGCTTGAGATCGGAAAGTTCAGGTCATTTCGATAAATTTGAGGAAAAGAGGAACGAAGGGGGTCTACGGAGACGGCGCGATAGCGAACAAGGGGACGTGTAGAATAATCTTTCGGCGCCTCAGGATAGCCCGTCTGACGACGTGAATGATAAGATGAAGAGGAGTTCATTCGCCCGCGTTGGCGAAGTTACTACAGAGACAAAGTAACAGCAAAAATACAAAGGATGTGGTGAATTGCTAAACTTTTGTTGTCGAATCCTCAAAAAAGTATAACAGTCGTTGACCCTGAATAAATGAATGCTACAAAGAGAAAGCCGAGAAACGCGACACCATTTTTTAGCCTGTAGACATTCGTAAAATGTAATTGCTTGCGTCACCCTATCGATGCTTTGCGATATCATTTACTGTGCCCTCCACTGTTTCACAAATACTTTAAACTCACCCTCGTGGCACAACTTCAAGTGACTCAAATATGTCTACCTTACAGATCAAGTGCTTAACTAAGGCAAAAAGGTGCAGTCTCCTAAATTTTTTCGACTTGAATTTAGAGAGAGGATTCGGTACGTAATGGCACACCGTAACATCCAAAAGTGGTTAAAAACATTTTATCCAGTCTATGTATCAATGCAAGATATATCGCGTCCTGGAAAGCTCACCATCACCATTGCATGCGCCTATCAACAATTCAAAATAAATCGAGGTTAATGTGAAAAACATCACAAAATTAAAAAAATCTTTTTTTTAAAAAACACGTAAAGGAAGGAAGAATACGATAAAATGCCATCTGAACGATAGAAGTAAACCAGATACTAGTTAAAACCGCCAACATAATGGAAAAAATTGGATATTATTAAAATAACAATGCACGGACTAATGATGTAGAATCATGAAAATTCGAACCAAACCTATACCCAGGCAAAAACGTTTTAAAAAGAAAAAACTAGTGCCACAAGGTTCCGTTTAAAATGCATTTCTTGTGAACTTCATCATCATTTTTCCCACTTTATTGCTCCAAGATCAAATCTGAAAATAGGATTATGCGTAGAGGGCTGTAGCGTTTTACTAGCACCATCGTCTTTACGAAGAAGCGTAGATGTAAACTCAAAAATATGTCCCCTAGCGGTGACAGGAGAGGCAGTGAAAGAAACTTTGTAAGTGAAGACTATTTCACTTTTCAGAGAGCCAAATGATACAACTGTGATAAGCAAAAAAGAACAAAAAATCTGGGAAAGTTAAAGCAAAAGAAGAGAGTGAATGGCAGTAAAAGCTGCACCAGTGATCTGTAAAAATATCCTGTGCTAGTATGATGGTATGCATATGGGAGAAGATGCCTTATGAAAATAAAATACGAACCATGGACACATGTGGCATTGCTTTGCTACCAAATGCAATTTATTTCACTTGAATAAAAAATACATCATTAATGTCGAATACCAGAGCATTAACAGTTTGAAATTATTGTATGAAGCAGATACGTCATATGTACATGAACGAGTAGTGATCTGTCGGGAAAGCAAATAAATAAGACGAAATCTGAATAAAAGGACCCGTGTCATTGTTTTAAAATGGTTAGGTCACGAACCAACTTCGTTGAAATCATTTATGACCGTATATGTTGGTGCCTCTAATTACCAATCTGGAAGTACTACCCCCTAGGAGACAAGTAGCATTTGGCTTATTAAGACATAAGAAGTAGTCTCATGCAAGGAAAACAAAACACAAATGGGTAATTTGATTATCGCAGGGCGTATTTTGTTGAAAATATGCGCTAAGGTGCCAAGTGGCTTACAAACACAGAAATAGTGCGAGAATATAAATTAAACGAAACCCATCTTCCACTTTAAGAAGTTTAACTAAGCAATAGCTGATAAAGAAAAAGGCATCTTTTGCAAACTATAACTTCAGTGACATGCACTTTATCTGTGCTGTTAGTAAAAGATCCAACCAAAAATAAGACAACAATGACTTCGAACTGGGGCAAGGTAGCCATACAATGGATTCGTTGCTCAGAAAAATAATGAAATAAATAATGAGTGCTAGCAAAGGCAAAAAACTTTTTCTGTAAATAAATAGGTGGTTTATTTGCGAGTTAGAAGCGTGTATTAATGTAATTTGAAGCAGGACAGTCAACGTTTCCAATAGCGTGATAGAGAAGTTGAGAAAAATCTGGGCACCAACAACTATGTTGGGTCACCAACACGCAAAAAATGCTACCAAGTCATAGAATGTCTATGTAGAGGCTCCAAATTACAGGAATCAAAAGAAAATTCATTAGGATTGTAACATGTCAGTCATGTAGAAAACCAGTGCTTTTTCTGCGAAACAACCATCAGTCTTGGCTAACGTGCTGATGTGTGCGTAAATCAAGGAATTATAAAACAATTTTGTCATACCGTTTGAAAACATCAAGATAGTCCAAAAAAGTACATCTGGTCAGCAAAATTGCGTAAGTACAATTATGAAAGACATCCGCAATTACAGCAACTCAAAAGCAGTCGCAAAGAACTAATAAACCCCGTGTAGTACTAGAATAACAAGAACCCCCAGTCAGATTAAAACACTGAATTACTTGATACATTTGTAAACTATTTGTTATGTAGGATTCAGAGCAAAGCCTTCTAAAACTACTAAAGCAGCTCCCATACACAATAAAATTAACACAACAATATTTTATCAAATACGCCTAAATCAAACCAGGATTAGACTAGTTTAATGTGGAATATATCTTATGGACAAACAAGCAAGCATAACACCTAGAAACCAAGCCTAATTCTTCTCAATCAACAAAGGACTGATTTGAGAACAAATGGAAGTCTCCAGTTAAAAACAGGAGAAGTTTCGAAAGACTCAAAAGGATCACGATGCAAATTCCGCAAGAAAAACAATTGGCTTTGCGCTATACGGCAAAACTACAGAAATGGACAATAATGCAGTCTTACAGAAGACGATAGGTTAAGATGGATCGACGTGAAGCTTGATAGCAAAAATATTACTATGCTCGAAGGCGGGGAAACCTAGAAGCACATCAGGATACTAGAGTGTATCATTAGGATAGATAATAAAATCAAACCTTTTAATAAAATCTACAAAAGTAAAAAAATTGCCATAAAGCTAGGCAAAATGGACAAAGTCCAACCTTACTGAGCATTGGTTAGATATTGCCTAAATCAAATAGCTGCTCTTAATAACTATAACAACCAGAGGTTAAAACTAAGCTTAAATACGCAAAAAAAGAATTTATTTACTTTAATCTTATATAAATGATGTAAATTAATTTTTGCATTTACTTAAATAAGAGTTGCTTGTCTCCCACATGGCGCGTCTTATGATCAGAGTGAAAACATGTTGGGTGCCCCGAGGAACCCTCCTAGAGTCGTTACGGTTAGAGGTATAATAAGTCAGAAAATAACGCTTTTTTAGTTAATAAAGCATCTGGTTTGCGAAACACTTATGTTGAAGCAAAGAAGCGTGAGTTATATACTGTCTTTTGACGTTTTTGCAGATCGGAAGGATAATTGCAAATGGAAGGTTAAGATCAAAGGAGGGAAAAAGACAATGGAATCATACACCATAAATGACCCCAGTGGCAATCCTACGTGGGATTTTGAGGCCACTGTGTATGTTGCGAAGTGTAACTAATACTCCCTTAGTGAAATTGTAGATATTAGTCAACCTGTGGTTATAAAAGTCACTGATTCTGATGATCATCATGTTGGTCAGGTTGTTATACCGCTTGTCCAAATTCCTCCTCGGCCGGCTGGCCCTTCTGCAAAGCCGGCGACATCCGCCAATCTTCGAGTCGCGGAGTTGGAACCCACTAAAAAGGTTTCGGAAGTTTATGGATCTCTCTATTACTGGATATGGGCAGAGTCATATTATGACGATTTTGGTCCTGAAAAAAGCTCAGGGACCTCTATTATAGGCTCCAATCGGATTCGTCGTAGTGCTTCAAGATTATCTTCGTAAGCTTGGGTACTTGCGATTACTGTCCACTTTTGGGTTTAAATTCATTTGGGTTACATTCTTTACTTAGTCACCTCCATCGGCATCGGGATAAGGATGACGGAGCCTCGGTGGCTGAAAGCTCATTAAGCATGTACTCTACTGCAAGTGGGAAGAAGAAACATTGGTATCAAAAGAATCCCATTAAGCATATCCAAGATAAACACAGGAGTGGTGCGGCACATCTGGGTAGTAAACACGGTAGCGAACTCGGTTATAGTATGTCCCAATCAATGAACTCCCTATTCCCTTCTGAGAATGGTAATCCAATTCCTTTCTTTCTTTCAAATATATTTTACTTTTCAGTTGGTGGTTTATTAACACCTTTAACGCTTTAGATGGTAGCATTCTTGGTGGCCGCTCGGGTAATGGGAGCTACATTTCTGCAGGTAGCAATGCTGTACTGACAGATGTGGATTCCGAAATGCCGACAGCTGGTACAGTTTTTTTACCCATTCTTCCACTGTAATTGAATTTTCTGACCTAAATATTGAAGCATTTCTGCGTCTCTAGAAGACCCCTTTCCGCGAGTTGGAAGTAGCCATCTTATGGCTCGACCTCCTTCTTTAGCCCGCAAAATAGCCAATAATCCAGATACGGCCCTGAAACGACCAACTATTCCTTCTGAGCGTCCAAAGCGGCGTAGTGAATATGAGACTCCTTTGAAACAGACAGAAAAGACTCCATCTCCTGCTTCCTCGGACGAGGGCGATGATATTCAAACTCAACCGCCTTCTGCTTTGGAAGCGCCTTTGTCAACCCAGGAACCACCCAGTCTTCTCTTTATCTCTCCATCCACTGGATCCCTAAATTGTAGGTTTTAGTTATCCTTATCAGTGAAAGAATTTCTCTTCCTAATATCGATATCTTGTCTAGCTGAAACCGAAGTCCGTGTGTATGGTAAGAATCTGAGTCCCTCAATAATGCGGCACGCCGTTCTTCTTGTTGATGATTACACCGTTGCCAACTACAATTGGAGCGTTAGCGAAGGTTCGTGGACCGAGGAGCCACGCGCAACTCACAGGCTGACTCTGAAAGTCCCTCCCAAGAAGGATGCCTCAGACAGTAATGAGGTTTGGATTGATGTGGAGACAATGGGTCATGGTCGATTACGATGTCCCACACCTTTCGTCTACCATGTGTCTGAGAAACCACCAAAAGGTGGGTTCACTTTTTATTTACTTAGCTTTATTATCGGGGTTTAGTTCACTTTGATCGCTATTCCTATCCTTCCTTATTTAGAGAAACAACCGTCTTCGAACTTACTAGAGTCGGGCTTCATTCGCAACTCCAGCATCCGTCTCTCCGACAATCGTGCCAGACGCAGTGTCAGGAGACCAGCGGAAAGTAAGTGTGGTGAGTCATCGTAATAGTCGAACGTAGCTACTGATCGGTACTCACACTTTGTAAGTGCTTGATTAGCACTTTCATTTCTGGCCAGACAGAGATTTTACCTCAAAGCATACTACTCAAACCAAATACAAGTATCTAAAAATAAAAGCTTTTTACTGATATATGAATGCATTAAGAAGGCCAGCAGAGAATTACTTTTTTCACAAGTACTACTCTCATTAACTTTAGCAACGCCCCTGAAAGCAACTAGTCCGCTGACAACCGAGAAGAGTGGATTCGCTCGGAATTCCAGTATTCGTCTCTCGGACACAAGGGTGCGTCGTAGTATGCGAGGCGCAAAACCACCACCACCAACTCTACCATCGTTCAACGAGATTCCAAGTGGTGCTGGAACTCGTTCCTCCGGTCTTGGATCAGAGGATTCGTTCAGTGAAACTACCGCCCCTGGTGCTACAATTTGTTCAATTGATGGTAGGATTAGTATCTTAGTTTAATGCGTTTTTTTTTTAACTCCATTTCCTTGTGTTTTACAATAATCCCCAATTAACACTATTCAAAATCTAAACAGAAGTCATTGAGATTGAGTTTCCATGCATAATTCGAAAAATTTTGGCAAAAGCTCGCAATCCGTTTTCTGATGCACGTTGACAAGACTTTGGCGTAGATGCTAGTGTAGATTTTGCCTGAATTACGCCAATAGATGAATAGAAAAAATAATCTCAAAGCCATAAGCAGTCGTGTGTCAACTCTGATGAAGCACGTTTTGAAGGCTTTATTATTACATACTGATGTCGTAGCTTATATGTTTTAATAATGGATATTCTGATATAAGATGAAGGTTCTAAACATCGGCATGGTTCACTAGTTACCATTAATTTTCAAAAGAAAGACAGTAGATATATATTCTGGCCTAGTGTATGAAGAGCACGGCTGATGGATTGACATTATCCCTTGTAATTAAAACTGCAGGCGGTTTAACTCCTTCATAACAGTAAATAGTTAAAAACTCCTTTATGGCACTACATAGTTGAACAGACTTTCCGTCTTTAGAGTTTTTTTTTTAAGATTCCCCAGTTTTGAATCTGTAAAAATGATGCTTTCGACAATTTGTATGGCTCGATTAATCAGGATCACAAAGGTAGTTTGGTTTTATGACTGATGGACGCGTTTTATAAGCTCTATTTATGGAGCACTTGAAGAAGGTCAAAGTCAATATGAGGGTGTTGTTGATGACTGAATAAGTGCCGAAGAGTTTTCAATTGCGTTTCGTAGCTCTCAGCCAGTGGATTTGTGGAATTTCGGGGGTTAAGACAATAAACGCAATTACTTTTGAATCGACTGTGGGACTAAATTAGTGTAATTGACTGAACAGCTAAAACATGTAAAGCAATTGTCCGGGTGACCAAGAGATCGTCTTAGCACCAGGACGTATGGTTTAATTGTGACCGCCCTTTGCTCTGTTGTGGTAAAGACAGTTCTTCACTTTTGTTTTCTTTGTGTCATTCACTTAATTTCTACTCGTGTATGCACTCAAACCGTGAGTGGTCACGTGCAAACCTCACGTGATAGTTTCAAAGCCTTCAAATTCATACGTACATTAACACCCTCCTTAGCAACGCAACATTGCACAATAACAAATTAGGTGAAATGGTTGGACACTGGGTATGTTAGTAAAGCAAAAATTTTTCTTGTCACTTTGTAATCCTAATCATCGTATTGCCAAGGGGTGAGGCGGTAATTTTGGCATTTAATATCTATCAAAGCAGTAACTGCTCTAGTAAACATCTCATTTTATTGTCTAAACTCAACGTAGTCAACTCTCAATGAGGTCCAATGTGTTACTGTTAATTAACCATTTGATTACCAGAAACCCGATAATGAGTCTCCGGTCGGATTGTTCGCTCCCTTTTATGCGATTAACTCCTCTCTCGGTCATCGGCTCAAATCAAATTAGCCATAATTGAGAGATATTAGCCGAATAAATATCTCATGGTGAATTTTGAATACGAAGGCATTTTTTGTGGCCTTTCTTTTTGCTCTTTTTCCTGAAGGCCAGTACTTTCATGGGGATTTTTCTTAACCTCTACGTTTGGGAGTCTACGGTCTTGGTCTTTCCTCTTTGATCATCTCTATTCATTGAGTATTGTGAGGATATAGTGGCATTAATTAGGACGCATATTCAGTTTAATGAATTCAGAGACGGGTAAAGATTAGTGTCAATAACCTATCCTTCAAGCGTCTCATCTGCTGGATGGCATAATTGGAGGAAATTAAGCCAATAGTTCAAACACTCCATGTTTGCTTCATTGCTTCGCAACTCTTTTTATGCAGCCTTTTCGATCTGTGCCTCAGGTTTCTGTTCTACATCATGGTCCTAAAGGGTAGACTTAATTTTGAGTTGGTGAGATTGCACATTCACTTAGCCAATGCCCGATTTTGCATGTAATAGCGGGTAGATTGTGGTGATTTGATCACTGAGTCGATTTACATACTTGCGTGAGTGAGTGCCTCTTGTGTTTCTTTTAGAGATGCACATAGACTCGCTAGCCGACGCTGAAGAGGTGATTGCTAAACTAAGGGTCGAGGTATCTGGTTTGACCACCGAGTTATCCCGCAAGGCGGCGGATGTTGATCGCGTCAGCGCGCACCTCTGCCGTCTGCGAATGCGCCTTCTAGAAGACGGCATGTTTAAGTACCTTGAGAGGGTCTAGCCACTCCCACGCATGCATACATTCTTCTTCCATCCATTCAATCAATCATCCTTCAATAATTCCAGTCACTCTCCTATCGAAAGAGATTTACCCTCTGTGCATTAAGAAATTTATTAAAAGGCTGTGACCTCATCAATTTTGTGGGTTATTTTTTATGGGGACAACATTCTGATATTATGGGCGGATTTTTTATGGAAGATTGATTGATTCAGCCCACCTGTTGACGATATCACATGATCCTATTTCACATGTGAAATTGATAGTAGCTGACATACAATTTTAGGGTAGAGTAATAAAAGCGCTGACCTTAAACAAATATTTATGGCAATTTACTTCACGCGAGACTCCCCTTTCACTACTACCATTACTATCACCATCACTGTCAGTCCTTGCGTAAAGCAACCCCTCTAAGCGGCTTCATTGGCAGTATGCTAATTTGTGCTCGCTCACACAGACAATGGGGGTGACCGATTCATCACTGGAATTGACAAGTTTAAATCACTTGCCCTGGAAAAAAGGGAACTAGCTTTTGTGTAACTATAGCGGTACCCCAGGTACGTTATGTGCATTACCACTAAACTTGGTGAATGCCAAATGCCCCTGTATCGCGTGATTTTCTTGCCTCCTAAGTGATCCACCCTAGGTTAGTCAGGATACATGCCATGCACCATGCGTGTGCTTTGGAAATGCAAATTTTCCTGTACCGTGGTAACGCGATTGCAGGAAATTTTCACTTGGATTGAGGCGTTTATGCAAAAAGACCATTTTTGGGTACAAATCAGGCGTAAGGGAAGAATCCAACTTCCATGTCAAATGTGCTATTGTAAATTATGCTGCATGAAAGAATGACAAGTATCCAATCGTGGAGTGCTTGACTAAGACGGCAAACGCATCCAAATGAATCGAAGTTGATTGACACTCTACCTCAAAGGTTATGTTAGCTCACAGCCCAATAATTCCAGAGCAGTACCAAAGCGCACAGATGAAGGGCGTATTTCAATTTTCGACGTCAAGGTCGTTAATTTTTATGAAGGGTATGGCTTGAGGCAAATTTTGCAGCATTTTTTACTACACAAACCCCCACTGAGGGCTAAGTAGGTAATCTTGGGGTTTTTGAAGTAAGTCAACTGACGCGGTTGACATCACAGGTTTGTAAATACCCAGCCAGTTAAAATTTAACCAAATGGCCGTCACGATTTCTGCATAATTCTGCACAGTTTAAAGATGTGCTCAACAGAGGGTTATCAAGATTTTCTCGTGAATTGGAATACACACAAGAAGGAATTTGTTAGACAAAAATTTTTTGACTTTGTTTTCTTGGATTGATTTGAGTTGTGCAATTTAATGCAATACCGGTGGGATCGGTGATGCCTCACTTGTGTTTGCCCGCTTAGTACTTCTTTTAAATCCTGTAATTTGTCAACAAACCTAGTTTGCGAAATGCTCGATCAGTGTGATTGCTTTGTTTCAGGGCACTTCTTTATATTCATCTGCAGGCCTTTCAATGCTGTGCTGTGAAATTAGGGGAAGAGAGGGGAAATGCTTTCAGTCGCACGTATAATATCTCCCAAGAAATGTTCCTTCTAAAAATTGATTTCAAAATTTACCTACTATAAATCATTCAAGGGGTGTTTTTAGTTCTTTCCTAATGGGTGGCTCAAGTTAACAAAGGTTAGCCTTTCCAGTAGTTGCCATGGCTGCAGTTGCGTGAATGTCTATGCCACCAAAAGAAGACAGGGCAAATATACGCCAGCAACCACGAATAGAATTCTGCATAAATAGTCTCATTATTGGATGAATATGGTTCTTAAATTCGTACGTTTACCACTTTTGAAGTGTTTTTGCAATCCTATCACATGCTCAGTTAGTTTTGAACTCGCACAAGTACCCTGTTGTCATGGTTTCAGCTACTGCATAAACCCTCTACCTTGATAACAAGTTTATGTTCTCAGTTTGTGCTCTGCATACGTAGTTATGCCTAATTTGTACCCATAAATTGGTATTTCCAAAAGGATTTCTGCCCTTTTGTCATTGCTAGTAAGTGGGAATAATTGCCGATATTCTATCACACTTGATTGAGGTAGCTTTTATAGAAAAAGTGTCAAAAAGTGCATGTCATTATTACATCTATCCAATTAAATTTATTCTATGGCACAATCACCTGGTTTTGAAGTGCATTGCTGCTCAAAACCGCTTAGCCATCAAGAAGTTTTTTTCTATCATGTAGAGTTAAATCCACCTCAAGAAAGGACGAAAGTGACACTTCCAACGATATTGAAAAGCAAAAATGATCATAGCCTTAGAACAGTTCCTGATAAAAAAACACTGGAGGTCTCTTCCGATTTCGATGATAACTCTTCACCGCAACTGCAACCGTCACCAAGTAGTGGCATGAAAGACGATAATGAGACTAAGGGAGCAAGATCACCTATTCCCGTATTGACGGAACACCAGAAATCCCAGTCGCCAGGTTCTACAGTCATCAAGTCACCACTCGAAAGCGATTTTTATTCTGCAGCTAAGATAGAAGAGAAAAAACCAAAAACATCAAGTCCAACATCCATTGAGCCGAAAGCGTCACCACCTAGATCTCGATCTCCAAGTCCTGTGGTTACTGGACTGTACTACGAAGACGACTTCTACTTATCGACTTTAAAAGAGGTTGAGAAGCCTCGAACGCCAAGCCTGGTAATTACTCAAACCCAGAAATCGCGATCTCCAAGTCCCATTGCCATCAAACCCCAAAATGGAAGCGAATACCAGGCCTCACCATTTAAAGAGTCTTCGAATGCTGGGAGCGTTGTGGACTCTACTCACGTTACGTCGAGGTACCATAGTGACGAAGAATCATCAAGATCGTCAAGTCCAGCTGAGATCAACACGAAGAAGCGTCCGGATCCCATTGGAGGCATTGTGACTGTGCCAAGTCAACAATATGATGAGGAGAAAGCGAAGACTGTTCTCAGGGAGGGAGAAGAAGCGACTTTAGAAAGTGGTGATTCTACGGACTACAGTTTGGATTCTGCATGTGGTGATAGTCTTCTACCGACCATGGATGAGAATTCCTATTTGCGTTCACAAGTTCATCCACGATTTGTTTTAATGGAGCCATCAAAAGGATCAACTGTTGGTAGGTTAAAGCAATCATAGAGTCGTCCTTTACTTTATTCCCATCAGGAAATGGATTTGCACTATATTTTTAAAAATATTTCGTTTGTTTTTTAATCAAAAGGTGTCCATGTTTTTTGCTTGTGTTCACCATTGTCAGGTTCCTCTAAGTAATGGTTTCAAACGATTTGTAGGGAAATTTCAGGCTTTTATCTATGAAAGGCGTCTATGATCTTCATCAAGTTCTTTCTTTTACCTTCAAAATTTATTTTAAAAAGCACTTTCTTGCTCTGCAATAAAACTTAAGGGTAGTGACGGATATTCTTTTCCACATATCTCAACAGTACCCACTTTCCCCCACAGTTTTTCATCTCTAAGGAAAAAGAAACTTAAAATCACGAGGAGCCTGGCAGAGTCACATGGAGTCATATAAATTTATGATCCATCCATGCTATCCACAAATATTTCCCAATAAACAAAAAGTTGGTGTGAATAATTGCAAAAGCTAAGCCGGCTGTCTTCTTACTCATTCGTTTTACCCTTAAAATTTACAAGAAAAAGGAATGTTATGGAAGTGGATGAGTGGTAGATCAACGGAAATCAGTGTAAAGGTTTAGCATAATGACCAATTGAGGCACGATACTTCTGCATTTGAATAGGCGATTACGAAGTATGCCTCTACGGCGTACATCTCGACAAGGCGGTGATGCTCCACGCTCAGGTCTTCATTGATGTCTACAACGTGCCAAAGGAGAATTGGCGAGTGGTGCCTGGTCAATGGCCATCACTGGCACCAGACGCTACCCACTGTCTCCTGATTCGAGTTCCACCCATGCCACCCGGTGAGGCGTGGATTGAGGTGGAGACTTTGAACGACGGTCGTTTGCAATGTCCACGACCTTTCGTATTCACCGATAACTTCTTGATGAAACATTCGATGCGCGGAATGGGTGGTCAAGTCGATGCGGCGTCTCCACCAACTATACGCAAACCAGCATCGTCATTTGCGGATTTTGAGCTCTCACCCAAGGAGAAGGTTGCCAAACTGCATGCTAGTAGGTCGATGTGGATTTGAAATTCTTGCCAAGAATGAGACGCGATAATCATCAAAATTAACTAGTAAATAAATGAAGGGCAAGTTCCATCATTTCTTAAAATGAGAGGTTCTACCAACTCTGATCCATCGAATCCTTACACCACAAATAAGTTCTCTTTTATCACAACAGGTGGAAAAACTTGCAAAACTGTCGCTCTCAACCTCGCATGAGGAGGCGTGTAGCGATAGTTGAAGGCGTTAGGTCTTTCCTCTGTGGATATTTGATTATCCAGCACCTTATTATTGCTTTCTTTCGGACCAAATTATTTTTTGTACAGTTTAAAGGTAGATAGTGGACCTTCCACCGTTGACATCGCCATAAGTACTCTTGTCAATGTCCAACAATGCAATTTTAACCGCGATTTTTTTACCCAAACTCTCATGACTACTTAAATCCATTTTTGATCGTGGTCTAATGTTGAAACTGAAAGACATTTCATATTGAGTATGTACTTTATGTCTGAGATTCTTAATGGTTTCGTGGCAAAAGTATGGAAGAAAATTATTTTGGGCGTTTTTTGGGCAAGTAAAGATCAGTCTTCGAATTTTTTATTTTTCCTCCTACTACCGGTTTCAGACCCTTCGATCGAAAAGAGTGTTTTTATTGCGTTGTATGGGGAGATTTACAAATTATCAAAGCCTTGTCAACTAAGAGATACACTTAAACAAATCATGAGAGGAATTTTGAGAGTCGAAAATTTATTTAGAAATTTCTTGCGGTTTATTGTTAAGCCACTCACTCCTGATTGTCTTCCATGTCTTCCAAATGCTTTTGGCTAGGTTTTATAACGTCGCTTAAAACGACGATTTGGGAACAGATTACATTTAAAATGAGATTACTTTTTGGTAACCTCTTATCCTCAAGGTTGCGCCGAGGGTCATCATTACAGTGAACATGGGTTTGGCTTCTTCGTTACCTCTTAAATAATGTCCAACAGCTCCTTAAGTTTTGAGCAAATGTTATTGAACTAGATTTTACACCTAACGAGTGATAAGATGGTAATTCAGTCTTGAAGTACCTCGAGTTAAATTTTATTGCCAAGTTTTAAGGAGTGCAGTCAAATTTGGATTTTTCAACACACACCAGCTGTGCAACATTCGAGCTAAATTATCAATGTCTAGGAGGACTATGACGTCATGACCACTGCCTCATGTTGCTAGGGTGGCGACCGAATCGTGGGAAAGGGGAGGCTAAAAAGACCACCATAGTAACTTGAGGCGGATTTGTCTGTGTGAACTTTTGTGATCGAGCAAGCAACCTGCCTACTGCCGTTTCTCATTGAAGAAAACTCAATAGTCTGTTTTTTTTGAAGAGACTCAGCTCAATGGATTTTAATTTGATCTCCGTGAATGTGAATGCCAGAAATTTGAGGCTAAAAGTTTTTCCAATGGAAATTCTAATCGGGTCATCAACACCTCAAGGTCAAACCACAGCCTCCATCCTATTGGTTTACTGAATGGAGGCCCACTGTTTTAAGTAAGCCAGGGTATTCAGTCTGAAGTTAGTACACAGGGCATTGTTTTATCACCTTTCCATGGGCTTGGTTTTTATTTTTTTGAGTCATGTGTTTGCATAGCAACATTATATCGTAACATAAACGCTACCCTTTACGGCAAAAAGTTATGCCGTTAGGAAACCGAGAAAATGAACAGGTAGTCATTTAAGCCAGGAAGCGGGAGCAAAAAAATGCAGAATTTGGACATTATCCTTGATGGCAGAAAATCCATTAAAACAAAGCGCAAACTGTGCCACTTTTTGACCTGTATAATTTAATTCACTCATTGGTAATTGTCAAAATCACTGATGTGGAAGGTGCGATCAGTTTTACACCAATTATCAAACGAAACGTATCGGAGTTTAATATGAACTGGGTTGTCAAAATCATTTCTGCAATCCTAAGTCGCATTTCTCTTAAAGTGCCTCTTCGCTTAGGCGCTAAAAAATTGTACGCCGAAATTTACAGGTAGCACTACCATTTCAAGTTTTTTTGCCTTTAGAAAATAATAAAGACATAGACTCCGCAAGGCTGGAGATTTCGAAACTATACAATGAAATAATGCATCTGAAAGTGGAGTTGCAAGCTAAATCGGCTGATGAAGTGCGTGTTGCGCGTGAGCTCTGCATTCTGCAAAACCGTCTGTTGGAGGATGGCCATCTGAAGTACCTTGAAAGAGACTAAATTTGTAACATTCCTATGACAATACCTGTGATCTTTCACCACCGTGATTTTTCAACTTTTTTTTCACTTCTAATGCTTTCATTCTTATCACAACTTGTTTCTGTGATTAAATAAGATTCCATCAGTTGCTGTATTTTTTGCATCGAGGACGTTGGGCGCTAAAAGAGACTAAGGGTTTGAGATGGATGGATTTAGGCAGAGACTAGTAGTTCTTGGGAAGAATAAATGCGCCTCAATAGGTGGAACTTTAGTGGGTCACTAAAATATCGTCATTTTAGACAAGATTTATTGTAGCTCCCTATGTCATATCAGCACGGAAGGAGGTTTGCTAATAGCGTGCAGAAGAAATGGCTACAGATCCATGCCACTGGGCGTGCCTGAAAGCCCAGAAAGCGTTCCCATTTCAAGTGTCCAGAAGGTTTCATTATTGTAACCAATTCCCGGATATTCTATAAGAACGCGTTCTCTATCAGTCCCTCTTGATTGGTGGACATCACGTATAGATGGACTCCAAGTATGCCAATCGTCACCATGGCCCCAAGGCTAATCAAATATTAGAAAAACGCGAGACTGGGAAACCACTCCTTTCGGCAGCTTTTGCACACACACACACACCGTGTTCCCCACCCCCTCCCTACCCATACGCGTCGGGAAGTAGAGGCATCTGCCTTTGTCTAAGGTACCTGTGTAAGGATTTTAATTCCAAGAACAAACAATACTCCCACAACATCTCCACTAGCTGAATGGAATCCAAATGGACTGATAGTGGACCGGAGAGCGCTGAAATGTGAACAAAGTGGGAAGGAGGAATTGGCGTGGAATGACTGCCGTTGCTGCCTCGCAGACGCTTCTAAAGCACCGACCACGTTGGACCGACCGACGTGGAAGGTTGATCAAGGGGGTGGGGAGGGTTGCAAACGCGATTGAAAAGAGCAGGGAGCTATGTAGCGAGCTGATGATTTGTTAAACTGTGTGTTTAACCCCACGAGCATTAAATGTTCCTCCTCCAAGTCATGTTAAAACCCCCCAGCAGTTAGTGTTTTGTATTCGGATATGAACGTATATATCCAAGTGTGGACAGGGACTAGATGAAGGAGCCTGACGACTGACACCCGTAGCTGGACTGATCAAAGTTGTGAAACGCAAAGGAAACGGACACTTGTGACGAAGCGGTTTTACTGCTAAATAGGCAAGACTCTGGCGTATCTGCAACTTTTAAAAGGATCCTGGCGCTATACATTCAAGGTTTAGTCAAGTCATTACTCGATGGCACCGTGTTTCCTCCCTGACGCTAAAGAAAATCCACTGTATTTCAATTAACCACTAGTTGCAGCAAACAACATCCTCATTTACCTTCCGTCTAGAAAATGGTTTGAAACAATCCTAAGTCCTAATCACCGCTGTTGAAAAGTTGAAAACAAGGCAGAGCGTTCTAAATTTCGGCATTTAATTCTGCTGCCAAGCTAGCACACTGCTGATGCTAAGCACCCAGATGATGAAAGGGAGAGGAGCGAGGTGCCTGTTGGGATTTCTTTAAATAGGTGCACAGAAGCAGGGAGATATGGAAGAAGATTGTAGAGTAAAACCGGTTTTTTGGTAAAGCAGCACATAAAATGAAATTCGGTTTGTGATCGAGATGAAATTTTGTTGTAATTAGTGTAGCAATTCGGTAATTTGCTCAGTTGACTGTGTTTATCTACGCAGACACCTCAATTTCTGCAGGTGGAGCTCCCACTTCCACTCCCCTAGTGAGTGGTATGTTCGCTAACACATACCACGGCTCAGCTGCGGTAGGCTTATAATTGCGAGAAATTCAAAAACTTTAAAAAAGGCTCTAATAGGAACTAGATAAGTTCATGCAGACTTTCCGTAGAAAATTTAAGTAAATGAAGAAAGCTTCTTCAAGTATGTTGCATTTTACATAAACACCATTAAAAATCATCGCTTGAAGAAATGTAAGGAAGGGAATTTGCGAGGTGAGGCATTATCATTACCTCTTTCACCATGAAGTGGATATTCTCACAAGGATTAGTTTTGCTGGAAGGGTCTGAATTAATCGCCTTTCCATCTAATCATAATCTGGTAATGCATGTGGCCTGCGCTCATTTGCTTGGTAGTCTCAGCCACGTCTTTTCCTTCCCACTTGACGCGCTTCTAGACCGATCGTTCCGTCAACATTCATGCTAAACACAATTTACTACTGGGTCTTGACAATAGCGACGCTAAAGTCTTTAGGTGCTGCCACACCACTCGTCACCGCATTTAAATTAGTCTATGCAACCATGCTGCTCTTTAAATGCTACTCAAAGGACTTGTCTCAATGGGAAGCTTCAGGAGCATTTAAACTTGTCAAAATGGGTTTGTAAGACGGACGTGGTCAAGTCACCTCTACTATAGCCAATCAGCATTTTATGATATGGGGATGAGATCAAAACATGGGAAAGGTAGTTAGGGTCAAAGTAGCTGGAGAGTGATGACTTGATGGAATGACGCAGATTTATTTATTCTCTATAATATATTCACCTGAATCGTTCCAAGTATCTAGCGGATACCTGCAAGGGTGATGGAGCCACCAAAGTCAGATTTTCCGCGAAAGTGGGCGAATTTATCTGATATTTTGTGAAGAATTCCCGCCTTGTCAAATGAGTTTCTCATAAATTTGATAAAAAACTGCCAACTAAACTCCTCTTCTTTTATTCCTTTTTGAAGCCATCAACAACATTTTCTCAGATGTGAACCAACTTGATCGACAGATACTGCTCTGCGTTCAAGCGGACAAAATTCTTTAATTCGATTACTTTCGTTTATCTCGAGATTGTGAAGTAAAACAATATACACTAGCATAAAATTCTCTCTGGTGAATAAAGTCAACTTAAAATACATAAAGCGTCATGCAGTGCATTTCCCAATTTGAAATACTTTAAATCCCAACATCGCACAAGCTACTTACAACGACATTTAAGTAGTGAAAATCTACAGCTTTCAACAAATAAATATTGAGAAACTGATGAGAAGTAAAAAGGTTATTCAGTGCCTTGCATGCACACCATTTATGCCAGACCAAATAATTTTAAATTTCAGATAAAATAATTATGGGATCCATTTTAAAACTAACCGAAACATTTCCGACTGAAAAGGAAGGCTTCGAAAAGGTGATAAGTCGACATTGGTTTGACTTGTCGTGTCTCATGGCATGATTCAACATTATAAGAGTAGCGGCAGCACCTATGCACGCATTTTTAAACATCACCAATTCGTTAGTAGTGGAGCACGAGAAAATAAAAGTTTAAGGTGACAAGTGTCTTGGCCAGAACACATGATTCCATTGAGAATAAGTCGGAGTGAAATGAAGACGTCTGCAATTGTACACGCGACACAAAGAAAAGTGTGCGTGTGTGTGTCCACACGTGCATTTCAGCAGTTAAAAAGCACTTTTCATCACTGTGAGTTGGTCCACGGATGCAGTAATAATTTCACTTGTCTGCTTGACTGACGGACTGACTGCAAGGTGGGTAAATCATGTCTGTTTGCATTAGAGTCCTGCATGCAATCTACGCTCTATTCTGCATCACCTGTACTACGGCAATTTACAACCTCAGACAATTCAAATATCTGAATGTCTACCGTGCCGTGTTCAGCCTTATTGCATCTGCCGTAGCTATTGTCTTTGGCGTTATAATAACAAAAAGATACCTCTACTGGATCCTTATTCCAATCTTTGTGGACGCCGGACTGATTCTCTTTAACATGGCCACAATGAAGCCGACACGTCCCCTGGATCAAGATGACTGGGTGAGTGTTGCCCTAGTGATTGGTGGACTGTTGCATTATTGCCTGGGCTTGGTGGAGCTTATCTACACGTCGATGGAACAGAGGAACGATGAAGAAGACAGCGAGTGCTCAGATGCTAGTGTAGTTTCTGTCCTCCCTTAGTACTCGTGGATCGTGATAAAATAAAGTAAATATTTGTTCCTACTGGCTTGTGATGTTATTTAAATTTTTCAGATTTTTTGTCTCTTGTATTTGAAACACCTGAGCTCTGTTTTATTTTCTAAACTCGCGTGAATGCAGATCTTAAAGGTTTCGTTAAGAAGGCCTGTTGGATAGAAAAAGGACTTTGTTGATAGTTAACTCCTTCATGTATATTTATTCTAAATTTTAAACCTCCAACAACCCGGGCTGACTGAAAATGACCCAGCAGAACGTTACGAGGGATACACTTTAATAAGATTCAGCAAGAAAAGCGTTGATTCATAGTTACCATTTAAATTGGGGGTGAATAGTTGGGTATTTCAGGCTGTGCAGAATGCACCTTTATTCTGTGGCATGACTTTTGGGTAAGGATAGTAGCCACCCAGGCCTTCTCGTATAGTGACTTCAGCGAAGATTATGGGCGCTGTGAAAAGGCAGCAGTAGGCGCACCCGATTCAAAAGGATGCCAAATCTACTTCCTACCACTGAATGCCGTGACTTAATAGCACAGAAGCCGTTGAAGTTGTCTGAGTTTGTTTGTTATACGAATAGGCAATACTACCGCCACCTCTCCACTAGCTAAATGGAATCCAGATAGACAGATTACATGTGCTTGGAGAGCGATAAAATGGGAAAATAGTGGCAGGGAGGAATAAATGTGTAACATTAGCTACGCGAAACTCATTAAAGTCTTATACTTTATTTAATGACTTTGCCTTTAGTCCAATCATTGTGAGCATAGCGATTGGAACATAAATTGCTCGCATTGTGGACTATCATTTTGTCCTGGTCTCGGTCTTGCACCTCCACTTTCCAGTGCAGTTATCCCTCAAATATCACGTCACTGTCGATAGAGTGGAATAGCGGAGATGGGTCAGCGAAGTTGGGAGAAAGTGGCTTCTACATGGAGAATCAAAGCACTGTTTTCACTGCTTAGTTTTTGGTTTTAAAAGTGCCGACTACATTGTGCTTGCCCAAGTGGGATGTTGACCCAAGGAGAGTTGTGGATGAGGTTGAAAAAAAGGAGGGTGCTAAGTAGTAATGTGATGTTGTGGTCGACTGCGTGTGGAACCACGAGAATATTTGTGCCTCCGCAGGCTGGGATTCTACCGTACAGCTGTATCAGTAGACTCACATTCCTCTGCCCGTAAATGATATATGTTCCACATCATTTGAGTCTACTACGACTTCAGCGAAGGCATGCAAGTTTTCACAACTGTGCATGCTGCCAAAAAAATAGTAAACAAATTTAAGATATAAGCCCAAAATCCACTATAAACTGAAGAGGTTTCCTAGAGCAATTGGTCATTAAGATCTTTTGCATGTTTGTTTTTTAGTTGATTGAAGTCGCAGTCCTCACTTGGTGAGGACTTGGTGAGGTAAATTGACCATTTCCTAAAATTAACGGTTATAATCGATTCGAAAGGTACATACTTCAGTGCTAAATTGAGGCTGACATTTAGATTCGCACTTTTTTAGAAAAAGGTAGTTTTCAGTCCCCTTATTAGGAGTCAGTGTTGACTGGATTACGCTCATCGACAACGCACGGTGGCGAACTCACAAGGTGGAGCGAAGAAAGCATGTAATGTAACATTACTGTGTAATACGATAGTGGCTTATCCCTCGGTTCTGGTGAGGCTCCACTTTTGTACTTTGAATCAGCTCCCTTGTACCTCGCTGGGTGGGCTGGCCTTTTGGGCCATGCCAATAGTCCAGACACCTTCTCCGTGCTGAATACATATGTTCCGCCCGAGTATTGTGTCTTCTTTCGTCTTCAGGTAGTCTCGGGACGCTACAACTGGCTACGAAAAATGATTGATTCAAAAATACGATAGCAGCATCAAACCAAAACCAAGCAGTTTTTATTTTGACAAGATAAAGGTAACGAATATCTGGATACATTTTTTGTGATCTTCTGAGCCTCCTTGGAGCAGGAGGACTTACAATATATTTCAGCAGCAAATTTGCTCGTTTAAAATTTATCTTTTTTTTGCTTAAAATCGTAACACCAATGAGCCAGAAATTAACGCAATTTTAGCGACAAAATGTTTGGGTAGATTGAATTCGTTGGCGGTTGGATATTATTTGACTGTTTCGTCGATGTCTAGGCACGAAGGTGTGTGTCGTTATTCATGACTTTTAACCAGAGGTTTTTCGATGTTTTACATTAGCTTCACTGGTCTCGTAACTTTCTGCAATACGTCCTTGCCGGGTGGTTGTGTGTATCTGGACTACGTCTCTTCTTAGACAGTCCGTGTGGTGATCTTTCGACCATGTTGGTTTGTAGAAAACACTTGCCCAAGTAGCTCAGATATTTTATCATTGGGCTCGTTTTATCTCACATGCTTTGGGTTGACTAACTTCACTCCCTTTGGTGAATGTAGAAATTTGTATGCACCTTCTGATCAACCACCAATTCAAACTGGAGGTGTTCTTTCCCCTTTTTAGTGGTTTTCGTCATAGATCATGCCTTCTTTTTAACTTAGTTCGAAGTTATGCCCTTCAGCTGCTTATTGTGTGTTGTTTACCGTCTGATTGTCGAATGTTAATCTGGCTCTCCCTTACAAATTGAAATGCTTTCTAGGCTCATAAAGCTTAATAAATCCCCAAGACAATTTGAGATACCTTTTATCATACTTAGCTGTTGACCCCACAAATGGTGTTCTCTTCTTTGTTGTAATTTGAGGCCTTTGGAAATTGATGCACTAACTTTTTAGCCCCCATCAATCTTATTCCTGTTTAGTAACTTAAGTTACTTCTAACATCTTATCTGTTTTCACTCAGTCTTTTGAATTGAAAGTCCTTTGTCCAATTGTAAAAGTTGTACTTCTGACTCATGGTATCCCTACTCTATTATTTTCAATCATCAATCCCATTTTTTTCAGTTTTGCGAGCTTTTATTCACATGGGAATCTTTTTGATCTAGTAGTTTCTTCTGAATATGATTATTCTCCAACTCCATCCGAAGGTATTTCTGCTATTCAGTTGCTGATTTGGTAGACTAAGTTGTCGCGCTCTCTTGTTCATATTTTGATAGTGATGGTTTTCCTTTTCATTTTCGTAAAATCTCTTGGGTTTTTTCGCCATAGTTGAAGACCTTATTCAGCGAGCAGGTTTCTTTTCCGCTGTTCATTCATTAATACCACAAATAATGCTCTCTTTTAGTTTATGCTTGGACCCAGTGCTGCTTCTGGTATCGCTTATTTTAGTGTGTCTATCCTTATTTATACCCACCACTTTTTGCTGTTTTCGACCTTTTATTATTTCTTGAGTTTTTAAATCCAGTAATCTTACTAACAATTGCAGAGTCTTCGTATGCGTTGGAAGGTATTTATTCTGCCTATCATTCGCTAGTTTCGTAAACTGTGTCTCCATTCCCTTTTTGCTTGAGATAGTTTCTATATTTTTGAATCGCTTGATTTTCATACTTATGCTCAGTTATCTATCTTTGTTCATATTTGTCAACTTTAGTGATGCTCAAATTTATGTTAACTTTTTGAAATCCCTTAAATTCTTCCAGTAGTCGACGAGTATCGAATTCGACCTGCAGGTATCTGTTTCGCAATTAAACGCTCTGATCTCCCTTCTTTTCATTTTCATGTTCCGCCAAATTCGTGACATCTCTTTTGTAGATGGACCGTTTGCATTTCTAATCACAGGTGCCTTTCTGTCATTAAATAATTAATTCCAGAAAATACGTCCCGGCTTTCTTCCTGCTTGTGTCGAGTATTATTCTTAAATCGCTCGCCTTGTGATATTTGGTATATGCTCGGCTAGTTATATTCAACCGTTTTACTCCTACTTATGCTGACCGTATTGAATCAATTATTCCATGTAGATAAGGGGTATATGCCCTTAAAATCAGGTATTCCTTCTGCTGTTGATTTGTCATTTTCACAGACTAAGCTCTCATCTTCAGTTTGCTGGAGTCGTCTTTTTTAATTGCTTTGTAATGTTCATGTATCATTTGTAGACGATTTTTTTATCCAAATTCACTTTTTTGCAGGTGTTAAATGTGACGCTTGTGAGGCAAACGCTTTTCGACTCCGTCGGTACAAATGCCTCCGTTGTGTTGACTTTGATCTCTGTGGTCCATGCTACGATCGGCGTGCGGAGGCACTTTCGCACCGAAGGAATCACCCAATGCAATGCCTCATCCTCGAGTCGGATCGCAAAATTTTTTTCCCAAATACTGTTAGTCACTATCTTTTGCGCAATTTGGTTTATGCCTCTTGTTTTACTCGAATTTCTTCCTGTTTAAAGAAGTCTAACGAAATGCCGAGGAGTTACATCTGTCCCATCTGTGGGGCTCTGGGATTCAAGGCTGTCGATCTGGGAGCTCATGTTCATGCCAAACACAGCAATTCTCGTATGGGTGTTCTCTGTCCCCTTTGTATTTACCCTCCTCCCGGTAATCCTCCTGGTGGCAGGGGTAGCAATCCCAACAGGGTACACAACTGCTTCTCCACCCACCTTAGTGAGGTTCACCGCCTCAAAGCACCCACGAGTGGTGCACCTACCGCCATTTCCTCTAATTCTTCGTCTTCGGCCGCCATTGAAACCTTTTTGACTAGAGACCCCAATCGTCAGTGCTCATGGGAATGTGGTGCCTCAATGCGGAAGGTGTTTCATTTATACTCTTTTTTCTTCCTCACAGACTTTTACGAACCTACGAAAGCCAAACAACAAGCGTCTGCTCAGAGGAGCCGTGGCAGATCTTCACTAAGCGCCGATGAACAAGAGTTATTCGACCTTGTTTCAGCCTCCTCCACGGACCCTATGGGCCGAGGTTTGCACTTCCGTCTACAACGTAATCTCTCTTCATCTACTTCAGGTCAGGTTTCACACTCTGAGCTGGTTGCTAGCTCAAAGGTGAGTATCTTTTAAAAAAGCTAGCGTTATTTTTAAACACATGCGAAATCGTTTTTGGACCGAATTTGCAATTTTGAAACACCCACAATCAGACTTAGTGAGTATATATCTCACGTTTAAAATCCCATTTTCCGTATCTAAGGCTCCATTTATCTGGAATGCCAACTTAAAGCTTTGTCTATCACGCATTAAAGCCGTGCTTCTTACTGTTCGTTGTGATTTTGGGAGAAGAGTTGGAGACTTGGTTTGAAGGCTCATTTTCGGTACATTGGTTAGCAGGTAATTGAGAGACAGGCCGATACCATCCGACGGGAGGCAGGGGATGAAGTCTCCGAACCCACACCACAAATAACTTCTCAACCCACCAAAAACATCAATAACAGCAGCAATAATGAAGGTGACGAGAATAATGGAAACTCTGAGCCGCTTGAGCCCGCAACTTCGTCGGCGACAGCTGATACAGGCACGGCAGTTGAGGAGGTCCAGGGAGGTAGCGTTGTCGTGCCAGCTGAAGCTACTTCTTCTCTTGTCTCTTACGGTGCTGCTGCTGCAATAGTCGACTGCCGGTAAGTTTAATACTGAGAAAAGCCTCAGCCTTCGAGCATGTTGAGCGCATTTCATCATTGCTGAATTTCGTGAGCTCAATTACCCCGAAGTGGTAGGATACGTGATCATTGACTGCTAATCCCCACGATCCAGGGGTTTAGTTATGCTATTCGTGAGTTGGTTGCTGCAATTATTTTGTATTGCCTTATTGTCGACTGCTAGCATTGTCTGCGCACCTACCGCCGAAATCCAGTCACCAAGTGCACGACTCAATGCGTCACATTGACTTCTTTATCTTATCAGTGAACGTAGAATGCGAACATCCCGCCGGTAAGCTATAAAACCAACTTTTTCTGTTCGTACGAGTGTGCTATCTGCTCGTGAGAATTAGACTCACCGACCTCTTGATTGAGTTTAACTACCGCCAGCCTCCGCTCCTATTTGGGTGCAAGGAAATGAATTTTGATGCTTTTGTCGCCAAGCTGTTTCGCTTCATCAGTTGTCGCGTCACACACGGTTTGAGCGTATCCGAGCTATATTGTTGACGACAGTTCCTTCTGTTCAGATGTACTGTCTGTTCACAGGTGGAGTATTGCCTCCATACGCTGATTTCCGATCATTTTGCCTCCTCTAGGCTGTTTGAAGCAGCGAGGAAGAAGTGCGATCCCGTCTGGCTTTCATTTGTGCACGAGTTGATCTGGGACAGTCTGCATATTGCCGGTCTTTCATTGACGCCAAGTGAGGGTGAGAAAAAGTGAAAAATTAGCCAAACCAAACTACCGATTCGTTGTCTTTCTCAGGAAGACTACCTCTTTCCCACTCTTTCCGCTCCTTCGCCTCACCCTCATGAACACGACTAGCCCATTTCTTCACCATCCTTCTGTGCATTCGTTATTACATTTTGTGGCACGTTGCTTAGTAACGTCTCTGCTATTCTTTCCCGTCTCATCTCTTCTTCCTACGAAGGCTTCCAAAGCAGCAAGAATATGGTGATTTATATCTGATTTTATTCTCGTGCCTCTTCTTGGTTAATGAGGCGCAGACATTCATCAGCGAATTCCACGAAGAGAGGTTCTTTCATAGCTTTTTCAATGGCTTTTGCGGGATGGCGAGAGTTGTCGAGGTTGACTAAATAATCCCGCAGATGTCGGTTTGAAAGGAGCTCCTTGAGACGTTCGGATGTGCCTAGTCACCAATTTAGTTATCAGTCAAATAGCCGATGAATTAACCTACGAAGTTTTTCGAGGAGTCGGGTAGGGATGTAGTCGGAGCAGTCGTCACCCAGATCAAGGGGTACAAGTGGTACTGAATCGAAGGTAACTGGGTGGAGGCCAGCTTACTCTCTGTCTCGAGTTGCTCTTCCGTTTTTTCTCCGTGTGGTTGTACGCAGACGCTTTTGTGCGCCTTGTAGCAATTAAGGGAGCAGCTAAATGCAATTTTTGAAAAATAAAATACTACTTTTTTAGCAGACAAGAAGGGCACTTGTATTTCCATGCAGCGGATTTGCAGACCTCGCAGGATTTATTCCCTGATAAGTCATTCATAGCCGAAGCGTATGGCTTTAGTAAAAAAGGATTTGCGTGTAAAAGAATACAAGAACGGAAGTAAGAAACAAAATAAACACCATTCCGAAAAAACAGGCTAAATGGTAGCTGAATTGGGATAGCAGATCTTAGATAAAAACGGAAATTTCAGCTAAAGATGTGAGCCAAACCGTAGAGCTATGCCCCGTATCATCATTCGGATCGTAAAGGAAGTGACAAATAGTTTCTAAAAAACAAGGAGCTGGGAGACATTTCTGGCATGATTTGGACCCTACCTTACGTGCGACGATAAGTGCAGGCACACTACTAACAGCGGAGGCCGCTAATTCAAATAGAGCGGACCACGACCAATACAGATAGGGAGCTGCCATATGTGCTCTGCATGGGTAGGCCACCGAAAAAAGATAGGCAGGATTTCAGCTTTTTAAAAAATCGGAATTACAAGTCAATTTTCAATTCTGTAACAATTAACTAAGTAGGTTTAAGGTGTCAATTAATAATATGCTAGCAACTAAAACAAAGGATCCGATGTAACCAAGACATGTGGCCCATAAATACTGTCTGACTAAATTAAAAGTGTTTTGGCAAATGATCGTGTAACTCGTTTTTGAAATACTATATTTTAATACTCAGATTGTTTAAAATGCCCCCTTAGGCTGAGATGCGTGCAATCAACTCTAACCTCGTGATGGAAGCGTCGTTAGAACTCTTCAATGCAAGTAATAGTTCAGTATCTGGACCACTTTTATACTTGTACTGATTCCCGATAACTGTGGCTAGTAAACGTGTTCCTACCTGTTTGTTCAAACGGTACACTCCATGAACGCGGTACACTAGTTGCCGGGTCCCCCGAATCTCCTTTTAAAGTCAAGATTAACTTTGAAGAATGGCTCGGAACCGCAAAATTCAACGTCTCTCTCTGTCCTTAAAGCCAGCATTGGCCATCATCCTCTTTACCTTCCACTAAGATTTGTTTCAGACCGTTGTAAGCGCCGATATTACCCACGACGCTGACTTCGGATGATGCTGCGACACCTTAACTCATCATTGATCAAGAAAATCAGTTCTCAGCCAGAGACTTTTTTGCTATCAAAAAGGTGGCGAGGACGACATGGAGTACGCCAGAAATCTCCAATTTCCAGCAGATCGCGCTTTCCTAGGCTCGTCTCCAAACAGGTTCGTTGACGGGATAACCGTCCATTCCAGACACGGAGTCTGACCACTCATTATGGTTGAGAAACTGCGGCATAAAGACCAGTTCGCAATCAAGAGGCGCTAGGAACTCTGTACGACCTCGCTTTACGAGATGCCCAACAAATGGTAAAAATCAGCACCACATCATGTTCCTTCGTGCTGTGGCCCAAGTTCAGGTGAGCCTTCCTTTCACCGACTCTATTTGCTCCCAAACGGCATCCATACATTTATGCGAGTCCCAAGTAAATATGGATATCCATTCAGTTTCCTTCTCGACTCAAGCCCAGCTAAATCAATAGCGAATTCTCCGGTTTTCCTCACTCTGTAGTAAGGCTAAGGTCTCTTTTCCTTCTACAAGACTACGTTCAGCAGAAAAGAAACCTGGACAACGGACCTTATTATATGCTCAGAACCGGCTTGAGTCGTGATACTTGGTGCTGCTTTTTTATGTCACGCCAAAGACGCCCTAAATTTTGCGCAGGGAGCCTTTTTTACCCATTAAAGCCCTGAAACCAAAGCAGATGTTGCACTACTGGAAGGAGACGCAAATGACATTTGCAGCGCCCTCCTTGAACCGGGACAAACAGGTATCGCGAAGCATACGATAAATACCGGCAAAGCTAGCCCCATTTGGCAACCACTTCTATCTACGCCACCCCTCCTGCTTGAAGTAAATCGTCCCTTCGAAGAGATGAATCGAGTCGAGATCACGAAAGCATCAAAGTCCCCATGAGCCTCTGCGATTGCGCTGGTAAAGAAAACCAAAAAGTGAGGACATGGCCAATACCAACAAACTAGACAGAATCAAGTGTAGCGGGTTCCTCGTTTGTCTCTTCCCCTCTGTACTTCAAGCTCAAAACGAACAGGTTGATTCGATTAATGCGTTTTTAAGTCAGAGTTGACGGGAGTCAGTACAAGTCTGGGAGAGTCTGGATAATGAAATCTTCGCCTTGGGGAATTCTGACGACTTTCATGAGGTTAGCTGATTGCCCGATTCTCATTTAAGGCGCAACTTTTAACCTAATTATTGCAATCTTACCCCATTCAAATCTCCGCCCATTCATTGACTAAAATTGATCCTCCTTTTCTTCGATCTTAATGTACTGGAGCATTTACCTTCCATTGATGCTACACTCAATAAGTATCATCACTTCACAGTTTTCGCTTTAAAATTAGATTAGGGTTTTTGCCTCTATTGATCGCATTATACAACCTCCCTATAGTGCGATAGACATTTTGTAAAAAGCATTCTCTTTTTAGTAGTTATTTTAATAAGTACTATAATTCTAGTGAGGTATTTGTAGTTTTTGTGTTGATTGGTTTTACGGGAAGGGACAAATACGCCATGTCTAGTTGTTTTGATGTTTAGGTTTGTTGAAAAATATATAACATCTGAGCTGACTTAATGCCGCCTGTTAAGTTGTGTAATAGCTTCGTAATGTTACGCTTTTCTATGTTACCTTATACAGCACACTTCAACTGTTTTTAGGCTTTTCAAAGCTTCTGAGACAAATGGTGGACCAAAGTTTCATTATAGAAGGGTTGAACAAACAGTTCAAATTAATTGAAGGTACCCGAAAAAAGTGGGACAGTGCTGTGCTGAGATCTGGAGAAGTGTATACCTCACTCGCCTACAATCTCATGCGCGAGTCTGTGTCCATTAAGTCCGGCAGCCAAGGTGATGAGCTTTGGTCTCTGAAATTGGTAAATTTATTCAACGTATTTACGCTTCTATTTACAATGTCTATTCATTTTTTTGGTCTATCATAGTGGCTCCTAATTTCATTATAAGTTATGGAATCGGGCTTTGGAATTGTGCCACAAAATTGTGTAGTATTTTACAGTTACTGCTTAAAACGTGCCAGTCTCAGTAGGGCTAGATTAACCGCTATTCCCATGACCGGTTTTAGATACCGCAATGTAGCGCTGCCTGCAGGCTTTTCCTTGCGGGCGATCCGATCAGGGCAGCTCGTCTCGCGGCAGCCCGACAGATAGAAGAGGATTTTGACTCACTGGAGTCTATTTTACAGAGTCTTCAGGAGTGCGTGGAATCGGTAGAGAAGGCTGTAAGTTTCTTATTTTATCGCATATACATCGACCTTTGTTGTTTCTTATTTTGAAACTGTTACTTTTCTGAACTTGTGCGTTTTATTACTTAAAATACGGCAAGCGATTTTAATTCACTAGTATATAGTTTTAAGCAGATGTCCTACTTATTTCAGCGGTTTCAAGGCACCTGTACTTATCGTACCAGTATTTAACACTGAGAATCAAACGCCTTGGTGAGATATTTGGAACTATTTCACATCCCACCTTAGTGACGTGTGTTATCAATCGGGTCATACTATCCCCTAAGCGTATTATTAGCACTGGACGTAAATTCTTTTTAATGCTTTCTAATGTTTACTATTACTTAATATATAAGGTCCAGCGATTGGCTGCACTGCGCAAACTAAAGGTGAATCCCACCGCCGCAGCCATCGTTCCGGCCAGCCCGCTGATCTCACCCAGTCGGCGAAAAGCGAAGCGCGGTGGTAACAGAAAGGACGGAGACGGGGGGAGGGCGCTGATGGCGCAGCATGTTCCATGGTCGGTGTTGCAGGAGGAGGCGGAAGCGCTGGTACATCGATTACGCGAGGACGTGGCCTTCCGTGAAGGACTGGTGCGCGCTCTCGTTCCCACCACCGCCAATACCGTATCTGGGGGCAGTGGAGAGATCGATCGAGGCTCACCGCAGTACCTCTGCTTCCTCTGGCGTGAGGCACACCAAATTGTGAAGTGGGAAAACCTCCTTGATTTGACCGAACATGTTTGCGAGGTTACTGCCACCTGATGCGCGTTTGATGTTCATCTCCTTTTCTTCTATTCGTGCAATAATGATGGCCTGTTACTGATGGCTTGTGCTTGTATACATAAGAATTTCAGTCATTACTGATATAATATATTTTTTTAACAAAAGGTGTTACAGGAATGGAGCTGAATTCTGTTTTGGTACAGGACATCTGGCAGTGGAGTTGTGAATAATCTTTAAGCTGTTGCATGTAGCTGGCTTGTTCTTTTCCTCCACTGCATTAGTGCCTTGCTGTAGATTTAACTCACTGAATCTAAGAAATTGAGGCGAGAGTTCTTTATTTTTTACTTCTCACCAGTTATCTGTTTGGTGTTTATGCGTGTGCTTATTTTCTATTCGACGTCAATCCTCATCTCTGTTACAAGGTGGTAGTTTCTTTTCTGGCTTAACTAACTGTTAGTCCGACTGCTTCAACTGATCGTCTGTCCCCCTCTTCTTTACACTCGTGACGTCTCGGAGGCGTTCCTATTCCGTGTGGTCTTAATTTACTTTTATAAACCAATTTTACTTGCGTTCTGGGTTGGGAGGATTGTTATTCTGCTATGAAATTGCGTTTTGTATGTTTTAATAACCTCACCTCCTGTCTGGGGTTTTGGCCGTCTCGCTACTTGCCTGTAACAGTTCTACTACTTAGGTATTTTGGACGAATGTTAGTAGCTAAGCAACAATGTTTTAGTGACTTCCGGTCAACTTTACGTATATTATGGGGATTAAGCGGTTGGGAATACGAAACAGGTGCTAGAATTGACCTCGTTCCATGGCTATTGGCTTGAAGAAAGTGTGCTGTCGATTTGCTACTGTGTCTTGTAAGTAGCACGAGTGTTGGGCTGATAGCGCTTTTTGCGTGCGGGTTTGTTTCACCAAACCACAGCCTATTGTAATACTTTGCTTAGCTCTCGGTTTTGGTAACGAACCTCTCAGGGGGTCCGTCATTGCACCTCTATCGTGAGGCTTGACCCACGGGTCAGCCTTGTGGCCCTCAGGCCCTTCTGTAGGTCAACACATCCCATCCAACCATTATGTCTTCGGGGAAGTCTCAACTAACTGCACTTGTGGGAGCGTGGGGCAAAACCGATCTCAAAGAACAAATATCCTGGTTTTTACTGCTGGGTGAAAAATCGTATGATGGCAGAAGTGTATATGTCACGGACGGGCAGATTGACGACGATACATAACAGGAGGACTGAAGATGACGTGTACCTTCCGCAACCACCCCGATCTCATGGTCTGCAGGAAAGTTAGTAGCCACTGAAGCGACACTAACCGTGAAACATCTAAAAAAGTTCGTTTCAGAACTGACTACCGTACCTGTGTAAAGATCATTTATGTGAACACACGATACCACTGCTGCTCCACTAGCTGGATAGAACGCGGATGCACATGTCTGGGCAGATTTGAAGTGAAAAGCAAGTGGGGAGGAGGAGTGGATGCGAAATTCAATCTTCACTAAAATAGGTTCTGCCCTGTCCTTTGTTACATGACTCCGCTTTTGGGCCAATGTTCCTACGACTAATGATTGACCGCACGCTCCCGTCCCCCAATCATTTTCCGCACGCGGTAAAACTCCATTTCCAGTAGAATTGTTGAGTGGGCCCAGTGACTGCGGTCAAATACCTCATCTTTATGGCAATTTGATGACTGGCGAGGTTGATTCGTGTTGGTTTTTCATACAGTACCGATTACGTTTTGATTGACACGGGATGACGCTCAAAAGATGAGAGGCGCTAGGTAATGTTTTACTTGACTCTCAATTTTGATAACGGGCCACTTAGGACCTCCGCCGTTGTGCCCTCCCCGGGTGGCCTGACCTTCGGGCCATCTCACTATCCGCCACTCCCTTCTGTAGGTCGATAGTACATGTTCTGTCTGAGTATTTTCTCTTCTTTCGTCTTCAAGAAAGTCTCGGCACGCTACAACTGTTGTTTTATGGAGCTGCAGAGAGGCGGGAAACTATGATCCGTTGTAGGTCAAGATTCCTTTGCCAATTTAGAAGGAGGTCAGTGTATTTACATTTGAGAAGACTGCTTTGACTTCTGAATGGGACTGGTAGTTCCTAAATCAGGTGGTTTTCACGGTAAATAGATGCCGTAATCAAAAGGTGGTACGCAATAAAAATCTGATCTACCCATCCATGATCAATTTATGTCGGATTGACGTTTACTGATTATTTATCCAAATGCGTGTCATGTTAAAACGGGCCGAGTTGAAGGCATTTTAATCGCTGTGGTACAAACAATTGTCACGTTGTTGATAAAGTACGGATACTTTGTTCTGCAGCTGGGTGATCCATACTGATAATGCTCTACAAGTCCGCACGCATTGCTCCTTTTGAAAGTGATTTTTTTCTCTAACAAATTCCCTAATAGTAACGCTTCTGCTTTTCTGCCAATTTTCGTTTCTGCCTCCAATTTGCAATTGCACGAGAAGGAAACAAGAAATGAGGCGATTTTAAGCTACCTAGCTCACTCTTATCTTGTCCATGCCTTCCCTACCGTCTGTGCGTGTTCTAATGAGGAAAAAAAAGAGAAGACAAAAAGCACACGAGATCTAGCTTTGCGAGATTAAACACCTCATCGCCTGTACCAGGCGTGGAAACCGAAAAGCCACAGCCAAATCCAATCAGTATGATTGCTTACTGATCCCAGCAACTTGGAAATCGGATGTCAAATTAAGACCGTTTTAAGCACCACCACCCCTGCAACACGCTTCATCTCTGCCTTTCGTGCTCCCCTTGGCTACAATAGTGAGTGGGAACGTGGAGCTTGCTGCTTCTATAGTTGTTGACCTCACATACCGCGGCAGACGCGAGGAATTGGGATTTGGGAAGCTCTCAACTGTCGAATCGACTATACAGAACCCACGCCCCAGTAGAAGCATTTGAAAAGGTGATTGTGTAAACAACTATGTACAATGGACAATTTATCAAATTGAATTTAAATGATAAAATTTGAACTTTTCTTCGCAGAGTCCATGCACTTATGCTAACCTTGCAAACAGCCTCCTCAAGTTGGCCGTATTACAAACCTTGGTTTCTGACAGTAGGATCTGATAAGGATGTAAATAGATTTGTACTAGAAATTTATTTTCATGAAACGCCAATGATTACAAACACATTATGAAACATCTCCTCCCTGTGGAAATCGACGCTTGTATGATGTAGTTCCCACAGTAGGACCAGTCAGGTCAGGCAAGGGTGCAACCTCCACCTACAGTGGCTTGGAAGAATTGTAGTGCTCTCCTGTCGAAAATGCGTGGTAATGGTACCTGAAAGGCAAAAAATAAAAGCACCGGTCAAAAGTGCAAGATAGCTGCCAAAAAAATGTGATGACTTGTCAATCTGCATATTTTAACGATTAAAAGCCCTCTTGGGAGAGTTTAACTGCGGAATATGGCGGACAGACACGCCAAATCCAACCTTTTACAATCACTGACGAGTTAAAAAAGCACGATACCGAGAATCGCATTTCTTTCGTGAACAGCAGAACAATTTGACAAATGGTTTTCCCCTCAAACCACTTAAAAGCGGACCGACGATGTAGAAACAATCACCAATCATAAAGCCCTTATTTATAGTTTAGAATTTTACAACTACTGTAAATTATTGGGTGCTCTCTGAAAGGGCAAATATAATATCAACGTCTCTTCATCGAGAAACGATGAAAGCAGTGGATGACTCACGTGATAACCAAAGGAGCTGGTGGGTTGGAAGAGGCGGCGAACGTTTCGCCCGATCGAATCACCGGACCTGCCGTGTGTAGAACCTCAATGGGTCTTTCCAACGCGGTGGAGAGAGCCTGAATCTGGTAGAAGGTAGCGTTAGTAAAAGGGGGTAGAAAGTTTGAGAAGGCTTGCTTAAGGACAATCACTTACCTCCAGCTGACCACCCCAAGTGCCTGGCGCTTCTAGCTTCTTGCAGTAGAGATCAATCGTAGCTAAATTGAAGGATAAGCTGGTGAATGGTTAATACATAACGAAGATGCTGAGGCCATGACAAATAGAGGAACAAACAGATATTCTTTGCTTTTCTCGATGCGTATTCAGCTTTAGGCTGTTGCAACACTTTCTTCACCTATATTTATCAAAAAGAGCCGATTTCACAGTTCAAGCAAGAAATAACGCTGGCAAGACAGAACCCTAGGTACATAGACTCCAGCGCAGACAATCGTTACCGATGGAAAAGCGGTAAAACACAAGCCGGGCTTTCTAAAACAAACCACCAACATATCCCCAAATATAGACAAAAAATATTGCTCGTCACATGCCCAAATCTCTGCTTCAGTCTTCATAGCTAAGTTATGAGACAATTCCTAAATTTTGACAAATACCAACCTGAGCAAGACTTTCTGATGTACTTTTGGTTCAAAACTTGATCATTTGTGGCAACCTTTAAGGGCAGTTGGAATTAAAGAACCCACCTCGACTTTCACACAGATAATTTGAATAAGTTTTCGTCCCACATTCGGCTATTGAGATAAGGTAGTGGTGGAATTTCGTTATTTCAAATCACAAACATGGACAGGAGTTTTAAAGACATTCGTGTTAAGGGAAGTTTGTATCACAAAGAAGAAAACCAGTGTTGTGTTGACAGTAGAAACGAGTGGGACTGCACTGAAATGCTAACTAACCGATAGTGGAATCGCAGGTCAGATCCGGCTCCGAGCAAATAAAAGGTAGGTAGTCCTCTCCATTGTGTCGAATAACTGAAGAGGCGAGCATTCGCAGGCATCGTACAGTGGATTTCACGTCCTCTGCGGCAGGCGGCGTCACACCGAATTTGTCGCAAGCTTCCATCAAACACTCTGTTAGACCCAGTACATCCAATTGGTGCGCAATGGAGGCAAATAGGCAGTCGCCATCCGAGGGAACCTTTAGAGTAATCAGAAGTTAAAAGCTAGAAGCAAGTGCCTAGAAGACATAGCAATCGGTAGTTAAGGGTAATATTTAATAACTAAGGTAAACCATAAATCAATGGACAGATGCGTCACCTTGTGCAGTGTAAGGCCACGCTCAAAGAGAGCGCGTTCGAGTTGGCAGTATTCGAGGGCAGACGTTGAAGAGGCATCCCTGGCAAGAGACTCCTCTACAGCCTTTGAAAGAGATTGTGCCTTCGCCGCGGCCTTTTTACGTCGTTTAGCAGCTTTACTGACCCTCGATGGTGGTGTTTCACCACTTCCATTGAGAGGAGTCAGATCTAATAGAGGGTATGTTTTGCTGAAAGTGGCGGGAACGTACCTGATGTTGAATTAGTAGGGATATCGAAAGAAGCATTTAACTGCTTCAATTCTTCAGCCTGTCGTCCAGCAAGCTGCTTCTCTAATGCTGCGATTTCCTGTTGTACAGCGTTGCGTCGATTACGATCGCCCTTAGGTACACTTTTCTTCAGGCTCTGAATTTTAGCTAATGCGAAAATGCGACAGTTGCATTATCAAACGTTACCTTGAAGCTCTTTCTTCTCCTTACGATGCCGACTTAATACCTCTTCTTCCATTACCCTAAGGGGCGATGAAATCATTTGGATAGAGATAGCCACCAGCATGAATTAAATTAGTGATTTTGGATTTACAGTACATTTCACAAGCAAACACCAGGAAGGCAAATTTCATGCCAATATCTGAGTCAAATACTAGATGAAGTACTGAGGAAGATCCAAAAGAACAATATACTAGAACTGCAGACACATTATGGCATGGTTACCGCGACAGGCAATTATGTAATGCCAGCGATGGGTCTCATTAAATGAAGTTAAACAAATGTCATTGGGATTACCAACCATTTGGATTAAACAAATACCCAATTCTTTGAGTGATAACAACACAAGAACCTACCACCGAACACATAGCAATGTCGTAGTGCCCGCTGACGTGCAGCATACCACAGAACAATCCTATTAAGCGTAAGGCAATAAAACACAAATTTTAAATTGAATTGAAGGCTTAAAGAGCATCTTTATGCAAACATTGTGCAAAATATAAAAAGTTTCATAGTAATTGGTAAACTGAATGTCGAAGAATTGGGCAAATATAATAAAAGATAATAAATTGGCACGCAGCACCCCAAGACTTTTCTGGAGATGTTAGGAAACATTGCCCCCAAATATTTAAAAACTTATCTTGCTGCGGAAGTAAGGCTTCCTGGCATGGCCCGGGAGCCAGCCTACCCAGAAGGACAAAAACAATCACGAGAAGTGGTCCCTTACTAAACAACTAATTACTACACTACCTAGTCGTTCTTTTTTAAGGCTTAACTACGGTACTTAAGTTAATCAAATGCATCTTCTAGAGAGGAAGCGTACAGTGGACTCGAGCCTCACAAATGAGGATTGGTCAGCATCTTCGGAACCGGAGAAGAACTTAGTGTCGCGGTCCTCTAAACCTGTACCCATTCCCACTGACTCCAACCAATAAATGTGTCTCAGAAAAACCCTATTTTATTTTTAATTGGTAAGAAAGCCAGGGAAGAAAAATGAACAAGGATATTTCTACACTTGAGGCGGCGGCGGCGCATCTTCGACCTTTCAAAGACGGCGTGAACTTTTAAAATTGATTTAAAACAGCAAAAGCGCGTCGTTATCCACCCAAATGCTAGCTAAGCAAAGATACTGTAAAGAATTTCGGCTGTTAGGATGCGCACTGTCCCAAGGACTGATAGCGAGAAAATAAATAAAGTTATGCTGCAAAACATATTTTTAAGCTTAAGTACTAATTATCATTAAAAAGATGAGCGAAACTGCCCATTTTGTTTTGAACTCGGGGTTGCGAAGAATTCCTGACATCCACTTATAAAACCACAGCGAAAGGGATGACCTCGTCAAGCAAGGTGGCCTGATGGACTAGACAAGAATGGTCAAAACCTTCTCAGTGCTGCCACACTCATTAGTACAAACAGTTTTACTAAAGTTGCAAGAGCAACTCGACCACGTTAGTGAATGAGATGTTAAGCAACTCAAATAAAGGATAATGGTGGCCTTTACTTACTTCAGACTTATTAGACTTTTGCCGGATCTGTATTACTTGCAGCTGCTTCAAAAGACCTCACTCAGTAACTATCGCACCACTGCAGCGAAAGGAGAAAGGAGTAAGTGTAGACATTATGGGTCCTCTACCACCTACCAAAAGAGGGAAACGGTGTATTCTGGCTATAATAGGGTACTTAATGAAAGTAACCGCTGCAGAACCCACGAAGGCGAAGGACAGTTAAATAGTTGCTTCATTTATCTTCAACTGAAAGTGCTTAAATCGCTTTATAGCCGTCAAGGCCCTGCATTTACTGAACTATGTAAGGCGACTCAGATCTTAAATGCACGCACGAAATCTGAGCGTCCGCAAGGCAATGGACAGGTTAAAAGAAAGAAATGCACTCTGATCGGGTTGCCTAGAGCCTTCACCAAAAAATCGCTTCTGGAAGACTAAGACTTCAGCTTAGAACGTGCCATTTTTAGCGTACAGAGACACCGTTCATACGTTAATGAGTGTTCCGCCCATTAAAATGCTCGCAGGTTGCAAAATGTGGGTGTCTTCAGGTGTCTTTCTATTAAATACAGATGCGACAGACGGCAATCTTTAAGAACGCTCGCAAGCACTCATGACTGTCTTGTATCAGGCAAAAGAAATATTACGAAAAACAGATGAAATAAAGTCCACCTAGACGGATTTTTAGCACAAATACAGAGACAGATTCTTTGCTAGTAATGCATCCTAAGGTTTACCACTCTTGGAGCAACGATCTATTCCGGGTGGTGAAAGAGCTCTCAACTACACACTACCTCGTCTACAACGAACAATTCCATACCTAGCCAGTAACCTTTCATTGCATAAAGCAAATCCACACGGTACACTACCAAGCAAAACGAAAAAACCACTGGATGGCAAATTTAACGACGATTTATAGGTGGGATCAGTGAAGACGATGTAAAATGCGACGAAGCTATACAGGGATTCAGTTATTTAGATTTACCTCTTAGGGGGAGAAAGCAATCGCCTCTCAAACGGGTCAGTCTCTACGTTTAATTTGTATGAAGGTCAAAAAAGATGAGATGAATGGGATTCGTGCCGTATAACATTTGAAAAGAAAACTAGATTCACTGGGTAGAATGTTTCCCAAAATTATGTATATCAGCTTATATTTACTTGTCGGTAGCAGAAAAAAGAGCAACGTATGAATAAACTTTACCGTCATTACCTCTGCCTTTTACAAGTTTGAAAAGTTTTATTCTAGGTAATTTTCATTTTAGAATGAGAAACTACTCCTCTGTTCTTGAAATTGCAGAACATCCTGTTTATAGACACCCTTGGTTGCATGAAAGTAGTGTACGTATAACCAAAGGCTAGTTTTACTTTAAAACCTGTAAATTCTTTGATTTAGTCCATAATTTTGTTTGAATGGGCTACCATCCTTTGCGCTAGCTTAGGATCGTATCTCACCTTTAAGCGATGAGTTTTCAGAATTTCCTTAGACTCGCTCAGCAAAATCAGGCGCGGAATGATAATAAGGTATTTTTCACAATCATATCATAAATTAAGATTAAAAAAATCTCAGATGAATTAAAGAGGAGGAGAGAGCACTTTATAAATGAACGCAAGGCTATCGAAGAAGCAAATAAACGCAGGGAACCAATACATTCATTTATCTCTCAGAATAAAAGCATTGAATATGATTCCTTAAATACGTCCCATGGATCATCCTTAAAGGTTGATGCGCCTTCTGAAAGTGGGAATCAGTCAAGCGTGGTATATATCCCCACACCCATACCGAAGAAGAGGTCGTCTTCACTGATGGATGCTTTGGAGGAGATGAGTGGAGGTTCCCCCATTCCAAGTTCTTTGAAGAAACGAAGGATTGCAGTTAAAATACCTAAAGTTGCGAGTTTGAATCCCTCACAGTCATTAAATAACCAAAAACAATGCCGGATCCCGAGGAAAGGTCATTTAGATGTATCCAATGGCAATTTTATCCCACCAAATGGAGTTAACCCTGCTGCTATTGCATCGACACACCTTAATTCTTCGAAAACGGGTATTCATTCAAGTGATCCAAAACGACAAATTGCTTCCAAGGCTAAAGCTCCGGTCCAAAAAACGAGAGACACCAGTATGCAGAGAATCGCATCTAAGCATAAAACGCCTCAACTTTCTACCTCATCACTTGTAAATGTGAACCGCTCTGTCAGTCTGAACTCCTCCAGTACAAATAGATTACTCATCCACCCTCCCACCATTCTTAGCAATGTTTCTTTGCATTCCAAACGTGCCACTGCGGCGCCAGTACATCACAGATCAAGCAACTCACTTAGACCTGTTCATTCCATCTCTACCTCCTCTAAGTCCCATTCTTCCGATTTAAAAACAGTCCAACAGCCAGCTCGGCCTGCATCGCAGCCTCCGCCAGGCAATGTTGCAAATATGCCTCGACCCTTAGGCATCGCTGCGCAGCTAGGACTACCGCGATCTAAAGTCGAGTCAGGTTTGGCTTCTCTATCGTCTATTAGGAAAACTTCTTTCGACTCTATAAACTCGATCTCTAAGGCAATTCCCCCCTCTAATGGTAACTCATCCCTCCGTCTGGCGGCACTACCCTTTAATGATCAGAGGAGACCGCCCGCCATCATGGAGCCTCCGGTCAAGCAGCCCAGCCTCCAACCACGAATGACAATGGAGAGGTCCCGTGCGGTTGTGCCTACAGTGCAAGGCATCGCAGCACAGTACGGCTCCCTACCCACAGCCAGCAGCGGACGGTCTCCAAACGCTTACTTGGATGACGAGAGTGACGAATATGCTAGTGATGACAGTTTCATCGACGATACGGACTGCACTTCTGCAAAGGACTATTTGAGAGCGGTGAAGGACATCCACAAGTCACTTCACTTTGATCCAAATAAATACGCGAAAATTAGCAAGTACGATAATCTCGCCTCCATGGAGTCGTCCTATCGACAGATCGAGAAGGAAGAGAAATTGAGGTGCGTAGCTACTTTTGGAATGTTGTTTGATTCCGCCTGTCATAGTTAACTTGGCTATAATGTCAATTTTCATCAAGCAGGTACGACTTATACCATTATGATTCAGTGATACGGCTTTTTAGATTCTCATACTATTGGCCTTTTTTCGCAAGAGCGTGTCTCCCCCCAGTGTTTAACGTACTTTTAATTAACAATGCTTTGCTTTATTCCCATAAATATTGTGCCACATCTCTATCACCAGTTAGTTGAAATTCTTAAATGATTGCACTCACAGATTTCGGTTGTGAAAATTTGTTTCATATTTTGTAGTCGTGATGTTACTTTTGTAAGATCTCGATCCATGAATGCGGTAGTCCTGTTTTAATGATCGAACTGCCTAAGTCGTTGGAAGAGCTTGGCTGTTTTTGTTTTCTCCATGCTTAGTCGCTGGGAGCTCAAACTCGTTGATAAACGATGTTTACTTTTTTTCATTCATCTTGGCCCTAGTTTTACCACGAAATTTTATTGTGTGTTGGTGGTTTGAACTTTAAGAAAACCGAAAATGCGCAAACTGCGCACTAAAGCTGCCATTTGAAACGCTCAAGTTTTCATGTGACTTGAAGATTTCTAAAAATTTTACATCTTTAGTATGCGACTCGGTGCTCGAGAAGATCAGGAGGATATGGCCATGGAGGCCGAGCGCAGACGTCGAAGGATGGCCAAACGACTTTGAGGAGTGATCTAAAGCTTGCCTTCCTCTTCCTAAGCCTCGTCTTTCAGGAAACCTGTCCTATGCCTTTCCCCCCTCTCTCTTTGCGGACGACCACAAAAAGGCGGCGCTCTCCACTACTCTATCCTTTGAATTGGACTGGATTCGTTTGTACATTTCTGCTGTGATTTGTGATTTTGTTTCTCGTTACCTCTCTTGTCTGCACCGCAGTAATGTGAAAGAGTGTATTAAACGCATCGTTGGTGCAAGATGGAATGATGGCTGTTGGCGGATTTGCCCCTGACTATGGGATTGTATCGGTTGGAACCATCAAGTTGTGTCGCACTATCCACGTATCTGCCTCAGGTATTAAGGCATTTTATTTCTCACAATTCTAGCTCTCATCTCAAGTTGGATTCCAGCAAAATTTGCGCATTTCTACACTTTAACCATCATCAAATTCGTGTAAGACCGAGCTCTTGCCGAGACCCCTTCGACCTTGCACCTTAATATCTCAAACGAGTCGACGGGGGACGCTGCACACACTTCAACACAGTCAGTTGTAAGCTCGTGAGGAAGATGTTATCTACGTGACACTGGCATCAAATACAAGCACACTACAGAGAGATACAAATGCACTGGAATGTCTGATTTTGTGTCGTGGTTATTTCACGGAGGATTATTTGCCAAAAGGTGCGGTATTGAAGCGTGAGCAATGCGGATAGTGTTGTTCACATGAGGGCAACGAGGTGAACAGTTCCCAATCAATGCATCAGGTGGGCGTTCCTCCCGCTAACCAAATCACATCATCACCCAATCAACGAATACGTGAATTCCAGGGGCCCCCCAGTGTGAAAACCAATGCTCTGATTGTTTGTAACCGTTGTAGAGGTGACACCGACTTTTCTGAATCCAAAAAACGGCTGCGCGTAAACACTGGGAGATGCGTATACGTGGCATTAAAACGAACATGTCAAAATATGTGCACACCGAAATTGCTAGTATAGGCACAGAAGGGAAGGTATGGTGCGCGAGGAAAAAAATGAAAGCGCTTTAGAAGTAAATCACAAGCACAAGGGGAGGGAAAAGGGGGCATTAGTTTCACTTCTCACAGTGGTAGCAAAAGCAAGGAGCTTAAAGGCGGGGGGGGGGGGGTAGGTGAGTACCTCCATGACTCTCAGAAATGCACCTAAACACTGCAACACAGCCAAGGCCAATTAGTCGCTACCGCTGGTGATATTGCAGCTGCTGCTTGATGAAACGATTGCTTCCCGAGGTGTTGGAACCTGACTTTGGCGAGGATTGAGCGGCATCCCGCGATGTTGATGCTGGGACTGCTGCTAGTGGAACCTGTCTGTTGGCTTCTACTTGCTGACGTTGGGAAAGTAATGAATTCGGCAGGGATGGAGGCGGTGGCGGGATTGGAGGAATAAATTGCGATCCACCTGGACCGGTTAACGGAATTTGAGAAAATGGAAGAAAAGGTGGTGGCGGAGGTGGATATATTTGTGGATGGGATCCAACACTCTTCTCCGACTGTCGTGAGGTTGACCGCATTTCCGGTAATTTGGTAGTTGCCAACGCCACTGCTGGTGGCGGTGGTGGTGGAGGTGGGGGTGGAATACCTGAGAGAAGCTTATTTATAGTAGCCCTTTCACCAGTGAACATCTTTTGTCGGAGTATATTATTCTCACCACGCAAATCTTTCACAACGTTCTCCAGAGCTCTTGCAGACAACCAGTTTTCATGTAAACGCTTGTCCAATTCGCTGATATGACGTCGATTAACCCGTTCAGACTCAGCTAACTCGCGTCGTGCTGAAGCCAGCTGATCACGAAGGGTCTTTACCTCCACCTCATAGGACTCCTGTTTGCTACGCAAAAATTTTAGCTCCTCCATCGATTCCGATTCACTAAGCGCTTGCCTACCCAAGTCACGTTGGAGCACCGCCTCGCGCTCTTTGAAATATTCTGAGAGGATCTCCAGCTTCTTCTTCGAGGCGTCACAATCCTCCGTGGCTACACGCAACCTTTGTGAAAGATCGGCATTCTCGCCTTTGAGCACCTCCACCGTCTCTTGTAGTTGAGTGCGCAACTCCGTCTCCTGTTTACGTGCAGCAGTTTCGGCACGAGCCTGCTTTTCAGAATCTTCCAAAGCCACTCTGAGGCGTCCCACCTCCAGGAATTCCCTTAATGAGGACTGAACTTCATCTCCATCACCTTCACTCGCTTGCTCCAGAGGGCCTTCAATTTCCTCAATGATCTCGTCCATATCTAATTCATCCTCCACCTCCCAGCCACCAGTGGAGCCCTTGTCTTCGTTTTGTTTTTCGGCCGCCGCGGCGACACATTTCTTTGCAGCTCTTGACTGATTTTCTTTTTTTTCAGTTCAGCACTCTTAAGCTCAATAAAGGCCTCTCGTAGACTCGAGAGCTCGCGTTCTCGAGCAGCACGGTCCTCTTCAAATCGCTGATTTGCCTCTTTCAGTTCGTTCACCATCTTTTCTGCGTTTTCCGCTCTTGACTGGTGGCTATTAACCTCGCAGGCTAAAAGCGCCTTCTCTTTCTCAATGCTCTCCGTGTACTGACGGGTGCATTCTTCTAATCGGTCGTTCAGTGCAGCCACCTCCTTTCTCAATCGTGTGGCGGTGGCAGCAGCCTCCGTTTTCACATTGGACAACTGTTCTACCAACGCGTCATGAGTGACTCTCAGTTCCTTGTTCTCCTGCAAACTATCCGCCAGGGAAGCCTTCAAATCTCGTAATTGGTTGTGGATGCGCGTCTCCGAGGTGGAGTGATTGCGAGTCTGGTGCTCATAGCGCTCGCTCACCTTTGTGGACCACACAATGAGACGTGCATAAGCCTCCTCTTTGTCCGCCAGACTACCTGCCAAGAGATTAGCATTCTCTTCAACAGCTAGCCACTCAGCCAGAGATCGTCTCCTAGGATCATCAGGATTGGAAGAGGTGAGGCCGATGAATAAGAGCCGATTGAACAGCTTCACTATTTGCCAGGTGGTTAGGATAGAGAGTAGGAACAAGAGCCAAGCGATGAAGAAAACAAGAGGTAAGTGGAATGCGAAAGTAAGGATACGATCGAGAGAGGAAACAAGTGTAAGAGGAAGTTTGAAGAGGAGGATCTGTGCGGCGTTGAAGTACTGTCGAGCAAAAAACAGTACCGCACCAGCTAGGATGGACTTCTTAACGATGTGAGAGGATGAGTCTATGCTGGGAGACATAAATGTGCCATTTGAAGCGTAGGAGAGACAGTGGAAGAAGGTGGACTCTGTTGCAATGTCCATCAGTGGTCGCAGTGGCGGATCTTCGTCATTTTCTACTAATTCACCAAGATCTGGAGAATGAGATTCTACTGAGGTGTACGAAGGAGGTTCCTCGGCTTCTTCAAATTTGTTCGTGAGTCCGTGGTCAGTATTACCTGGCGCAGATGCTTCAATTGCCAATTCCTGAGAATTTATTTCTGAAACATCTTTCAACCCCGATTCAGCATGGTGAAGTACTTTTGGCTGATGGTCACTCGATTCATCAGTAACCACTTGATCTGACTGACTAACCCTTTCCTTCTCCTTAGGTGGAACAGGAGATTGCATTTGCACATACTGGGATTTTTGGTCTGCAAAAGTTTTCAAATGAGGTTCCAATGTTTGAGTATTTTGTGCTGAAGAATGGCCCATTTCAATATTTGGATGCAGAACAGTTCGTGAATCAGAAGAAGGAGCTTTAGCACCTGTGCCAACCTGTGAAAATGGTTCCTGCAACGGAGACTGATTAAGCTGTTGGCGATGTTGGTCAGTACTTGGAGATATTTCTTCAATCTTGATCGTAGGTTCCGATGAAATCTTCATATCTACATTCGTTTTTTGAGACTGTAGTTTTTCTATAGAAGGCTGCTGCACTTCATGCTTCTCTACATGCACGGATGCTGTATTCGTCTCAGGCATCGATGCGTGTGAATGCAAATCTGAAGTCTGCATCCTCACACTCTCAACTGATTGTAACTTAGGCCCAGAATCTTGTAGGCGTTGTTGGCTCGTAGATGGAGGCGTTGTTTCAGTCTCCAACCCAGATCCTGGAACCTTTGCTTCGGAAGAAGGTGAGTGACTTGTAGTTTCTACAAAAATGCGAGGTTTTTCTAGAGTAGAACTGTGATCCGAGGGACGCATATTCGCATCTTCAGTTGTCTGCAGCGTAGATAAAGGAACTCTTTCCTGCTGTTGAACTGGTTGAGATGGCTTTATTGTTTCCTTTGGAATCTCAGGGGATTGTGATGCAGTCGGCCTAGACTTTTGCTGATGCTCCTGCTGTTGTATAAACCGACCATCAGAAGTCGCCTTTTCTGAAGATAGGTATGGTTGCTGCAAATGGTGTTGTCCTACAGGAGGAGATACTATTTCGGTCTCCAACCCAGACCCCGGCACCGTTGTTTTGGGAGGAGAAAGTGAAGAACTTGTTTCGTCAATTGTACGAGGTTTTTCTAGAGTAGAACTGTGATCCGAAGGACGCATATTCGCACCTTCAGTTGCCTGCAGCGTAGATAAAGGAACTCCTTCCTGCTGTTGAACTGGTTGAGATGGCTTTATTGTTTCCTTTGGAAGCTCGGAGGATTGTGATACAGTCGGTCCAGGCTTTTGTTGATGTTCTTGTTGTTGTTGCTGCTGTTGCAAAAATTGATAATCCGAAGTCCCCTTTTCAGAAGGTGGAGGTGTTATATTCTGTTGAGTTGACGGTGTGTCTACCCTTTTGCTCGAAAGCGTTATTTCTTTCGCGATTGACGACGAATCGCTGGTACTAGAGACAGTCGAAAAGTCTACGGATTTCTCACCACCTCCAGTCGGTTGGACAGTGGAGGAGTCAAATCGAGACAGCTTCACTCGAACCATAGACCGCGGCTCAAGTAGCTTCGCGCCGAGACGCAGAAAACTGCTATGAACATCGTAGAAATGCTCACCAACTTTAATGCGGTAGCTCTCCTCTAATGCCGATTGACCGAATATCTCTATGATGGCACCCTTGCGGAGAGATTGTTCAGGGAGATCAGTGATAACCTCTCCAAGCAGATAGGGTGTGGAACATTCTGGATCGAAACAGATTAGTTCAGTGGGCCCCTGTGATGATGTAGCGGCTGCCAATGAGATCAACCAGGCCACAAATAGGAGTAGACGGCACCCAAATAACATTTCCGCAGAACTATGGGGAACAAAAGCACAGAAATGATTGCTGACGTGCAGCCGGAATTCGATTAATTAGATAATTTATCAGATGAACTCCATTAGAGAAATAGGGGACAACTGAATATAATATTTGCAAAAAGTGGCATTTAGACGGTATCTTTTTTTTACCCACTAAAGAAAATCTCCATTAACACGGCCAACTACAGCGAAAAGAGATTAAATCGTACAAGTGTACGTGGAGCATGGCAGAAACATATCCACATTACTTCATAGCACCAATCAAATATTAAAAAGTAAGGCATATGTACCAATCGCAATTTTTAAAACCGCAATTATGCATTTTCAGCAAAAAATGGGGTGAGTAGATTCGTTATGAAAAAGACCCTTTACATCAACCGCGAAAATATTTCTTTGCGGTCATAAATGAGCAGTCAGATCTTCACATGCAAAATTCAGTCAAAAAAATCGAATAGGAAAAGTCTGTAAATTTATTACAAGTACAACTGTAATCCAGATTGCTTGAAAAATTTTGAAATAATTTCAAATCATGCAGTAGTGAGACGGTAGCAGGGCTAATAGTAATAAGTTGGACGGGGCAAAACAAAATCTGAAACCATGTGTTTACCGAACTACTGTATAGTACGATGCATCACTACTGCTTATAAGCGAATCTGTGCATTTACGTTTCCGTGGAACTAGTGGCAGTGATGTAAAAAAAAGTAGGAATGCCAGACGAACCACTAAACTAATTACTTGAACTAAGCTTGGACAGGAAATAAGTACATCCGACCACGTAAAAGGCCCTAGATAATAAATTGTAAAGAGGAAAAAAGTTGTCTATGCGCACTAAGTAGTTAAGATTTAACTAGAATTCAGCACATACAAGGACTGAAAACGATTGAGGATGAATCGTTAGTATGAGTTTGGGCCGTTTAACATTAGATTACCTAAATACTACAGCCGCGTCATGGAATAATAAAATATGACTGTGGTTAAGAAGCGCCCAAACGTTAAAAGTTAAAATAAAAGCGCCTTTACCGATGACGTCTTCAATCCCAGTACGCCCAATAAAGCCAGCGTCCAATCAGATCGGAAGACACACAAATATTGTTGTTGATTTACGTAGTAAAACTTACACGACAGCTTGACAACTCATTTCTGGAATTTAAAGCACTACCCCATGATTTAGTACCCATATACGGTAGGTTAGCCAAATTTTTCGTTTTGCACTCGAATTCACTCATTAATTTATGCTGAACAAATAATTAAATAAATAATAGGATCGTTGATAAACATGGTGCATGTGGACATTTTTATAACAAATTAGCATTTGTTTTTTATGCAAAGTGGAGACAAGAACATGTCTGACACAGCTCTGTTATCTAATTTAATACCAAGCGATTTTTATTAATTATTTATTATGTACTCATTGCAAAACTTAAGGTACTGGCCTGTGCATTTGATAACTCACTTCCCCATTCGGGACACATGAGTGTATCAATATCACTAGTCCCCCATCTACCCTTCTTTTTAAATTTAACTATTTATCATAACGGCCATCCCGTAATACCAAGCCCTTATGTAGCACACCGAGACTTCCCTGAAGACGAAAGGTGACATAATACTCGGTCAGAATATACATATTCGGGACACATAAAGAACTAGGACTACTGGCATAGCCAAGAAGCCAGCCACTCAGTTGAGTACAGTGACCAAGTCAAAGTGGCTCTTCAACAAAATCGACCGTTAAACAAACAATCAACGTGTTACCCTTATTTCCCTTGTACACGCTGGACGCACCGAACCTCACCCTACTACTGGTAAAGAACCAAGGACTGGATTGGCCTTCTCCCGCCAATTGGTTTGCAACAACAACTTCCTTGGATAAAGTGATATCAAATTTTCAGAAGCTACAACAAAACCGCAGGAACAAGCCGACTCCCAAGGAGTTTGCCCTTATTGTTTGAAGAAGTTGATACCCTTCCCCGGGACGGCAAAAACCAAACCCATTACTAAAAATTATTGAATGCATAATTATGCCAAGTCAAAGGCGCCAAAAAGGTTATCATAAGTTTACAATCACAGCTTTGGGATAATAGTGAGACGGTTACGTCTCACGTTTTGGATAGTCAAGAGAGACCTCCTGGCTCCACGCACCGAACGCAGAGGTAGCGGCGGGGACAGGGGGCTTTCGCCGGAAAGCGGAGAATTTAGAAGCGATCGTCGCCGATGTCATGTCGTGATTGTTAGTGTTATTATTGTTCTGTGGCTTTATACGTCGACTGCGGATGCCGAGGAGGCCCCTCTTTGTCCCATGACCCTCTGACTGCTCCTGGCGCGCCTCTGAGGGTGTCTCAGAATCACAATCACTGCAAGGAACAGTTGAGTCGGTGGCGCAGTTACTTTTGACTGAACTCCTTGCTTTTTCAAGGGCATTCTTAATAACAGCCGTGGAGAGATCTAGTGATCGCATGCAGGATGTCTGAAAATGGGAAAAAAGGGGTTCTAAAATACGTAGATGTTGAGCACCCAAGGTTCAGCAAAAAGATCAGCTGCAGAGAGAGGTACCGCACCCTTACCAAATGTCGACATTTTCACACTCATTAAAACCGCTGTAGGCAAGGTATTTTGAAAGATAATGAGGAAATGATGAAAACTGAGGAAGATCAAGGTGACACATCGGAACGTTATCACCTCCCAAACTCAGCACTTGAAGTAATCCTACTTGAGTGTTCATTGGCTAAACCGCCGTTGGACACAAAGTCCTTGTTAAGAAATCGTCCTGCCTGTGTGGTTGCATCCTGACTTCACAAAGCAAATCTTAGTCAAAGATTACTGGAAACGATTGATTAGACAATGCCCTTTGATGTTTTTTTTGTTTAAATGTCACAGAGGTACTTTCAGTCGCTCGTGATTTGGATAGCGCGCTGGTGGCAAGCGGCCCCACACATTTTAACCATACCAGTTAGCTTGAGCCTATGTGCATAATAAAACGGCTTCCAGACTCGAGCGTCGTGTAATGCATCCAGGGACGACCAAATGCCATATTTTAATGAAATCGCGACGGAAAAACTGGCAATTCGTAAACTAATGTCCACTTGACCAAGGGTGCTCACAACGAAGACACTATTCTCCCAACAGAATGGATATATTGTCAAATCACTTGACAGAAGAAAATATTTTGAATACGTCGGTAAGCATATTGTCAGCCCACAAGCCACCCCATCGCCAAACCATCCTTTTGTCCTTAATATCAATCTGTACGACCTGCTGCAACGCGTCTTTATGCTAGAACTCATAGTCGGAAATAATACTGTGTATGACCATAAACTATGGAAATTTGGAAGATAAAATGGTTAAGAAAATAGAATAGCTTACTAAATCATCGGGTGACATGGACTCAGGCAAAGAACCGGTGAGAAAGGAGGCGAGGCGATCAAAATCCCACAGGAGGAGGTATTCCTCATACATTCGTAGGATGCCCAGCGCAGCTAGTAGCAGAGCGGCCTCACCGTCACGTAGAAAGAGGTCCCAGATGCGCAAATCTACATCCAGGGGGAGGCTCCGACTATTAAGTGAAATAGCAAGTTAGTGAAATATAGAGTACCCCAGATGTTCAATAGGAGAAGTGAAATAGCGATATTTGCGCATTAGGTTCGTCTTCCGACCCATTTGAAAAACTGCGAGGGCTCGGGGCATTACACCATACCCAAGCCAAAAAGGCATCAATCCCGATTTGCTTGGCAGACTACTGAGCTTTAGCATCGCAGATGAAGGCATCGTTTATGGATGCCTGAATCAACAGAGATTACTAACAGAAGGGTTATCAAAGCCACATTTACTTATGACAAGCGTCCCACCCACGCGCTCTTCAAGGAAATTAGCAACTGAAGCAACATCAGATCTCAACTTTCCCCTTGGTGGCATAGTCTTCTGACGAGCTCTCTAGCCTCCTCAGTCCTTCTGTATGAGTTTTAAGACCAATTCTTTGGCAGAGCAAGCAAACATTGCACTTAATCACCATTGTGATAGAAAAAGAGGACGTTTTCATGTTTTAAACATTTCTGCTATCGAATGAGTCTCCATACTAGGCGTTAATGCAAGTGATTTTGAACATCGTACAATTGAACTAAAAACCCACAATTAGTGGAAATTTGTCGAAAACAAGGGTAGTGTTTTCATTTTTAAGCAGCAGTTGGATTATAATAACCTTGGATTAGTCAAAGCATTACGTGGACTAGCGGTGTTCCCATTTTTGCCTTAGAGATAGTAAAAATGAGTCCGCTGCATTGTCAAGAGCTTACTTATTTTTTTTTTGAGCTTCATTAATTAAACATTCGAATTTCAGTGATTTGATCAAGATGGAATAGGCGATTTTCCTATCGAAGTGAAGCGGTTGACCATGGTCTTTTTGTAAATAGCATTATGCTGGCCTTTTTTGCTTCAACAGTGGTTCGGCATGGTAGTACGAATATCTACTCGTAAGGCCTGTATTACTAGCCACTCAGCTCTTCTGTACACCAACGGAGGGCTGTTTACAGAAGTGATCCTGCCACTACAGCAGATATGCCCCACCCTTTTAGTCCTCGACAAGAGTATGAGCCTGTCTACTGATACATCAAAGAAGATCTGTGTGTCAATAAATTAGCTTGATACCACGAAAAAAAAACGCTACAGAATGATTCGGTTGTGGAAAGTTGAATCTGTGGGGAGTTAAGTAAAATTGCATGAGGCTTGAAAATCCCCTCAATTTTCAGTTAAATACATGCATCTGTAACAGGCCCAGATTCCGATTGAGGGGTTACCGAAAGTTAAAGTTGGAAAACTTAACAACTTCATGCTAAGAGTAATCGAGGTGAAGCCAGGCAGATGAATGGGCGGTACTAAAGTGGTGGGAGAAAAGACACCAACATAATCGTTCCTGCGAAACAATCTCCCTATCTCCAAGTTTGGAGTAATTGGAATTATGAACTTTTGATGCCTTACCTAAAAACTGTGAAGAGCCAGTCGAAAAGGTAGAGTTTGCAGTCCAATCGGCAGCTCTTGAGGTGGTCGAATAGACGTGGCATTCGGTCCTCCAGCAGCGCATCGAACGCTCCGAAGTAAGCCGCAAACTTTAAAATGCAAGTAAAATCTGGTAGAAGCAATGCGTGAACCGGCATCCATCAATAAGAGACAGACCAAGAACTCACCTAGAGTAAACACCATTTTAAAAGCACCGTAATTACTAAAACACAACCACTATGTTCATAGATAGTGCACGATTCGATGGAAGAGTGATGAGTAAATACTCCCTCATGAAAAGTCTTACAAGAAGAAAACTATGTTAATATTAAAAACGAATTGGCTCGACTGATTACCAGGAGTTCCAATGGTCGAAAAGAAGGGAACTAAGCATGAGGATCATGGCAGTCTACTGTTCCAGTGGATCAAGGTGTAACAAATGATCCCTACTGACCAATCAGTTAATGAGGGGAAGTTACATGCAAATCAATGATTTCATCAAAAACAGCTTTTTGTAACTGTAACAGCAGTTACATTTTTATAAGCTCTGGCATGCACGAAAATCGAAATCAAATGAGATTATCGAGACAACAATGGGAAGTTGACACAGTGAAGTGTCAGACAAATAAATAATACGCAGTAGAGTAACAAAAGTGGGTACTATTCAAATAGCAGTCCCCGTTTCAGATAGCCTCTATGAATAGGGCACTGGAATAATAATGAACCGCCAATAGCAGTTGCTCAAAGAACAGTACACATCATCAGCCACTGCTGCATCTTACATCTTTGAAGTCAGACTTAAACACCAAACTCACATCACGCCATGCTAAATCACGAACCCCCGACTAGTACAAATTTGAAAAGTTGTAAAAGCAGATTCAGGTAATGAGGGTTTGTACAGAGCTCGATTTTAAGTAATTATTCATATTGCCTCCACACGATTACGTCAGAAAAGACAAGCTGCTATCACGATATGCCACGGAACGAACCTCTGATTCATCCAGACTGTAAAAGGCGTAGAAGCTGGGTCGGTTCATGAGAGTAGCAAAAGCAATGAAGGCGGGGTAGATGTCATCCATGACTAGAAGAAGGATGCCAGCGATGAATGACATACCCTGAAGGTAGCCCAGAGTGGGCTGGTAGGCTACAAAAGCCGCCAGGAGGTCATGTAAATTGCGGTTGTGCAACCCATCCGATTGGAAGACCCCGAGCATCGGGAAGGTCCGTGAGACATCCAATCGAATGACCTGCAGTGAGGCCACCTCATCTGTGTTGGGGAAAAGTAAAAAAGGAATGAGGGATAAATGACGTTTAAAAAGACCCAAGCGAGTTGACAAGCAAGCAGAGTGTAACCACCAAACGATGCAAGCAACAAGCATCCACAACAAAGTCATTAATAACTTGGCGAAGAATTTGGCCCAAAGATACGGCTTGATGTTAAAGTCATGCAAATGAATAGGGTAATGATGGCAATCATTTCATTTAAAAAGTCAGATAAAAGGAATCCGTTCCCTAGAAAAACACTTAATGGACACTTCTATCAAAAAATAGGTTGTGTTTCGTTTTAAACATATTTATTACATGAAAACGCTGGATAACATAAATGTTAATAAAAATACGAAAAAATCCCCTCTGTAAAGTGATTTTGAAAAACTGCTCAAGAAATCACCAAAAATGGCGAATAATGTGTGGTTGAAATCTTCGGCAGGATACTTTTCTCCCCAGTTACTTCACTTTCATCTAACTACTTTGAGACTTCTTTTCCAGTGATTTTACGATGATTAAATAGAAAGGTGTGCTGTTAAAGTGTTTGCAGCACCTTAACTTCATTAAAAAAGTGAGCGAGTGGTTTATTTTGAATTAACAGAACATCCTGCCTGTTAATTGAAAACAGAAGAAATTAATACATTAGACTAGGCTTTTAATCTGCACACTTTTATAATTTCTCAAACAAATTCTTATTCAAACACAAATAATACGATAACGAAAATGCCAAATAATGGTAGAATGAAGTGATCAGTCCTTAAAAATTACGCAATGAAGGGTAATTGTATCTGTTTTAAACACTGTGATGGCCAAGTGGTCAAAACGACGGACTCTCCAAGGGTCTACCGTGAAGGTAGAGTGAGCCTGGCGATGAAACAGAGCAAATTGATTAATGAGGGAGTGAACGACGAGCGCCCTCTAATTGGTTGATTCTAGGTCAACTGCCGGATAATGACGTGGTCAATTAAGTCAGGTCGGGTCATCAATTCTGAAGCATCACATTCTCGACCAATGGAAACATACCTTCACAATGCTGGAAGGAAGAAACATTTAAAACTCTACTAAAAGAATGTCCTTGAGAGATTGGAATGGTTGAAAATAGAGCATGAAGTAACGCAGAACAAACAGCATTGTAAGTATAAAACAGACGGAATTTTGAGTAGGTAAGTGATTGAGAGAGGTCATTTAGAAGCTCAAAACATCAAAAACAAAAAAAACTAACAACCATTGAGTCCAGATCAGCAGGATTTACTACACTGAGTCAAACATAGGAATTTGTCAGCTTATATACAAGATCAACCGAAAGGAGGATTACTTTTGGGATAATGCATAAAAACGCGGTTAGTTTAATTTAAGTTGATCACAGTGAAATGGAAATAAATGGCAACACGGAAGCAGCTGCCTTCATGTGATTTTGGGGAATTGGAAATCAGTAGCGGTTGCCTAGCAATATGCGTCTGTATTATTTCCCATTGATTGGCTTCTAGATTAAATAAAATTCCCACGACAAAATCCACTTTACGCACACTCAGTTGACACATTACAAAAGTCTTCATATTCTTAAAGGTCGGGAATATTCAACAAATGCGCGGGGATTTGGAATGCAAAGGGGCTTATGACAAAGAGACGATGCTAGGCTCAGGTACTCCGGCACCAAAAGAGGAGGAGGATGATTGCACCGCATAGACAAGGAATTCAGAATCTAGCATCTACTTATTTATCCACAGGGATATACACAAAAAAAAGGCTTTAGGAGAAATGGTTGACTTTCACGAAAATGCCGCTTTACCAAAAAGACGGGAGTATATTCAAAGCTAAAAGAAATGCTTTTAAGCTAGGTTAACTGTGATAAAAAGCTGTTTATTTTAGTTTATGTCAACAACAAATGCATGTTTCGTTTAACAAACTACAAGTGAAATTCCTCTAAAAGCAAAAGCAACACTAGGATATTCAATTACTACCAGATGTAGCGGACTACTAAGTTTCAACCTCAGTTCTAAATTGAGATGGCAAGAAATGAATCACGTCTTTCAAAGATTTCACCACAAAATATTGCTTCAAACAAAAAACACGCTTTGTATTGACTTCACAAACAGTGTACTTCCGATAAGAAAGCCTAAATCATCCTCACAGGACCAAAGCAAACGCTGAATGATGCAACAACTAGCGACAAAGCGAACAGGGCAGCACTATGCATGAAATCATAATAGACATGCAAGAAACTCACTGTGCCGTCAGATGACAAAAACTACCATAGGAAAGAGAAGGAATCGGCAAACTTAACAAGCAAGTCGACCAGAGGTGGCAATGGGGAAAACGGAAGGAAAGGAACATACTTGAAGAGAGGTCGCCCGGAATGGCGAGAGAGGACGATGGTGTAAGGGGATCCGGAGGTGTAATTAAGACCCTTCGAGAGATGACAGGGGCCTCTATTTCAGACGCCTGACGCGGAAGTCGCAGTTGGGACAAGGCATTTACTTCAGCCTCGCCCACATTGCCAGGCAAGGAGTAGAGACGCTCAGAATGTCTTGTACTAGATGAGGTAGCTATCAGAGTGGTGAATTTATTATCCTCTTGGGAGGCGTGATCGAAGGCGTCGGCAAGGCGACGCGCGCTCTCCAAACGATGCATAGTGTAGCGGCTCTGGGTGAGGCAACTTTCAAAGAGGTCTCTAGTGATGCCGAGCGGATTGCCGATTATCAGCTGCCACACCTAGGCATGTAAGGATTTCACAACTAAGGTACATTCATCGTGTCGCAGGTTGCCACTAGTAAAAAAAGGTTTTGAAATATGACAATATGTAAAGCAGTGTTTGACGCGACTTCAATTAGAAGAGTTGATCATATAATGGAAGTTAAATCGCACATGATAAGGTGGTCTTGTGACGCTTCCACATAAAATGAAGAAAACGACCTCACAACAGCCCCCTACGCCTAACATGTAATAAGATGTAGTCTTTAAGAGCGTAATGAAGTAAAAGTAGGCAGGAAGGCCATTCGAGAAGAAAGAGTTTGTTGAAGGGACAGTAATTTAGTGTCATAAAACCTGATCAAAAAAACCGCTTTATTAAATCAGGTAGTATGGGGCCAAAGCCTGGGTGTAGAGGGATATATAAGGGATTATTCACGTCTCTGCCAGTTATACAGATCGAATTTAGTCAGTTTTGAGACATCAGGAGATGCCTAACACTCAGCACATAGGATGACAGAGGTTGCCCTACAATAAAATACATGACCATAAACATCCTGTAGTCAAGACTGTTTCCGCTTTCAAAGATGAACACCCTTTACCGCACTCAATGCAATGAAACCCTTGTCCCCATGGCTTACAAAACGGTGGAGCAGTTGCTAAAACTAAAGGTCACAAATCCCACTGAAAGTGGCACGGAAGACTCCATAATTACTGCAAAAACGTTTAACCATTACTGCAAATAGGATTTTACAGTTTGAACATAATTGGTCCAGAGTTGATTGATAAAAAAGTAGTCGAGAAGCAGTTATATTTTCACTTTCATTTGTGAGCTACGAAAACCTAGCTAAACAATTCCTTAACGACCAATGTATTCATCATCACATGCAGAAAAACAAGTCCTTTTTGATAGTATGAAGACGACGAAGAAAACCACGGACGCTTTGTAAAAGATAGCCAAAAGGTAAGGTACCTGACTTCGCACAGGGGAGGGTATGCCAAGCCACCAGTCGTCAAAGAGCAGACTGGTCTGTTCTAAGGTATCCCAGGATGGAATGACGTCGTTACGCCAGTAGTTGACACGATTGCCAGTTCTAGCCTCGTTCACATGGCGCTTCTCCTGTTTAGCTAGAAGTTGAGATATCTGCTCCTGATCTAAAGCGAGAATTTATAATAGCTAATTATAAAAAACCATCCATTTGAGGGGTGATTGCGTTTACCAACAGATAAACAAGTAGATGTTTTAATTCATTCAGGTGGGCAGATCGTGACGTCATGTTTCCCACGTATATTTGCAAAGTCCTCAAGAATACGTCTTTGACTCCAAGAGACAAGGCAGGAAAATGTCCCAAAAATTAATTTTTATTAAGATTGACACCTACGCTTTTTCGATATGCTCTGCATGATTTTGCTGCATTCAATTCGATGGCGTTTGGCCTCTTGAGGATCTTTTCGCGGAAGATCACTGAAAGTAAAGCAACAATAAAGCAAGAAGCAGATCAAAGCCGGTTAAACCCACTCAAAATTACACTACAAACCAACGAAATTTACATGCTAACGTTACTAAAAAGGTCGCTTAAGGTGAAAAAAAAAACAATATTGTAATAAGAAACAACTTTTCAAGTTTCAAGGCCCATTCTGAAAGTACAGCCTAAAAAAACTGCATTTTTGTCGAATAAGCTTGCAAACGATTATTTGTGGTGCGAATTAGTACTAAAAAAACAACCTCGATACCACATTAAATACGAGCACCAAGCAATTCCATCTGCAAGGAAGCAAAGCAAACAAATGAAAAAACCGGATAACAAAGAACCGATAGACGACCTTGGCCGCTCGTACGCATGAAGAAAAGTTGTTGACTGGATCACTCCGTTAGGCTCATCGGGAGGTTTTGAACTAGGAAATCGCAACAAAAAACTAGGGGTATTTTGCATATTAGTCTTGAAAAATTTAACAAAGAGCACTCTATTCGATAACATATTTCAAACACATTATGCAAGTAACTGGTTTACAAAAGGAGAAAAAAGAACCTCAACTAGACTAAAGGATTAATGGCCTCTTAATACAATTTGCATTCCCACAGGAAAAACGGGCATAAAGGAAGGGAAGCTTAGACTATATAAGGTTAACCGGAACCGCAAGGGAAATGAAAATAATGGGATCAAACTCCATGACACCAAATTAACTAGTTTTCAAGAACAAAAAGTGTAAGACAGTAGAAACACCATACGACACAAACGAGAAAAAAGTACAGAAAAAGAAAGAAAGGTAGCAGAAAAAAACACAGAACCCACATGATGTCATCCGCGCTGGAATATTGTTTGGGGTGTTGACGACGGGAACTTATCTCACGAGAGACAAATTCTGGAGCAGCAAGATATCGCGGGCGAGGGCTTGGTAAACTTGGAGAACCAGAATCGGCTTCACAGAAAGTATCATTTGGGGCTGACAGATCACCATCCCTGCATGAGACAGGAGACCCAATACCTGTCATCATTATTAAACTAATGAAAGCTTCGACGCAATGAGCCAATGACATTGATCAAGGTTGCCTTTAGGTCAGGAAGTGTGACTGAAGGTAACGAATAATTACACAAAAAGAGTGATAAACCTTTTAACTTTGTAGCCGACATTAAGTAAGTGAATTTTCTACTTTTAAGTTTGGTAAAACAAGAACGTCAGAGTCTATTTAAAAAGCACCAGGTGGTTCCAGAGCAAAAAAAGCCAAAATGAGTATCTTGAAAAAACAATATTCATAAAATAACTTATATTTTGATTTTATTCTTAAAACCGTGCGTACAAGGGTGTAGTGCTGCGATTTGTTTCAGGCGCAAGGAAGATGCCAAGAAGTGCACCCAATAAGATGTCCGCCTAGACGCCAGACTCCCAACTTCTCACAAAAAAGTTAGAAAGCTTTATTGCAGTTGTAATACGATAGTGGTTTATCCCTCGGTTCTGGTGAGGCGCTACTTTTGTACTTCGAATTACCCCCCTTGTACCTCGCTGGGTGGGCTGGCCTTTTGGGCCATGCCAATAGCCCAGACACCTTCTCAGTGCTGAATATATATATTCTGCCCGAGTATTGTGCCTTCTTTTGTCTTAAAGGAGTCTCGGGGCGCTACAGCAGTATCTTAAAATCCCATTAAAGGCAAGAAATACATGATTCTTGGACATAATATACGTATCCGACATATAGAAACCCGAAGGTCAGCCCACATGGCGTGGTAAAGAGGCCAAGCCAAAAGTAGCCTATCATCAAAGTTAAAAGTTAGACAACCGTGGTTATGCAATATATGTAATATTTTTAGCAGCATTTTGTGAATTTTATGGGAGAAAAGGGGGAGCAAACACCATGAAAAGTTCGGCTCTTTTACAAAACAAATATAACTAAGGTTTTAAAGGTCTTTTGCATTAACCACAAAACCAAAATTGGTGGCACAATCAGGAGGTGCATCTGTGATTACCATTTCGTACTGATCTGCAGAAGTCCAAAAGGTGTTTCTCTTCTTAAGTTAAACGAAGGCAAAGGCAATTACATGGTTTTACAAGGTAATTACCCAAAATAATCGACTTTATTTCTTTTATTATGCCTAGTGAAACAATAAATTTGTTAATTTTTTCTCTAGGTCATATGTAAGTTTGCCGACACTTTTTCGAATACTTAGCTTGTTGACTCAAGTCTTCGTGGTTGTTTTTGAGGTCTTCGATGGTTTCCCGTAGTTCCACCGTTTCGTTTGGCAAGGATGCCTACTCGAAAGCATTAGTAAATATTTCATAATATTAACTGTTAGGTTGCCCACATGCAAAAGGCAATAAATCCTCAGGAAGTCCCTCCGAAGCCCAAGCACGTCCGCGCGATAATTTTGGGAACACATCAACATAGAACATCTAATTTTCTGTATTCTGCTACGTGCGAGCTGCAAGTTCTTACAATTCAAGTTGCATGCTGGAAATATTTAATTGTAGTTCACAAGGTTTTGCGAAACGGTTATCGAGAAGTACGATATCTTGTCTGCAAATATATCTTCTAGGCAATTCGTTACGCACCTAGGAAAATTGCTACTTTTGAAGAAATTAAGCGTACGTGGGTAAGTGATTCTAACCAAAAATTTTTTTAGACGGCCTTTCCGGGTCAATATAGTACAATGATAGGTCAATTATGTTGCGTTATTATAAAGAAATTCGGCTTTCATCGAACTGTACATTTGCCTATGAGATGATGATTAGTTTTTAGTATCCCAACATTCCAGGCGATTTTGAAATATCTCAACAAGCAATAATGAGCTCAATTGGACGATCTCCTGATAACTTGTATGTCGTAACCTGATAAAGACAAGTGTTTTGCCCGTTTTAGTTTAATTGATTTATGTCATTTTTCTAAAATTAGCTTCATTGAAGCTTTTTGCATAGTTTTGAACCTCAAACTTTAAGCTCATATTTTTAATGTTTTTTTTATTTTTCCATCATATTTTCTCTTCGGTTTGCTTTTGTTGGCAAACTATTTTCAAAATTTTTTTTTCGTATTTATTTGTTTGGTTCTGGATCGCACTTATTTTGTGTCATTATGTAATGCTAACCAGATAATTGTGTGCGATTGCTGGATCTACCTTACTTTAATAGGATTAGTTTCGCCCTGGCCGTGATGGATTATCTCGAAGTTATATTGAACTTTCAAGCGGTGGTGTTTACCGAGGTAGAATCCAGTCCCTCCACAACCAGCATCTCCAGCAACTGCCGACTTGCGGCACTCACTCAATGCGTGCGAGACAGTGCCGCTCTTTATGATATGGCGTTAAAGGCGATAATTAAGTTGCACAGTCTTATGCCTGCAGAATCACTTGAGTTATTGCGGACACGATTTAGCCGTCTGTATCATATGCTAGAACGCTTCTTTGCACGTGCCAACAGCTACGCTTACATCCGTGACTTCCTCAAGATTCCACTTTTGCCTAGCGTAAGCCGTCTTTTTTGCCCGTTGACCTTTCTTTTGTCCTCTTCTATCTCTTTTTCCTCAACTGACATCTTTCCCCCTTCTTGATTCTCTTCTGCTATTCCTCCTTTACACCTTCTCAACCCATTCCTATTCTGTCACTCTCACGTTCCCTGTTTTTTTTTCTCTATCCTTTCTATTACTTCAATCTAACTATTTTATGACCCCATTTATTTTCTTTTTCTATACGCCCTTTTTATTTCTCCTCTCTATTTTCCCCCCTTTTTCTGCCTCTTACCTCTCCCTCTTCCCTCCTTTTTCCATCTATCTATCTACCTTTTGGCTTTCTTATTTGTCTCCCTTTTTTTCTTTCCTATTATCTAGTGGCAAAATGCTTAGCCATCCTTAAGCACACATTTTTACAATTATACGTCCTCTTCTTTTAGTCCCCACCAGATTTTCTGGATTCCGTCAGTAGGGTACAAAGCATCGAAGTAGTTGAAAAACTCGATGAAGAAGGCACCGGTCAATTGGTGGATTTAAGCGCCTCCGAGGTAGTCAATTATAACTAAATTTACACTTCTTATTCATTCAGCTTTAAAAAAGAAGTTTCCTTTGATTGTTTGATGTTTGAGACATTGCTCTTGTTTTTTACTCATTGTTAATATTTCTGTTTCATTTTTAATCATCAAGTAAGCTCAAAGGTGCTGACATTTGACGTTTTCCTCTTTTTCGTCTGACATGCTTAATACAAGCGCTGTGCGCATGAGGCATGCCTTATGGCGGTGGCGTAACAACTACTCAGAATGTTTGCTTGAAAACTGCATTTCACGAAGCTGTTGAATCCTTTCTCGAATGACACTTATCATTCTATGCCTGTCAAATCCGTATAATATGGATGAGGTGTTGGTGAAATTTCTTTTGAAAATACCTTAGAGCCTCGCCGATGCCAACGAAGGATGGAGAACAGGTGACAATGATGCGATTGTTGGAGGGTCTGTACAATCTCGCTCATCTTCCTCGGTTACAAGTCCTCAGTAAGTCGTCTTGATTATTAATTGTCCTTCCCTACATCATGCACCATTATTAGCAAGCTTTTTTAATTTCAAAAGATCCTTTACTATTTTTAATTTACCAGGATTGTTTATTCATGTGCTTTCGTCCACCTACACTGTTTACTAGCTTAATCTGAAACACGAAAGTATTGATGAGAAAAAGGATGCATCACTAGTCCAGAAAAATAATTTGCCAAATGTGATCCAGTTCAGTTGCCATAGTCACCCTCTAGTTTGGAATTTTTTTCTACGTTTTCTATTTGTTCACTATTTTGATGCCAGCATAGTATTTTCTGTCGAAATGAACCTACACGACAGCTGCTACTGCCAAGCTTTGGCACCTTTCCACCGCAAAACCCCACTTTCTTGTTGATTGCGTAATTTCGCGTCGCGATTTGTAATTTTTTGCCTTGCTTTTTGATAAGAGGTCTTAATTACCCTTTGGATAAGACAAGGAGAAGTGCAATTTCTCCCATTACTAATTGTATACTAGCCAGATTGGCGCCGTTCAGCTGTCAAATATGACACAAGTTGTCTATAATGGTTCTGCCTACACGTAACAGCTTCTTTGGGCTTTTAGACGTGAACACATGCTGGAAATCGAGTTTCTTAGGTCAGAAATCCAGCGTATGGAAATTGAGGTAATTAAAGTGTTGTGGCACCCATCCAACCTAACTTTATTTTTATCTACAAACATTAACCGCGTGTGTGGCTTTTTTCTTTGACTACTAGAAAGCAAGTACGCAGGAGCAACTGCTTGATCGTATACGCTTGCTGGAGGATGAAATAAAGGCACTGGTTCAGGTCAAAGCCAGACAGGATGAGGTTTGATTCCATCTCACTGTTACCTTTTGCTCTTGATCTGCACAATTTGGCAGTCCAAAATCACATGAATTTTGCGCCTGTACTGCGATTATTTACAAGGCCACAAACATGACACCATTTTCACCTTTAGGTGGTTTGTCTCCATTCCAAGCCGTTCCGTTTAAAGCTTTTTACTGGATTAATCAATCATTCTGTGCATTACTTTATTCGTATTTTTGCAACGGAGATATTTTTTAAGCCAGTGCATTCTGCAGGTGTCATGGCATTACGTAGCTGGTTTCCTTCTTTTTAACGACTACTTCATCGGCAAATAGCTTGACTTGAATATGCATTTACTAGTCATTCTTATTTATTTTTTTAGGTTTGTTATTGTTTTTATCAATGAATACAGCGTAAAAACTTGGTTTGCGATAAGCCAGCTGATCACAGTCTCATAAAACGGGTGGGGATTTGGAGAATCTACCACGATGCTAAATTTTTTAAGTAAAAGTCCTCTTTAGTACCTCTACGAACTCTGGTACGAGTAAATTTTGTTAGAGGTTATTTGATATGGCGGTAAAGTAATCCTAAATGAGTTAATTCGTCCATTCAATCGGTTTGAGGAAGTCTTTACTTCGGTGGTATTTCAAAACAGGCCCCTTGAATTCCTGCTTGTTGCTGCATTCCACTTGACACTTACTAGAATTAGTAGTGAAGTGCTTCGTCACGCCGTTAACATGTCAAAATGTTTTGTTAAGTAGTCGAACTATTCCCAGAATGCTACACCGCCCCTAGAGATAGTGAGATTAAACATATGTGAACGTGCCAAAAGACCTTGTCTGGGTGACATTTGTGTCGCCCTTGTAGTTTACCGCGAGTTGCTGCCTCGAGGTGACGATGGCTACGAAATAGTTGAACTGCACTATCGCAACTGCAAAAACTGAATTAGAACCGGCAAATTAAGCTTTAAAAAACATAAAATTCTTAGGTTTTGGGGTAAGTGCCCGGTTACGTATTTTAAGTTTACATTTAAATGTAGATATTAAATTGACGCGATTAGTTTCCCAAAAAATGGTCCACAATACTATACGAGAGCTCTTTGTTTCCTGTATTTCATCATCATTTATGCACCTGACCAATTGAGGCGTCTTTAGTAGAAGTTTAAAGAATTTTTCCGATAGACAACACCATTGCTTCACTACAACCTTGACACTTCTTGTAAAGTGCCAACATTTTGTGAAATAGAGCCACAGTTGCGTGCTTTGAAGAGCGATAACCGATTTGCTAGATGATCCTTTGATCCTCCCCAGATAGTGCTGATAGCCAAGGACTAAGAAAGTGGATCTGTTTTGACCGTTGGTAGGCTCCTTCCCCCCGAATTAAATGACGCTGACATGACACCACCTCTTCTTCCACCTTGCAGCAACTGACAATGTTGGTCGATCAAGTGAAAAATCAAATGGCTGCTGCAGCGGCTTCAGAGGAGAAGTTCATGAAGATTAGTGGTGCCTATGGGAAATTACGGGCGGAGCACGTTAGCACCCTTAAAGAAGTGCGTTCTTTGGTGTAGTAGTACCCTAGGTGAATGCATTCTATACCGCCTCCAAAATATGTGAGTCCAATTTGCAACAAAGATGCAAACACCCACACAATTCTTCAGTCTGCCGATTGTGTTTCTTTCATATCTGTACTGCGTGCTTCACGCCACTTGGCACCTACGGTTAGGCCATTTCTCATGATAGCTCTCTTCTAGGGCACCAAAATCCCGCGTATAAGACGGATTATATTATTTTATCTGGCTTCGGTCTTGAGTTATCATTGGAACTTCCTTAGGCCTAAGTATTGTTCCTGTTGACGCGTTAAAAGCGCTGAATTTTACATGTAAATCTTATTGTCAAAGGCCTGACGACTGTAGCGGAGACGAGGTGGCACTTAAATTATTTTCGGCCGCTACTCTTTTTAAAAGGCCTTTTGTGTTTTTCTCTTCTAAGGTGGAGGCATCATGCCAAAACGGAGTCGACGCAAAGGTAGGGTAGTCACCTCTATCCCCTTTTCAAAAAATAATCTTGAAATTAAATTTTGAAGTGGAATGTCCTGAATTGTTTTTCCACAGAAGGATAAGAAAGTTATTTATCATCAAATAAAGTCACTCCAACACGTGCGTTGGTCTCAGAAGTGGACACTTTTCTAGCCTCGATTACAACCGGTTATGCATGCAGTTGAGATATAATGGCTTCTACCGAACGCCTTGTCTTTTTTATTCTACTCCACTGGTCATGTGTGTTTTAAAAAATCTAAGTGCAGCTGAATGCGACGAGGTAGAAGATTTAACCAACTTGATGATGGCGAAGGTATTGAGATGGTGCACAGAAAGAAAGGCCCACCTGAATCACAGAACACGTAGATAGATGTCAGATTGGCAGCGCCACTGTGCTACACTCACCGCGGCTAACTGACTTCTATGTTAGAAGGAAAACGGTTTCTCTCGAGTCTGTTTTCGATCTATCTGCACATGGCAAACATAGATACACTGCACGATCAAGTGTGTACACAGCCATGTTAACTTCGCCTCCTTCCCATTCTGTCCCTCTTTCTCACGGTGTAGCAGCGTCTGGCAGCGTTGGAGTTGGAACGGGTTTCCTGGGAGGAAAAACTACGTGCCTTGGAAGGCCAGTTAGCTGAAAGTCGTCTCACCCTTCAGATAGCTGAGAACAGGAAGCCTGACTTCAGCAGTCAATTGAAAAGCGCTTGCCAGGTGGCCGAACAGGAAATGCGTGACCTCTTGCTCAAGACTGCGTGTTTAAAGGCCAAACAAGACGCCAGCGCTATTGAATCATTAATGGAGGGCCCAGAATTTGTTCAGTGTCGAAGCTGTGCAGGTAGATGAGACGTAGACACTTAAGCATGGAAATAACATCGATCGTAGTTTAGGAAATTTCATTTACCAAGGACGTTTAGTTTACGGCACCTTTTATCCTCGCCCGTTTGCACGACATTCGTATCTGTCTAAGAGGATTACAGGAACACAACAGAAGGCTTCATTCCCTCCTAAAATGCAATTTGTTGTTATTTTCCATCTCAGATGTTTAGTACGTTCTATTGATAATTCGGCAATTTTTTATTATAAACTTTCACCGGTAGTTTGCCTTGTAAGGGGAGCTTAGAAGGGATTCTCCCGACATTACCCCCTTCATTGGACTATTCATCCTGCCTGTTGCGTTCCCGAGTGCATACCTGTTGTTGTTGTTACCTAATACAGTACAGGTTCCTTAGATATTCTCCACTCCATTTTTTGCTTCAGATGTTGTCAACACTTTCGCGAACTCCGCTACCTCTAAAGTGATTCATCTGAAAGGAATTATTTCTGATACAGATGTCAAGAGTAAGTTTTACTCCACACCAAATGGGTTGGTGAATTTGAAGGTCTTGTCATTGAGTTTCAAGCCTCTGTTTGTTTATTTATGCTATAGACTTCATGCCTGTTATTTTGTTCCATCTTTCAGCCTTTATTTTAAGACTGCCAAACGTTATCAGGAAATATTTTGATGTTTGAGCTGCATTGTACATCTCTAAGTAATGTCAAGAGTTTTATTATCACCTAAACTCAACTCCATCGCTGCTAATCCCGCAGATTTGGCAATTTGTTACCATTGTTCCATTTTTTTGTTTATTCTTATCTATAAATCAGGAGAACGGCATTGGGAGGTTTGAACAATGTTCGTTAGAAAGTAAGTTAAAACAAAAAACAAGTGTATCAACAAGAAGTGAAGCTAAAAATGTTTCCTCGCAATGGGGTCAAGACCAGGTCTGCTGTTTTGGCATAACTTTTAATATATGCTGTTTGGGAAAGATAAGCCGTATTTGTGAACTCAAGCGAAACCTCTCTCGGGGAGGGCGTAAAAATTTTCTCGACTGGTCTCCTTTTTAGCATTTAAAAATTTGAGCAAAACAATTATATAAATTAATTTAAGAAGCGAAAGTTTAAAATTAGAGGATAACTGATAACTAGGAATTTGCCTTTGATCACCATCACTGACTTTAATGCCCTATTTTGTGTTTTTGCTTCTGAATTATGAGAATCATTTTACTTCACTCGATGAGACATTATTTAAAAAACTAGTTTGGATTCTTACGTTATTTAATCTTCTTCCCGCATTATCAGGGTGCCAGGGTGATTTATGCGGTTTACAAAATATAAAGTGATGCTCGGAAAATGGCGTCACGAATATGTGACATTTGGCTATTATCAGCCACGGGAGATGGGGCAGCATTTACTTGTACTCAGCTTAACTCAGTAAGGAAAAATAACCATTTTGCATTCCTTTTCGTTAAATCCTAGCTAAATCAGGGCATTTGTTGTTCGACTGGTCATTTGGTCTGTAGTTACTAAGTTTACACTTGCCCACAAATGAATGTAGTGAATCAGCAGAGTCTATTATAAATGAGGCATTCTGAAAACATTTTTTATTCCTCCCACTGGTGCAGCCGCCTTTCTTGACAGCCACCATTTTAAAGGAATCATGCGATAATGCGTCAATATCCTTATGTTTCCGATTAAAACGTAATGAATTTTGGGAGAAATGAGAAATAGGGAGGATCTTCCACAGGGTAGCGTTTACCTCAACAGGAGGGACAATTTTTACTATTATGTCTACCTTTAAAAGTGTGCCATTGACGTGACAGTGGGTGGGTAGATGAAAGTTGAAGCGACATCAGAACCGGAAGCATGAGATTGGTATCTCATCTTATTCAATGAAACAATTATTTCATTCATTTCTCTTTGGATAGATTCTACAACACTGCCTTTAGACGTGGCCCACCTCTCTTCTTACCTGAACGCCACCCTTCTCCATGCCAAATCCATCGCTAATTCTGCTGCAGACATTGTAAGATCCGATGGTGCGTTCTGCTCTCTAGCCAGCCCACGGATCTCTTTTAACCTGTTCTAAATTCCTTCTCTTTTTTTTAGAGCTATTAGCCCTCTGCAAGCGTTGCCACAACGACAGCCTTGATATATACTCTCACCTGGCCTCCACCGATTTCGAAGCATGGCGCAATTTAGTGGTACTGGGTCATGTGGAGAGTCTGCTGACAGCTTTAGCACGAATACAGGTGCTGACAGAGGAGATGAGGCCACATATCAAAGATGTGAATGAAGAAGACGTGGCCTCGGTCTTGGAGCAGGAGATGCAGCGCACCACTGAGCTCATAGCGCGTGCGGAGGCTAGATTTAAGGTGTGCCGCCATGTTGCCATACGTGGGAGCAACCAGTCTCATTTAAAATTTCTAGAAGTTTGGAAATATGATCCATACTTCTCGGCTGTTGATACCACAAAGATGCGCTAACAGTAGTATATTTGCGTACTTTGACAAATCACTCGACATCATTAAAGAGGCTGGGGTTTTTTTTAGTACTCCAATAATGATGAACTTGTGTTTTCTACTGATAGGAGCTGCTAGAACAATCGAAGACCTCGATGACGGGTATTCAACTAGAAGTGAACAGCAAGATTCTTGATTCCTGCACCAAACTCATGTCCGCCATTTCTATTCTTGTTGCTAGGGCGTGTGATCTACAGATAGAGATTGTCAACGAGGGGAGAGTGAGTTTCATCACTGGTATTATCTATTAACCGTTGATTATACAGAATCACTACAGTGAAATGAATTGATGCGCCTGCCGTCCTTCTGTTTGGTCACCGCCAGAGTACGCAATTTCATGGGTCGTTTTTTTTTGGTCAGAGAAACCAAAGCGTTCCATACCATTAGAATAAACATTGGACTCTTAATTTCACTAAACTTTGCGTATTTTGTGCCCGATCAACGAAGTCAAGCTTACCAATGGAGTTTAAAAACATATCACCACTTCAGAGTCACGAGCCCACCCCTCATTCCTTTGAACTCACCTTCAAGTTGTAAAGACGCTTGCCACTTTTAGAACAACAGATTAGTAAATTTCAGGGAAAATTCTACACAGTAGCTTACTGCAAATCGGCAAAGTTTTACTTTTGTATATTCCACAAGCAGTAAAGGAGTCACCCCCTGGTTGATCGTACTACTGAAGTCGTTATAAGCGTCTCATAGGTCAACATATACCTAGCAGAGCGAAATTGAGGCACCTGCTTTTTATATTTCTGATTGGCATTAGTCTCTTCGTTCCTCTCCCTATTAAAACTTGAATAACTTCATTTTTTTTCAGAGTTGATGGAACATTTCCACAACTTTGGGCAAAATAGATTTTATAAGTTTACTATTACACGTAGATTCAAACTTCCATCTTTGTTACAGCCCGTTGGTGCCAAGGGTTTTGGATTGTTTTAGTACCTACTACTTGATTTCATTCTAAATTGGAAAAAAATTAGCATTTTTTGCTTGACTCAATTTTAGCTTTCGCAAAAATGCTTATTTTATTCCTGTCTGGTTGATGATCACAGCTTTCCAATTGAGCTGCAGTGTTTGATCAAAACATATATGTAGCTAAATCTTGTGTAAATTATCATATTTCGCGAAGACTTTTCTGAAGACAAAGAAAGACATACTACTCAGGAAAAATATGTAGTATTGATGTAGGGTGGGGCTTGGGGCCACTGACATCACCCGGAGGCCCGGTCGCCCCGCTTAGGTGCAATGACGGAGCCCAGAAGTGTCCTATTTTGTAGTCTTGAGCTAAAAAAAAAGAGAATTAGCATATTGCATAATCTCCCTCCTCTTTTGAGCGTTGTCTTCGGAGCTCCCTTTAGTCCACCCCCTCCACCAACCATCACTACCTCATCGGTAGCGTAAGAAAACACACGAAGCAACCGTGCCAGTCATCAAATTACCGCAGAGCTGAGAAGATATTTGATCGCACCATCATTGATCCCTCTTGGCAACCTCATTGGCTCTAGAGTTTTGTCCTTTATGTGAAGTGGATTCGGAGACGGGTAAATGTGCTGGCCATCAAGCGTGTCCATTGCTAGTCGTAGAGACCTTGGCCTAAAAGTAGTCATGCAACAAGGAGCGAAGCTTGTCACAGTTTTGTTGAAATGAGGTTTCGCGTCTTTTCTTATTTCGGTGCTGCCCAACATATTTATCTGGGTTCAATCCAGCTAATAGAGTAGTGGAGGAAGCATTGCGTGTTCGTATAGTTATCGTCACACAGGTATGGTAGGCAGCTTCTTAGCGAACTTTTCAGGTGACTCACGGCTAGTGCCACTTGCTTCAATTGTCAACAGCATTCCTGCTGAACACAGAACTGGAGTGGTTATCGAAGCTAGACATCATTTTCAGCCCTTCTGTCAGGGGTCGTCAGGGATTCCCCCATCCACAGCAATATGCGCTTCTTCCGTCATCTTACTGTTTATCACTCACAGATAGGAATTCGGCAAGTTTTCCCATAAGATAGGTTTTGGTTTCCGCTGACACCAATGTAGTGTTTCAAGACTTCTCTAAAGACGAAAGAATACATAATATGTGGACAGAATGTGTATTGCTGATCTACAGTAGAGGTTGGGGGCTAGTGGCATTGCCTGGAGGTCAAGCCTACCTCCGATCCGTTACTGTAACCGAGGGCTAAACAAGCAATCAACGTATTGCATTTGTTCTGACACGAGTTAATTTTCTTTGCATCCTGTTTTTAATTCACTTCTCATTCGGGGGGTTTGATTTAGCCATGGCCTAATGTCCAATGTATCAAGTAGCAAAGTTCTTGTTTTGTTTATTCTCTTTTTATAGGGAACCGCGACCGTGAAAGAGTTCTACAAACGTCATAACCGATGGACCGAGGGACTTTTTTCCGCTGCGAAGTCTGTTGGTGCAGGAGCTAATCTTCTAGTGTATGTTTATTGCCTTTTTTCACTCTCATTCTTTTACTACAAATGTTCTTCCAATTTCTCACTGGCTTGACGGACTGAAGTCAAAACTTTATTGGCCTAGGTCAATCATTTATTGAGTTCTTTTGATATTGACCAATCAGATTGGAGGCAAATTTTTTGGTCCTTAGCATATTACTAACACAAAGCCTGTTTATATTCGTTTAATTTGTAGTGAAATCGCGAGTAAGATTTGGCCTCAAGAATTGTTTGTTTTTTCGTTTTGAAAGGTCACCTTAGCGGGTTTATGGTCTCATTTAATCCGAGTGCGATTTTATGTGTTCTTGGTTTACTTGTGAATGTTCGAGCTGTTGACTTGGAAATCGACTCACCTCGATTCCTCTCTTTTTTCATTTTTATGGCTTTACAACCTTGAATTATGTTTTAAATGCCTTATTTGCTTCTAATTAGCCAACAAGGGAGCCGGATAATCACTCAAATTCTTCTCAAACTTTAATTGCACTACACCCCCCATTAATTTAGCACAAACCAATCGGAAAACCAGCCAATTGACCAGATATTTTTTTTCCACTTAGCGAAACTGCCGATGCCATAGTAACAAATAAAGGTGGCAAATTGGAGCGACTGATAGTTGCAGCATTGGAGATTTCGGGTTCCACGACTCAGCTGGTGGTGGCCAGTCGAGTGAAGGCGAGTAATGGCTCACGATGTCTTAGCAGCCTCGAATCCGCAGCAAAAGCGGTTTCTAGCATTACTGGAGAGGTCGTCGCAGGTGTCCAAAATGCCTCTGTTATCAAGGAACAGACACGTAAGTCCTCGAGTCTCCTTCCACTCTGATGGTTATCTTGTTGTGTGAGTGAGGGCGTAGTGGATCCATGGCTCAGCTACATCTCTTGAA